TGACAACAGTTTGTCGAGGTATCCCTGAGGCCATGCTGTGATACCCATCACAGAAAAATGTAAGTTTTAGGGCGTTTTCACACTTGGGCCGTTTCAGCGTCCGAAGTGGACTCAGACCGCTGAGTCATGGTTTCTTTTGCATATGTGAACACGCCAAACGAGCTCAGACCCCCCTAAACGGCCCCAAAAACGAACCGAACTGAGATCTCCTCTCGAGGTGGTCTCAGTTCGGTTCGTTTGTAGTTCGTTCTGTGGTTCGATTAATTTGTGCATTGTGAAAACAAAACGGCCCCAGTCCGCTTTAGCTTTGCTTTATGGTGAAGAGCTCGATGCTCGCCGTACACACAGCCACAGTCTTCACTTCAGCAGGTAAACAGACCGAGGATCATTTATACGGTTCTGAGACAGACAGCAGCGCTGATTTATTACAGCGATCAGATGCGAGAGCTCGCGTGATTTTACCGTGTTAAAGGCTCGAGCTGGGCACGCAGCGCAGTTCTCAGCTGCTTTCACTCTGAACGCTGAATGAATGAAGATTCGCCGGGTGGAGCTTCAGTGAGGAGCACAGCCGAAAACGGAGCCCACCGCGGCAGACCCGCAGGGCCGTGTTTCCAGTTTTGCGCGATGGACTGCGGCCAATAGGAGAGCAGCAGGCGGGTCTGGCGGTTCTTCTCGTCACCTGATAGGTCGGATTTATCAGAGAACGCTGCCTATTTTGCGAACACTGCGCGCACATACGGTGCTGTGAAAGGGGTCCGAGTTTTAATGGAGTTGTGGTCTGAACAAGAAGTGGTCTGAGATCTCAAAGGACCTGAAAGAAAACCGAGTCCTCTTTATAGGTCACTTACATTGTGAACACAAAAAGAACTGAGGTCATTTGCAAGTTGGTTCCCTTCTCGAACCGTGAAAACACTGTTAATGTAGTGTCATCTAAGGAATCAAAGGTCATGGGCATTCAGTTGTGGTTTTTGGCCTTGCAGAGATTTTTTTTTTAGATTCTCCACCTTTTTTAGTAATATTATGCACCACAGAGGGTGAAATACCTACAATCCTTGCAAATGCTCGTTGACTAATATTGGAGTACTTGCTGATGCGTTTTTGGCAAAGTGGCAAGCCTTGACCCATCCTTGCTCATAAAAGACTCAGCTTTTCCTGGATGCTCCTTTTATACCCAAGTATATTTACATCACATCTTTTATGATTTAAATGTTTTCTGAACATTTAGCAACAGTCCTAGTCTTAATTTGGCCCTGTCCAAACTTTTCTGGAATGTGTTGCAGTCATTAATTTCAGAATGAGCATATATTTACAAAAAAAAAATGAACAAAAAATAATGTCGATATGATAAAACATTAAATATGTTGTCTTTGTACTGCTTTTGTTTAGATAACACTCTTCAAAAAGATGGTTCTTCAAGGATTCTTTAGTAAAGGGAATGGCTCTATTTAGAAGCATTTGGTCTACATAGAACCATTTCACACTTAAATGGTTCTTCAGAATGTGTTGTATATGGTTCTATATAGCTCCAAAAAGGGTTCTGCTATTGTTATGATGTCAAGCTCGTAATAAGAGAGAAACCGTTTTTGTTGCCATACAGAACCATACACAACTTATTCTCCATCATTCTGAACAACCATTTAAGTAAGAAATAGTTCTATATAGGACACATAGTTCTAAATAGAACAATTCTCTTTACTAGGTCAAAGTGAATTTACAAACCACTGCTTTCTGTTTTTCTTTGCATTTCACAAACTTTTTTGGAAGGGGGCAAAAATCTGAAAGGCACAAAAAATTCCAGAACAAATGAGTTTGACTAAACATTAGCAGTAAAGTATAACTGATTCCGACTGATCTCCTGATTTGTTTTATTGCAGTACTTCTAGTCACTTTATAAGTACATTTAAATGGAAGTAGATCACTGTCCTATTCCCAACTTTATAATGCTTTATAAAGGTGTTTTTCTGGTTTTCAATAGAATATTTAAGAGACAGAAATTTTCTGGGGCTTCAACATCTTAAAGCTTTCGAACAATCCCTGCACTGGTTGAGGCCACAATCCTGTGACCTGTGATTTGACTGCGCCACTTAGTGGAAGCTGCATGCAATGTTTCCACACACTTCAAAAAGATTATTCTTCAAGGTTTCATTAGGAAAGAAAATACTTCTATATAGAACTATAAACACTCAAAGAACACTTTGCATCATGAAAGGTTTCGTCAGATGGAGAATGTGCTGTAGATGGTTCTATATGTATGTATATGTACGTATATGTATTCTATATATATATATATATATATATATATATATATATATATATATATATATATATATACACATACATATATCTATCTATCTATCTATCTATCTATCTATATATATATATATATATATATATATATATATATATATATATATATATATATATATATATAAATAATGGCAAGCCAAACAGGAAATATTTAATTTTAATTTCCCCCAAACAGACTGTTTACATTGTTATTTAATGTTGCTATGTTGTTGTTCTTCAGTTACAGTGTGTGTATGTGTTTACTGTGTTATTTTGTGTCCAGCTCAGAGTTAGTGAGAGTGTGTTTGTGTTTGGTGACCATCAGAAGAAAGAGTAGGGCTAGGAGTGACCTACGTCAATTTTCAGTTGCTTTTCAAGTGGCATTGTTTTCCCTTGCTCTCAACAAAAGAGCATTTTTCAAACAGAAATCATGGCCTCATCTGACTCTTCTTCTGCACCATGTCAAATTATGTATATACTGAAGCTCCACCCATCTGTGTCTTCACATCATATATCAGCCACTCTCAGGTCACTCTGTCCACAGGATCACTGTGTATAGATACTGGTCACTTTATCAGAATTCCCTTCCTTTAAGCTCAACCTGGTGTTTGTTAATGCCCATTTATTGATGTACAGTTTTTCTTGGCCATCCTCAACCCTTCAACAACGACTTTCATTCAATATATATCAAAGTTCATTGAATCTATATCAATGTTCATTAAATATTTCCTGTTTGGCTTGCCATAATATATATATATATATATATATATATATATATATATATTGTTTATTGTGTTTAGTCCAACTTTGCATTGCATCTGTGGGAAGCAAATGACAGCATAACTTATTTAGAATTAACTCCTAAAGTCAACTGAATATAAACATACATCCATGTTTATTAACAAAACAGAGTGATAACATTGCAGTTCTGCCCTCAGGGGAATTTTGGAACCAATAAACATCAACAAAAAAATAATACCACTGTTAAGTCATCATGGAAAGGTCAATCTCCCTCAGCTGGCAATGAACAGATTGTATTCAAACATGTATACTGTTTTATTCTGCTGGAAGATTTTGATGATATAAAAACTGTCCAGTTTCCAAATACCTCACATTGAGGCACTGCACTCTCGAAAACAATTCCACCTAACTCCGACACTGACACAAGACCCAAGCAAATTGATTTCCGGTGTTAAATTATACTCAAGACTCAATCACAACACTACCATTAACTGTACTATGGACACCAGATTTTATAGGACCAAACAAGTACTAAGGTTTGTCCCACCTCACATTCTCTTGCATATATTACAGGCCACTAATCTGAAAACCACTTGGTAAAAATAAGCATAAAAATGATGGAACAAGTGGATTTTTCTAAATATTAGCAACAGTGTAGCACTGATTCCTTCATTTGTTTTGCACCTGATGATTCTTGTTTAATTCTAGTTTTGTTGTACACCCAAATCAGGCTCACTTAATTTAGAATTTAGAAAACTCCTTAAGGCCTGAGTAAATTAATCAGATGTGTTAACCTAAGAGTTTGTTTTTAAAGAATGAAAAACACATCCATGTGAAAGACTCTTATTGACAATTTTGATTGCATTTCCTTACCATACGAGTCCTGCAAATCTGGACCATATATGAAGAGTACAGATGGAAACCAATGGAACATTTAGATAAAAGTGAAAATATCAGCAAAAAAACAAAACTTCCCTATGAATTTGATGTTTTGGTTTAGTTGGTCACCTTACCTGATTATGCTGTTTGACCAGCATCCCAGCATCTACTGAAGTCATTTCAGACCATTTTACTGATCTGTTTATCATGAAATCTGAACACAATTAAAAAAGTAACTGGAGTTACGCATTATGCAAATTATGCAATTGAGTAAGATATACAAAAAAATACAAGTTTTTGCACAACAGCAGAGATATGCTGGTGTTGCTGGACATCAGCATAACAGCATCCAAAACAACATATTCTGGTGACCAGCTGGTTTATGCTTTTTTTTTTTTTGGTTTTAGCAGGGAAATGAACAAACACTACTTTAACACTATAAACTGGTTGCCGTAAAAATTTTAGTTTACCGAACAAATAATAACAGAATGTAAAAGAGATTACGGTTTGCTTAGCTTCCTACTAAAAGTTCAATGAACTCAACATTTTAAAGCAATTAGGTTACTAAGTTAAAACACAACCTTTTTTTTCATTAACATTAGAAATTAAAACCCTTTTGTTTCCATAAGAACTATAATTTCTCAACAAATGCATTTACCGCTTTCTTTCATTTACCATTAACACAACACTTCCAAAGTGGAAGCCTAAATAACTGCGATCATCTTAAATAACTGCAATTAGGCGATTATGAAATAATTATGACAGACATGTTTTTAAAGGTGTTTCTCTGGCTCGTAGTTGAATGTTGAGAAATTTTGAGGGGCTTGGACCTTGAATAATCACTGCACTTGTTCTGTTCAGGCCAAAATGCTGTGACGACTTGTTTTACTGTGTCATCTACTGGAAGCTGCATGTATTACACTGCAAGCAGAACAAAACACACCTTTCACATTGGTCTGTTTTTATTTCCTAGGAAAAGTTGAGATTGGGAGCATTCAATGCAATAAGCAGTACTCAATATTACAGAGAGGTTTAGAATTTCTACAAAAATGGCTGGTTACAATTCAGCTATTCTGTTGTATTCGTAGAAGAAAATCACCTGCCAGCAATTATTCTCTGGTTATAGATTCTATGATTTAGAAGTATATTAATATACAGAAATCTCTATCCTACCAAAAAGGAAAACAGCATTTCTCCTGATAAATATAGTACAGCCAGAAAGAAGTTTAAACTATTTACATTCATTCTTTTGAGATAATAGAAACTGAGTAACATTGAACAGAGGGCACAATGTATTTTAACAGCTGAAAAATATTTACTAGGGATTAGATTTCTCTGAGTAAAACGTTCATTACTATTAAATGATCCTGAACAATAGAATTCAAAATAAAATGACACAGCAGAGTGCATGTTTCAGTATTCAGAATACAAGAATTACCTTACAAATGTGGAACTTGCTTTACATGCCAGTTTTAAATGCATTTAAAGGAAGAACAATTAACTACAGTCCTGCTGAATGATGGAAAACAGTAAAAAGGTTTCCCCAGGTAGTCTCTCACTCTCTTTGTACTCACACATGCCCATACATATATACATGCCACCTATCCCAACATAAACTGGAATGTTATTAAAGAAAGAAATGCAAATCCAGAAGATTACAGAAAACGTGGCATCTTTTCTGAGACGGAAAATGGGGAAAGAAACCACAGGCACAGTATGATGGCACATAATACAAATACTTTCAGAGTTGGAGCTGAAGTTGACCCCATCAGTGAAGTTGACCATGTCTTTGAAAGGGAATTCTATAGATTTTATTTTTAAATCAGTCATTCAGAGAGGACCGATGTGAAATGTGCCACTGTAAACAAACTTAAGAGTCAGATTTGTTCACAGTGAAGAGTTAAATTACTCAATGAACAACTTCACAGAAAGTAATTACATGGTTACAATTGCAGTGGCTGATGCCTGATGCACTGTTTTACCATAGCATAAAGATAAAGTTTGGGCCTAAACCTATTATTTCAACACCTTTCATAGTGGAATGCTTTATGAAAAGCATTTTAAAGCAAGTAGTACCCAATGAAACTTTTTTGCATTTTGGTTTTATCATTATCAGCATTGGATATAAAACTTGGAAGACAGGATACTGGCTGACCAGTCACTTTGGAAATAAGACAATTATTATAATTTGCAATATAGACATTATGACTCCTGGCTCCCATGACCACTACTGCGAGTCTGCAAGTTTTTCTACAATGCATCACTTCACATCAGACCACTCTGAATTACTTAAATCTCAACAATGTAATTGTGCAATAATGTTGTAAAAACAATGGAATTCCTCTGTTACTTTGATATGATAAGCTGATGTGTTATAAACACTGCTTGATGAGCCAAAAAAGTGGCATGGCCTGTATTGTCTTTAACAGCCTTGCACAGTATATAGGCACCTATTAATACTGGAGGATACTGAAGTTCAGACTTGGGGGGCAAACAGAGAGAGAGATCATAAAGCACTGTCATTTTGGGCGTACCGTTTTGTTAGTCCCAAAAAAACAAATAACAGTGGACATATCGAGCAGGTCAATCAGTCAGTACAGTACACCCCCCCCCACATGGACGGATATATTGTGTACACACTGTGACCAATACCACAAACGTGGTAATTCCAGGCCATATAGATTCTTAGAATTATATATTCTTGGAGTTCTTTGAATAAAAATGATAAGGGATCAGTTGATGCATTTTACATAGCACTGAATAGAACTTCAAGGGCCAAAGAGACCTGGCTAGTGTTCTTACTACAATACACTTAATAAATGGGTTGAGGTTAAGCATCAAGAATTATCTGAATGCTAAAAGACCTTGAAAGCGTTACATGATGTGGTGCCTTGACTTGATAGAGATCATTTTAAAACAAAAATAGGCCAAAAACACAAGGTGTGAATTTGGAACATATGTGCTAACAGCAAGAATCCAAAGCTTCAGGTGATGCTTTTCCACAGAGAGCAACTCACTGTTCATGTTTAAATATATTTATGAGATACTTTTTTGCTACTAGATGGACCATGGAGGTAACAGAAATGATCACTGGGGTTCATACAAATTAAAGGAATACTTTGTAGCGTTTCAATCAAATCTCTGTCTGCTGCATCTCTATCATACAGTCGATTGCCAGAGACAATAATTAATGGAAGAAAGAAAAAAACAAAACTAACAGAAAAGAAAACCAGCTGCCTCAAATCACATTTACAATTGCTTCGGCTTCTGCCCATTGGCTTCTATTTAAGGGTGTTTCAGGTCAACAGGTATTCATCATTTAATAAGCAAAAGGAAATGCATCAAAACCACTATCCATGGTACCTGACTATATGCAGCACATGCAGCAGACAAAGATTAGCTTTTAAAATGACAGACTATTCTTTTAGTATGAAAAATACAGCCATGATGCTCAAAACTTCTGTTCTATTTGTTTTCTAGTTTGATAAGCATGCTTTGCCTTAGTTATGTCAGCTGACAGCTGTAAAGATAGGTACTAAACTCCAATCAAACAATGACTTAAGAGAAATATTAAAGAAGACATACTGGAGCCATGAACATCAGATCACACAAACTATGCAAAACAGTGAAAGACCACCTGTAGTTTTCAGTGTAACATTACCCCTTTAGAGTAGGCAAAGTACGACAGGGAGGATTTTATTATGATAACAAAAAATAGGTGGGGGGAAAAGGCAAGATTAAACTGTGTAGTGTATTCCTGACTTACATGTATGCCCAAAAAAACAGAGCAGTTCCTGCTGCCCTCGCTGGCACTCACACGTCTATTGGCACAATACAGCATGAAATTAAGCGGACCTGGCGAAAGTTCAGGCTTTAACACTTTGAGGCATGCTGCCTCTGAAAGACAACAAAGGCTCTGATGCATGACCATACTGATCAGACACGCGCAGCAAAAAGAAGGTGGTACAAGACACCAAGACGAAAACATCAAAGGAGAAGGAACCGGATAAGGATAAGAATGAGTAAAGTAGTGGACGTGCCATTTGACAGGCTCCAAAAGTCCTGCATGGTGTACATTTAAAAAAAAATCTTCTGAATAAAATCTCAGCACTAGCATCCAGATATAAAAAGAGGAATTAACTGCAAAAATCAAGTTAGCTGTTAAAATAAAATCCTTGCAAAGTTAAATAGGTTAGACGGAGAGTCAGAAAGCTTCTCTCTGGCCTGGAGCTGCTTCTTCTGTCCTGCATTCCTGGATCTTGCTTGCACCTGCAGTGCCCAGAAAGGGAGAGATCTGTGAGATTCCACAGCATGTCTGTACATGTTCACATACTCCACTCATGCAGTGGAGCTCATTACAAGCAAGCAAAAAAAGTGTCCAGATTACCAACAAAAGTTTGTTTTCTCTACCTTTTGGTATCTTGTGAACCAAAAGTGAATGTTGACTAAGTTTTTACAGATAGAGAACTACACAGTGTGACGCCTACAGTTCCACAAAAATTGCAATTGCAGGGGCCAAGCACCATATAAGAACATCACACTCATTGAGAATTTTTGGACACTCTGCTCTAGAAGGTACTGCAAGCACTTTCAAGCTTGCAGTACCCTCTACAGTCTGGCTAACTACATACAATTGGAGTATGCATGGGCATCTATACAATGATCAATGCATACAATAAGCGCCAAAATACCTTCAGTACTTGGCCGCTACTTTACAGAACGTACATTACAACAGCTCAAAAGTAGTGCAGAGGAAAATTTTACAAAATCTACTGGCAGAAGAGGAAAGAGGTAACAGACAAAGAAAGGGACAAACACAGCCAGTGCTTCCCACAGATCTGAAATATACTTTGGTGCTGATGCAGGGAGCTGGGGGGGGGGCGCAACACCGACTCCAAAACAAAATTAATCATAACCTTTTATGAAGCAATGACTGCACTCAGCTAATACAATCTCGATTCCAAAAAAGTCAGGACATTGTGGAATGCTAATAAAAACTGAAAGCACCGATTAATAAATTCTGTGTCATCTTTATTAGATTGAAAGCGATACAAAAATGATGAAACATAGGAGGTGAAAAAACAGACTACGCTAGTAACATTAGCAGAGGTAACAGAAAATTAGCATTTGTCTGTTTATCTGCCTCTCTCCATCTAAATTTCTAGCCACATGTTGTCTACTGTGGCTGTACGTGGTCTGGAAATGGCTTTAATTTAATGCAATAATGTCAAAATCCTGATTAGGGTGCTGAAAAACTGAACAATGCTCAGAGTCAGCAGCAGAAAAAATCTGCGCGTTGCACGAGATGCTGTGTGGTGGTCTTATATGTTCGAACCAGGATGAGAGAACACGCTGCAGAAGGCCAACCACCGACCAGGAAGCAACAGGATGTTTCCGAATAGTAAGGGTTTACATTCACGTTTATAGCCCTGTTTTGCACTGTGAGTGTGTAGTGATTTATTGACGACGATATCTTGCTGTCTTAGCAAACACAAAGGATTTTAGCATTAACCGTCCAATGTAAACCAGTCACAGAATGCTAAGCAACGTGTGCTTATCTTAAACTTCTCCTACGTATAGGTTTTGTATCACGAGTCTGATTAAGGCCAGAAAACTGATCACTCCAAGCTGAAATGTCACTCATGTAGACTATAAATTTCAGTATTTTTCAAGAGCTTAGGCAAGAACTGATGTCTTTTTTATAAGAAAAATACATCAAAAAGGCAGGCAATTTCTCGAATGGAATATACAGTGACAAGTGAGCACATAAACTGGCAAGGAAAATGCAGGTTTGTTTACTTGGTCTTCTTTAATAATCATTTGGGGACTTAAGACACCAATTGATCCAATTTTGAAAGAAATATTTTGCCATACTTCAGTTGCACAGGTCATCAGCTGTGCATCCTTACAGGACGTGTGTTGTTATATTTTTAGCTTAATAAGACACGTTTTCAATGGGAGACAGGTCTGTACAGCAGGCAGTACAGTCTAGCACCCACACTCTCTCATTATGCAGCCATGCTGTTTCAACACATGCAGAATGTGGCTTGGAGTTGGCATGTTGAAATGAGCATTGTGTCCCTAAAAGACAGCAAAATGCATTCAGGGTTAAGGGTACTTTCACAAATGTGCACATTACCCACTAATAATCCCCATGACAGACCCTCTCTTTTGAACTCTATGCTGGTAAAAACGTGGTTGGTCCATTATTTCCATAAACAAACTGAAAGGCAGCACACGTTTCCACTGTGCACTGGTCTACTTCAGAGGTGACTGAGCCCAGAGAAGTCAGCAGTGTTTCTGGACACTGTTGATACGTCTTTCGCTGTGCATAGAACAGTTTTAACTTGCATTTGTGGATGCCGCAACAAGCCCATGCAGTGATATCATTAAAGTGGTGACCCTTGCTCATAAAGGACTAGGCCCTTCCTGGATGCTTCTTTTATATCCAAGCATGATTGGATCACCTAGATGTTTTTTTGAAATGAATTAATACAAATGCTAAACATTTTTGTAAATGATCAAACATTCTTGGGTGGGTGTTCATATGCTTGGACACACTGCCAAAGTATAACATTTGTGTGGGAAACACTGACTGAAATAACTATTATCAAACATCTCCAGTGGGCTAGTTAGAGGGGCACAGAGATTAGGACTTACCTGACTATTTATACTGACGATGCAAATAAGTTCAGTTAGATGGGGACGTTTGTTATTGTGCAAAACAAGGAAAAACTAATGTAATGTAATGTTCATGGTTTCCCCATGTTAAGGGGACATGTCATTTTCAGAGCAAAATGACATGCACATGCTATAGAGCTTGTAGTCCCTTGGTAATGCCTCTGTGAAATGTGTGGGAGTGAATTTAAACAATGTAAAAACTCATGCTTAGGACTGAACTTGAAATTACCTCATGCAAAGTACATTAACAGTAGTTGTCAATTGCATCAAAGAACGAAAAGTGAAGAGGAAAATCTAGAGTTGCCAGTAGGGAGAGAAAGTAAAAATAAATAAATAAAAAGGAGAAGATAGGGAAAAGAGAAAGAAAGAAAGAAAGAAAGAAAGAAAGAAAGAGAAACAGTCTTAGTTTGAGGGATGAATTTAAAAACAAAACAAAGTTGTCTCAGAGTTAAACAGATTCCTTCTATGGTTAGCTAACATATCAATTTAGCACTACAGACATTTTGAATGACCACGGTTAAATAACAATGTGTTACTTGCCCTAAATGTCCATTACCAAAAGTCATGTTGGGTGTGTCCATACCCTCAGTCACAGCTCTGTACCTTGAGTAGTGTTCTTCTCGTTTAGGAGTTTAGTCTGGCTATTGGGCAGGATCTTAATCTCAGGTGGATCAGGGCTCTGTGCAACCCGGGAAGCCATTAAGGCATTGAGGTACTGCAAGCGGGTTACCTGCGAGAGACAAGCAGAAAGACAAGTGATTGTAAAGATGGAACAAACAGGACTTGCCTTTCAAGAGAAAAGCACAAGTATTATTACTATTATTATTATATTTTTATGTGGCACTATTTTATCTGTCCCAACCCATTAAATCATAGATAAACTAAATATCGTAATGCATATCATGTATCATATTGTCTAAGTATCTAATAATTTTTTTGCCATATCACCAACCTCTGTCATACATTCGGTTGCTCACAAGGAGGAACAATTTAATGTTTAAGTAGTCCAAATATTAAACTTAAATGTAATTTTCCTTTACCCTAACTACCTAGCATTGTCATTAGCTTGAATTTATAGCTGACAGTCAACACAGTCACAAATCTTTTTACATCATTGTACATGTTTTAATATCAAGAGTTGCACTCTTGAGAGGTAGAACAATAAGTATCAACTTGAAAAAAAAACACAGAGAATGTAGGTAAACACTTCTTTGAGTACCTCCATTGTTTAAACATACATACATACATAAATAAAACACAAAAGGATTCATTTCCACAGGATATGATGGAATATTTACAGGCACTGCAATACACCAAGGATTAATATAACCTAAGGTTATTTCTATAGCTTGTTTATTAGATGTAAAAGCTGCCAGAATCTTTATAAATAAATAAATAAATAAATAAAAAAAATAGGTAAAAAAAATGGTAAAAATAAATGAATAAGATGAGATTATGGCATTAATGGCTGACAGTTAATTAACTACTTGTTCTTAAGCAGATCATGTAGTTACTACACACTGGTTGCGGTTGACAGGCTTTCTGTAATGGGTGGAGTATGATCCATTAGTTCCACTCATTACTTATAGCATACTAATATTTGTCATATTCGAGACAGATGCCTCATTATAGAGAAAAGAGAAAAGGTACTGAGGCTATACCATTGGAACTGGAGAGCAGCCACCTTCGACTCACCTTGATGAGCTGCAGGTCAGTGAGGGCTCGGACTGTGTAGTCAGGACAGTAGCTGGACGGGCTGGTAGCATCTCCCAGCTCAAATGGATCTCTAGGGGAGTGACGCTGTGTGGAGACTGGGGACTGATGCACTGCATGGATACAGAGAGGATTCGTTTTTCTACACTACTCACAATCGGCTATTACAAAGCTAGAAAGGCAGTAGTCACCAAACCTTCTCAGTAAGATTTACCTTTTGGAGCTTAGATTGAATTCAATTCTAATAAACTTGTGCCAGCTAACTGAGGACTTTGAAACAAGACTGATTAACTGGCTCAGGAAAAGTTACAGTCTTCAACAGAACTCTAAGAGAAGGGATGGTGACCACTCCTTCATTATTATGCATACAAGGTGATGATCAATAAGAGATTTGATTATCATAAAATCATAGTTTAACTGGATTACCATCATGCATTACATACCAGAAGAAGGTGCTGTCAGCGCCGACACGCCATAGTAGGTGAAGGCGCCATTCTCAAACTTTAAGCCCTCTTTTCCAATCTCTACCTCTACACGCCCCTACACACAAAAAAAATCTACATGTACAAATTAATATATCTACTGCATAAAATACATGTATTGCTCTGAATGTCTGTCTTTTAATAGCAAAAACGTGGTTGGGATTTCTGTCTTCGCAACAAGAACACACAGTGTCACACCTATCAGGCATAACAACATTATGACCACCTCCTTGTTTCTACGCTCATTATCCATTTTATCAGCTCCACTTACTATATAGGTGCACTTTGTAGTTCTACAGTTACAGACTGTAGTCCATCTGTTTCTCTGTATAACTTGTTAGCCCCCCTTTTACCCTGTTCTTTAGTGGTCAGGACCCCATGGACCCTCACTGAGCAGGTATTCTCTGGGTGGTGGATCATTCTCAGCACTGCAGTAACACTGACGTGGTGATGGTGTGTTAGTGTGTGTTGTGCTGGTACGAGTGGATCAGACACAGCAGTGTCCACTCTTAGACATTCCTACCTTGTCAGTCCACCTTGTAGATGTAAAGTAGAGATGAAACGGTTACTGGTTTCACGGTAAACCGTGGTAAAATTAATGGCGGTTAGTAGTACCGTTTGAACTTTAAGTATCGTTAAAACCGCGGTCGATTACCGTGGTGTGAAAACTCAGAGATTCAGAGATATTTCAGCCCTCTAAGAAGATCAAGTCTGACATTAGGTCATATTTTGGGTTTTATAAGGATGCAGAAGGAAAGTTAAAAGTTAACTGAAGATGACCAGCCTCTCTGCAGAACATGCCGAAAGAAAATTGCGGCGAAAGGGGGCAACACATCAAACCTTCGAGTCATCTTCGCGACCACCACCCGCTACTTGCAAGAATGCAAGGGTAACTTTAACGTAGAACTCTGTGGGGACTTCGAAATAGACGAAATGTCATGGTTTGTGTGGTTTAACTTGTGCTTATGGTTCGTTAATAATATAAAATGAAGCTTTTAGCGTCAAAAAACCCCCCCCCAAAAAAACAGTCGGTGAATCAACTATGAAACTAAAGCTTTTAACAGTGTCTCCAAAATGAGCTCTGAGTTAAGAGTCACACAAGCCCTGGAACGAGACGCTGCAAAACTGTTCAATCTGCACAGCTCCCCTTTCTCGTCTCACTTGCAGTGTTTACTGTCTGAGAAGAGAATAACACCGTCTCAAATCACTCAGTGTCCCCCTAGTGCGCTACTGTTAAAACAAACACGATCATCATTAACAAGCAGCTGAGCTTTAAATAGGGAATTTGTAACCTATTGTTAATGTTGATTATAGATGACTTAGTCGAACATTTCACGCACTCTTTGGGTGAAGGATTTGCTATTTCATGATCCACGAAGTGCACTACATAGGGAAGATAGTGTGCTTTGAGACGGGACCTCGTGCGAGTAAACGCAGTGTGCTGCTTTTAGGAAAAGCAGAGTTTCAGAGATTAAACTTTAGGAGCGTTTGGCCGCAGCTCAGATGCATGTTAATTTTAAGTTATGTTTTAGTTTTAAAATGCTTTTAGAGGAGTAGCTCAACAGGTGAAGACACACTGTATGAGTTCTACACTGTCTGCAGCTCACAGCGCGGTCACACAATTCCTCTGTGATTTTGTTTTTAGTTTTTCCTGGTGCGCTGTATTGATTAGGGGTACAGCGCCACAACGGCACAATAATGCTGCAATTGCAGTTCGGACAGAAATCCCCCGAGTGCAGCACTTCTTAGAAGTAGTAATTTTCCATTAAGACCCACCTCAGAGTTGGTTGAGATTTAATTCTCTATGCAGGGATACCCCTAGTTATTGTAATTAATAATAATAATAATAATAATAATAATAACAATAATAACAACAACACAACAACAGTAATAACAGTAATAATAATAATAACAGTAATAATAATACATTACACAGCAGTGCTGAGTATGATCTACCACCCAAATAGTAACTGCTCTGTGAGGGTCCATGGGGGTCCTGACCACTGAAGAACAGGGTAAAAGGGGGCTAACAGAGCATGCAGAGAAACATATAGACCACGGTCTGCGGTCTACGGTTTTTGCTCACTCTTGCTTCAGCAATTTTTTTTGCTTTTAACTTTTGGCACTTTCTAACAGGGATGTTAGAAGAAGGCTCCACCTGCTCTTTCTACTGGTTAACTGATTTATAGCGACAGGTCTTTTGAACATGCCTCTGCCTTGAACATGGTGCAGTACTTCGTAGTGAGTGTAGAAATGCCAGGGAAGATTGCACTGAAATGTTCAACATTATGAACAATGTTTGTCATATTTATTAATGTCATACTTGCCACACAAGCTCAGGGTCCTGTGCCAAGATGTGCAAAACATATTTTGGAAATTTAGGTATATTAGGTAAACAAAGCTGTACCATCTTTTGTTTTTGCAGCTGCTAGCACTAACTAGCCTCCCAGTGTTTGCTAAAGGGCTAATTCGGCGAGCTTTGCAGATGTTTAAATCAGTGTTTATTAACCCTGCATCTAGCAACCAACAGCTCCGCATGGAGCCTTAAAACACTTTATTCAGCTCATCAACTGATTAATAAGCTGTTTGTGAGCTGAATCAGGTGTGTTGGGTCAGAAAATAAATAAATAAATAAATAAATAAAACACTGAATCTGTGGTGCTCTGGGTCGAGAAAAATAACGTAGCACTGGATAAATACAGTAAAGAGTGGAAATTACTGCCTGCTACCAGTTACTGCTGCCATGAGATAGCTGATAGGTGGTAATGTTTAATCACTACAAAGGGAATAATGTTGACATGTTATGGTTGGCTGTAACGTTCAGGTGGTAATTAAGGTTGCTATGTCAGCCTTTTTTCCTTTTTGGCTGTAGAATCCCTCCATGTCATTCACTGAAACAGGCTTTCTATCACAGCACACAAATTTACAGAATACTGCTGCTCCAAATCTCCGCCTTCAGATTAATACAGTAATTTAGACATTTAATCAGTTTAGTTCCATTACCAGTATGCCTAGCCTAGTTAGCCCTAGAGGACTCTGCTAGACTACTTAGTGCTAGCAAGTGCATATTCGAAAGGTGGTACAGCTTAGTTCGTTTATAAATAAGTTTGTGTTCTTCATCGCCCAAAATAAGTTTTATCCTGTAATACAGGCCGACACAGGTCCCATAAATGGGGGTTACATTAATAATTTAAAAGGAATATGACAAACATTGCTCATATCAGATTTGCCACAACAACGTTTCATCCACCACAGAACTCCATACGACATGTTAAAAAAAAAAATAAATAAAAAAAATCAGAAGCAAGGAAAAATTTCAGAAGCAAAAAAAAGACAGAATAAAAAAATAATTTGCAAAATTAGCAAATAATATTAAAGCAAAAACTAAAAAAAAAAAAGTTTTTGGGAAAAAAGTCTGATTTACTCTCATTATGTGTGTTTACAGCATATTTTTGACATTGATACGTAGTATATTGCTTTTCCATAATTTATGTTGAATTTTATAATTTTTTATTTGAAATTTTTGGCACAAAATCAACCCCATAAAACTGCATTTGCTGTTGGTGCACATCCATGACTGCAATAGCCCTACCCACCAGACTATGTGTTTCATATTCATTCATTACCAATGCACCCCTACTACTTATGTGAATGTAAACAACAACAAACAAAACAACATTTGTTTACGAGTTAGTGGAAGAGGCCACTGAGTTCTTACAAATTTTCACTCCATGACAACTCCCTCTATCAGTGTTTTTCAAACCTGGCCCTGGAGGCCCACTACCCTGCACATTTTAGTGCTTTCGATACTTTAATACATCCTCTTCAACTCAATAATAGGCTGTTAATGTGCTGATTAGTTGGATCCGGTGTGTTGGGAGCAGGGGAAACACTAAAAAGTGCAGGGCAGTGGGCTCCTCGACCAGGGTTTAGAAAAACTGCTCTATATTACTGCCTTCTCAGCCTTTGATCCCAGGCATGACATCTGCATGTGTTTTCCCTGCTCTGACATGTCTGATACACTTCATGAAAGGCCTGTTGATAACCTGACGGGTCAAATCAGAGCAGTGTACAACAAAACCGGATTCAACTGGATTTGCTACCGGAGCTAGCCTATTGTAATCAGTGGTACTGTATGTTAAGTTCAAAGCTAGTATGCCAACTCAGGAATTCAGCTCCACACACAAACACATACAAAACACTAGGTCTCCAAAACTGGTACTGAGAAACAATAACCCATTCCCATACAGTTACATGAAGCATTACATGTGCTTGAAACAATAAAAGACTTTGTTGCGTTTCATCACGCTGTGTTAGTAACTTAACAACTAAAGTGCCAGAGGTTCTGCAAATTATCTTCTTGCAGCTACTACCCAAGTGGACATGCTAGTACAAGTTTAACAATGTAAAGTAAATATTTTTGTAGAGGAAAAATCCCCCTGCTTCCATTTTAACCAAACATGCACATCATGAACACTGCAAGACAACGGAGTGAGCAACCATAGTTAATACACAGTCAATCACATAGATAATGCAAATGTCCACTAAGAAAGATCCTACTGATGCCATAAGTAGTGCACTAAGATACTATGAAGTTATTTCAGACACAGCCGCGGTGTTATACACCCTGGCAAGCTCACCTGTAGCAGCAGAATGAAGTAATCCACAGGGTGGTTGCGTGTGTAGAGGTAGTGATCAGGACTCAGACGGTTGCTTGGGTCAAACTTCACTTCTTGGTTGACACTCGGGTGTCGTAAGAGATGAAATAAGACTTTTTCTGACACACGCTGTGGATTGAAATGCTCCACCTCTGCAAGAGGGGAAAAAGAGGGCAACCACAAGCATTAAAGCACTCATGGTAATGACTAAGCTCAATATCTGTGCACTTAGTTACTTCTGTGGAACACTATCGTACTGTACTCATGACTAAATATTCATAAACTATAATATATGTATATTTTTGCATTTTAGCAACTGGAATCTAGTAAGAAAGAAGTACAGGTTCAAACTATCAGCTCTGAGGTGATAAGGGGAAATGATAAGGACACCAATGCCTTACAGGATTGCTCAATGTACGACAAAAGTTATCTACTGCTAAATATGAGACAAAAAAAATTCTAAAGCTTTGTTTGCAGGCGAGCTTGGCTAGACAGGTTCCAGTATAATTTCATAAAGATCAGGGCTGTCCGAATTACTCACAACCAAAGCGTCAAAATGAACGTTTGGAAAACACCACAGGAGGCCATAGATGTGGTTTAATAATAACAAACCTATGCTTTAAATCTGAACTACCATGTGCAAATTCATCCTTGCATTTGTGAGAGATGCGGCCAACAGACAGCATGTGTATTTACATAAACAAAAAAAAGTCCATACAAAATGAATGCATAATAATGAGAAACATCGGACAGGCTTAACTACTAGCTAAACACATGTGCATCTCACATGATAGCTTGAATTAAAGCCTCACGTGTGATCTTAAATGTGTATTTTTTTTTACCTATTTAAAGTTTATTTTAAAATAATTAATGTATGGAAGCTCTAGGTACTTTATAATGCTGACATATTTAGCATTAGTATTTCATTAAACATTATGTTCACTTAATGTACATTTTGCATAGGAATTGCGTTCCTGTAAATGTTCATACTATAAACTAAAAATGAATGCTGACCCCACATACTGATTATCAGTCTCTTTGTTGCAGTGTAGAGTGTTTTGGTTATGTATTCTGATAATGCCAAACCTCTGGAGAGGAAGCGGTGAGTGGCCAGCAGGAGCTGAGGAGATGTTCGGATCTTCGGCTCGCCTTCGGGCAACTTGAAGAGCGAGAACTCCTCCGGCACTGTGCGCGGCTCCAGAGGAATCTCCAGCGGGGGAAGAGGACGCTTCACTTTCATGTTCACTTAAGGAAAGAGCAAAGTAGAGTACAAAGCCACTTTAATGGAGGAAAGCAGGTTTAGGAAGCAACAAGTTAAGCTGTTCAAGCCATGGCACACTGACCCAATAAACCCAAATGCTGGGTCTGCACCATACCCATGTGTCAATGCAAAGAATCGTAGGATGTTCTCCATTCACACTGGATCACTGGTTTGTCATTCTTGCGGAAAAGTATAATGCAGACAACATTCTTAAACAAACTCAAACTCTAATATATGCAGTTGGCTGTTCCATAAAGAAAATCAAGGACATTAGAGGACACTGGCTTGGTGTGCTTTGGGCTTTGGAGACACATTCTACTTACTATAACCATCAGACTCGTCCAGGATCTCCGACTTGATTATCTCCTCGATAACATCCTCCAATGTAACAAGTCCCAGCACCTCATAGAAGGGGTCTCCTTCTCCCTCATTGTTGACTCTCTGTACTATGGCCAGGTGAGAGTTGCCTGGGAGAAAAAAAAGGAAAAAATACAAAACAAAAACAAGACAACGTTACATCGCAAAACTCTTCGGTGCAAGGAGTGGAGGAAACTATAATGGAAAGACTTCTAAACATTCACCTTTCTTGAACTCCTCGAGCATAGCATCCAGCTTGGTGTCGTTGAAGACGAAGTGCAGTGGGTGATTGTAGAACTTGGTGATGGTGGTCATGGGCGTGCAGTCCTCGGGGTCGACCAATGCCAAGTCCTTCACGTACAGGATCTCCACGATGTTGGACCTCTCTTCCTCGTAAACGGGCACGCGCGTGTAGCCGCTCTGCATGATCTCAGACATGGTGCTGAAGTCAAGCACGGCCGTGGAGGGCAGCATGAAGCAGTCCTTCAGGGGGGTCAAGATGTCCTCCACAGTCTTGCTCCTCAGCGTGCCCCTGCGGAACTCCTCCTTCACGAACTCGCTGTAAGGGTCGTTCACATTCGAGCGGACCATCTCCATGACCTTCTCGCGCACGCCGCACGTGCTCACGTCGCGTCGCAGGGCCAGGTCCAGGAGAAGTCCGAGCGGGCAGGACAGCGGGCAAGTGATCACCAAGCACGCCTGGCCCAGCCATATTAAGCTGGGAGCGATATAGAAGCCGTAGCCTGAGCTTATGATGTGGGGCAACAGCTCGGCAAGAAGAAACAAGAGAACGCCACATGTGAACACGGCGGGAAGGATGGAGCCAAAGGCGCGGTAGAGAAGCACGCCAAGCGCGGAGTGACCCAAAGCGCAAAGAAAGAGAAGCGAGCAGACTAGAAAGTTGCCCCTCCTGCGGATCGGCTCGAGGCGCTTCGCCGCGCGCCTCTCGTCCTCAGAGCCGCAGCTGTGCAGCACGTAGAGCTCCAGGGGGTCGGGCCAGAGCAGACTGAGACTCAGGCACCTTATCAAAGCACATATAAGCACCAGAGCGATGATGATTATGGCCAGGGCCCATGTGGGAATCCACTCGGCAGGCAACTCCGGCTCCTTCAGTCGCAATCTGTCCGGTCCCACAGACTCCCACGTCTCCCCGTTTAGCACGCACAAGCGGAACAGGACCACACTCGCTTCGTTTTCTTCCTCGCTCGGGCTTCCCTTAACGACGCTGACTTCGATCACACCGCTGTTGTTATCATCCGCGCTGAACCCCTTCTGCACTCGGAAAGCAGAGGAATTCCTCAAGCTCTCCTTCCCGCAGGGGTCCTTCGCGGGCCCAGCATCTGCAGCCTCCTCGTCCACTGCTCCCGCGAACGCGACCACCGGCCAAGTCGCATTACTGAGCAGGTCGGTGCCGAACAGCCTGAGCTTGAAGGTGGACCCTCGCGAAGCGACGAGCACGCGCCCGCGCACGTACACGTCCTTGCCGGTCTCCTTGTCCATTTCCAGCCGCAGGCCAACAAGCCGCTGGCCGTACCCGCCTAGCCCGAAGCCGCACAGCAGCGATATCATCAGCAAGCAGCGTACATCCACCGAGCCGACCACCATATTGGAAACGGGCAGCTCGCCTTTCCGCCAATCATGTGACGCTCGCCTGCCTTCCGTCACCCTCCTACCGTTTTTCTCGTCTCCACGTAAAATAAACACGGAAACGTCCTCCCGAGCATCGCCATATCGGATAGGGGAAAATCCAAAGTCTTCAGAACGCTCGTGCAAACGTCCCTCTCATCCCCGACAGCTCGCTACGGCGACGAAGAAGACGGTTGTTTTTTCCTTCTATGGCGGATCTACGTCGAGACCTTCATCGACCAATGAGATTAGCGCACTGTTTGTGTCCAATAGGAGAACGCGATAATGGAGAAACCACGCCCACTATGAAAAATAAGCGTGAAATAAACAACAAAACGTACACATCTTTAGCTTCCTCGCTGATTCTGATATGAGAGAAAACGAAACTGATCAATGAGGCCATTTTTTATTTTAATTTTAAATATTTTAACTTCTCTTTTTAACCTCTTTCAAATGCAAAAAACCCAAACATAGCTGTTTAAACGGGAAAGGAAAAGGGATTTTTTGTGCATATGCAAAGTCGCAGGTAAAATTCGAGTGATTTCTACTCTTTGTTCAAAATAACGAGATTTCGTTTTGCAAGAAACCCATGTAACAACTAACTACAGACAGGTGACAAATTAAAGACAAGAACGTGCTATAGTAAAGTGTCGGGCCTTCTAAACAGTTTCACAGTTACACTTTATTTCCCTTTAAGGAAAAAAAAAACATCCTTTTTGTAAAAATGAGCAAAGTTTGCTATGGCAAATTACGCTGTACAATTCTCTGGAACTGCACAGGACGAATGGAATACTATTCTTCCAAAGATATTCCCTAAAACGATGTTTTGGTGGTGGTGGAGAACGCTGTCTATTAATAACACAGTAGTTAAGAGGCACAGATGTACAAGAAAATACAAGGGGATTTGTTTTTATAGAGAAATAGATCTCTCAGATTTATTGTCATTCATCAGAACTCCTCTAGCATTTATTATAAAACACTATATACACATTGCTTTAAATAGAACAACCAAAGATAATTGGAGGTACAGTACATTTGCTCGTTACACTCTTCTTCCCTTAAAAGAGAAACACAGATCATATAGTAATAATCAGACTCAGTGATTTGTATAGTAAAAAGAAAGCCACTTCAAATCTACCCCTCAGCAAAACAAACATATGGGTGGGTGGGGGGGCAGTCTCCATCACAAAACTATAATTGAAACACTTTTTTTCCCTTTAAGGAAGAAAAAAACATCCTTTTTGTAAAAATGAAGAAAGTTTGCTATGGCAAATTCACAGCAAGTACATGGAAGACAAGCATGTTTCTAGAAATGATATGGTACCTTAGTGGCCAAAAGACCTATGCTAGTTTGCTGGACAAGGCCTTTTGTTGTTCCATTGGGCCAACATATGACACGCACGACCGCAAACATTGACAAGTAAATCATGCACAGTGGAAAATGGGCCCATTTCCTGCAAACATTCATAATCTTTAACCTCCACTGTTGACAAATCATCAAACTGAGGACGCTGTACTGAAAAAGCCAGTTACACCTCAACAAGTCATTCAGGAGCAGTGGCAATGAACATTAAAAGGAGATTACTGGACTGGACCTCTAGCCCAAAGGAATTTAATTAGTTCTGAGCTGCAGGAGTGTCTCTGTCTACAATGCAAACCCCGCTAGCAAGCAGGGTCGCCTCTGTTATTATTGAAGGAGATATAGGCAGATCAAAGTGCAAAAAGCTTTGGCCATTGTGTTTATCAATGAATTTGAAAGCGGCATTGTAACTTTGGTCATGTTAAACAGTAATGCATGGTCATAAACATTATGTTCACAAAAAACTAAACACAGTTTGGTTCAAACCCGAAAGGAATATTGACTTAATTGTACACACACGCAACGTCAACTGAGGTAACATCCAAGCCATTTCCTCTCTTTGTGCAATATCATTACGTTAAACCCCTGTAATAACTAACTATTGCTTCTCTTTTTTGACCTCTCATGAAGGCAACAAAACTTTTATAAATATCTCAGAAGCATGGGACAGTAGTCCACTTTACACTGTTCAACATAGATACAACAAACTGTTCAACATAAAATGATGCCGTTCATTTATTTGAGAAATTAATTGCCATTTTAACCTAAACATATTGTTGGCTAACAGGACAGTGTATGAACTGGGGTGCTTTTTCGGTATGCACCAAACTACATTACAGAGGCTACTCTAGGCAATGAATACTGAAGACAAGGATTCAAATATTCTCCCTTTATAGTAACCTTTGATTTCCAAGTGATGAAATGGGAACTGCTGAACACCTAAACTGAAATTTGGGTCTAGTAGAAAGAACAAGCTTTGCAACCACAGGAGTTTGCTCATGCTATAGCTATTGTATCAGGAAACAATACAATGCTAGAGCAATACAATAACACTATGGGGACCAACTACAATATTTCATTATGATTAGTTTCATCAGAAAGGGAGAACCATTTCCATTATCCAAGAAAGCTTTTGGTCTGGTGGCGGGGGGGCACAATACAGTACAATAAATGTACAGTTTGATGTTGATTCACAGTGGATTCTGTCTCAGCACCAGTAAAGCTACAGTTGTTTTCAAGGCCTGGAATGTATTCTTAGTTCTTTGTATCCCACTTTACTACTTCTAATTCTAATATTAGAGCATTTCCATGTGAAGGTCTCTGACAACTTTGACAGCAAAAATGAATATTCATGTGTTCAAGAAGTGTTTGTATGTTGAAAAGAACTGTGGCAGGTTAACTACTTTAGTACTGAACTATCTCGGCAGATCGTATCCTTTCAAATGAAGAAAATATGACAGCTGTGTCCAAATATTAAAATCTAATCATATAAAATATAAACAATTCAAAGTAAATCATACATACACAAATTAATTTAAGCAAAAATAAATATTTTATAATCTATTTATATAACATAATATGTACTTAATGTCTATGGGCTGTGGTTGGATCTCCTCTGCTTGGATTGAGTCATCGAATAAAAACAGGCAGATCTCTGAAATGTACCATCTGCTTATACTATTTCAAACCACTACTTGTTTTTTTTTTTAAAGCTATTTGCATAACCATAGTTCAAGAGAATTTCCCTCGTTTTAACATGTACAGGTACGTACATTCCAAAACTGTAGTGTGATAAGCCAAAGAAACCTGGCTTGTATTACATCTGCTTTCAACCTTGAGCGAAAGCACGAAAATACTCAAGTGCAATAAACTACAAAAACAGACCACATGTAACTTTCTCTTTGAAAAGAATATTGTTTGTGCTAAATGGGGCATGGTTAGTTTAACACAGACACCACAGTTCCCATGGAGTGCTCTTGGCAATAGTAGCGTAAGGCTATTGATGCTTAAGAGCTCTCTTGTCATATGTCCAAAAACCTCAAAACTGAGAGGAAAAAAAATGACAACTATATACCATACAAACATTTAGGTCTGGATTCTAAAATTATAAAAAGTGCACATCTTGCAATTATCTCTTATATACTAGTGAAACATTGTTACGTCGCTATTCAAAAATGCCCAAGTAAGATTTCTAAGGCATTTTTGGCTTTTGCATGCTACAGAAACACTTATTCAACATATTTGAGACAGGGGTGTTCAGGGGTATTTGTGTTCACCATGCAATGTCTGAAGTGACAGTAGACAAAAGTAGTTCTAGCAATGGTCCTCATCACCCACCAATGGACTGAGTCAGACATAGCCTCCTAATCTCAAACTGAGTATGTAGTATTTAAACTTGTCTTTACACAACATATACATATGCTGAAACAGACTTTGTGTAGCTGTGAACACCAGTTTAGTGAAGTGCTATCTAGCTGGGCACAGGAGCAGGAAAAGATGGCATGCCTGCAGGATTAGAAAAACCCTACCCCAAAGTTCATCTGTCTATGTGCTTGTGTATTGGTTTGCATACAGTCTGTAGATAGCCAAGGAGCATGTGTGGAAGTGTTTGAGTATATATAGATATATGTGTCTGCGTTTTTATGTGTGTGTGGATGTGGTCCTCCCTGGAGCTTTGTTATCAACCAGCTCCTGAAATGATTTGTCAGATTGTGCTCTCAGTATGTGCATGGGTGTGAGAAATGGTGTGTATTGGGGCATGAGGATGCGTGTGAGGGTTCGAGCTAGAATAACTATGAAGGTGGGGATGACTGTGGGGTTGAAGGTGTGGGCTGGAGTTAGGGTTGAGGTTAGAGTTGGAGTTGGTATTAGCATAGGACTGAGGGTGGCTATGAGGGTGGGGGTGACTGGGCCGCTGGTTGGACAGGCTGTTCTTGTCATTAAGCAGCGAGGTGGTCTCATCTGGGCCCTCTTTGGGTGCCAGTGGTGCTGAAATGCGAATCGTGGAGTTAGTTGGAGGTGTTGGGGGTGCTAGAGAAGCTGGGTCCAGTCGGGTGTGATTGCTCTCTGGAGACTGGGGGGTACTATCCAACTTGGAAGCCAAAAGGCCATTTTGGTATTGAGCGCGGGTGACCTGGGAAAGAAGAGGAAGAGTAAAACAACAATGATAAAGCATGCAACTCTGAACACCTAGCTTTTTTTAGGGACAGAAGACACCAAACAAGCCAGTTTTTTGCCTTCTCTTCAGTTAAACAAGTCTTCAGCTGCCTTCGTTGTCGCATTTTGCGCTTCATAATGCCCCACCCACTTTCACAATTACAACAGGATACAGATTAGCACCTGCACTCTCTGAATATGCAGCCATGCTGTTGTAACACATACAGAATATTTATCACTGCTTTCTGTTTTTATTTGCATTTTGCATACTATCCCAACTTTTATGGGATTGGGTTTGTATGGAAACAAGGACACTGTCACTAGCGCCAGCATGTAGTACTGTAGTATTTTTTTGTTTTGTTTGTTTGTTTTTTGCCAGTGGACACTACCATAAACCAGCTGACTTATGTAGGTTGTGGAAGAATAATAAGAGAAAGTGAAAGTTTTCCTAAGCTACATTCATTCTTGTATGTCTTATGATATTTATTGCATTTTTAAAAAAGTGTTAAAAATGTTAAAATAAACATTTATTGAACTTCAACGTCAAACTATAGTTATCCAGGAATAAAAATTATGTTTTTAGCATTTTCTACTGAACTGCTGAAGAAAATTCAATTCTATCTTGTCTTTGTGCCTGTTGCATTCATATGCTTAGATGAGCTGTGGACATTTAAAAGTCATACAGACAGCATCTTGGTCAGAGAAAAATTTGGGCACCAGCAATGCTATGCTCTGTCTGATTTACGTGTACCACTGCAATGCACACTAATGTGCCACTCACACGACAGTGCTGAGAATGATCCACCACCCACATAATACTGCTCTGCTGCGGTCCTGTGGGGATCCTGACTATTAAAGAACAGGGTAAAAGGGACAGGTTGACTACAGTCTGTAATAATAGAACTTCAAAATGCACCTATATGGTAAGTAGAGTTGATAAAATGGGCAATGAGGGTAGATATAAGGAGGTGAACCTAATGAAGTTACTAGTCGTACAAGCAATGCATAGTGGAACACGGTATAATATGCTGATGTATTTTATTGTCACCTCTTTCTCTTTCCCTACAAATCCACGTACACTGCAGCTAAGTTACATCAATGCATCCTTGTGATCATGTCACACAAATAGGCAAATCTCTTACCGTTGGCAACTAAACTTCCGAAAGTGGAGTGCGTGGATGAGGGAGAAGTCTGGAGTTTTGACCGTGAGTTGAGGACTAAGTGAAGTTCTGTAAATCACCTTGATGTAACCTATAAATGGGCCTGGACTGGGAACTAAATTTAGGCTTGGACTTTTGACATGACCAGCCCACTATAATCACAGAGATTTCCCCCAGCTGGCAGTACTAGCACATTCTTTGTGTCTCAAAATATTCTGATATGTATTGTGTACTGTGCAAATTTCTTTAAGTATCATGCTATAATATTTTTTCCCCATATCTCCCAACCATACTTGCAATGAATAATGAATGAACAATGAATATTTTCAGAAAATGAAGGTGGACGGTAAACATTCTAGGTTTCCTGGTAGTTAATATGGGAAGCATAAAGTTGTGGCCGTTCACAATTAACCTGTTGTAGGCGAACCTCAGCATATTTAAAATTTTTATATCTAAGAATGATGTATGGAAGCAACTACACACAGGCGGTCTGATTTGATTTCATGCTCAACAAGCTGATTAAGGGGTGGTATGCATTTTACATTTATTTTGAAACACATTAATAAAAGCTGTTTGAGATGTTAATTCAACTACATCTTTTCTCCCTTCCTATTCATTTTTTGCTTTGCAGATTTTATAAGCATGTGTTCTTAAAGCTTTTACTAGAATTAGTAACAGTTATATTTCTTGGCCCTGGCTTTCTTCTCAATTTGTTTGTATAACACTTTTTATGAATATGATAACATAATAAGTAAGAAGTTCAATAAGAGTGGTCCAGAACCAGTGGCATGACTAGGATCTTATGGGCCCCAGTGCAAAACAATTAATGGGCCCCACGTCATACAAAAATTACTTTCAATTAATAAAAAAAAGCCAATGTAATTTGCATGTTTATTTGGTATCGTTATGTCTCAAGGCATGCCACTTCACCCACTAGCATTTAATGTATTTGCTTTACTGTATAGCATTAGAATAAATACAAATAAATACAAATGCACTAAATATAATGTTGCTTGGCAGTTATTTGTTACGCAGGTTATATGAAAACAGCTAGAAGAACACAGACTTCTCGCTGCACTGACCTGATTTAATTTAATGAAGTATTGATTAGATAAACTAGGTATTGGATAGTTAATACTAGACTTCATCCAGGAGAGATTTAGAAAATGGTTTAGCTAACACACATTAAATCACAATGAGGTTTTTTGTTTGTTAATTTGTATTTATTCTAATGTTAGAAATATGAGATGGTAATCGTGATAAACGCATACCACCAAGATAAACACATTTATATATGATTTTCTAAGATGTCTGTTATTGTTTGTTTACAATAAGAGATTCGAGACTTAAAATGTATATCATGTGATGCTAAATAGCTTATTTAGTATTGATACACATCCATTAAGTATGACAGCACCATAATCAGCTCAGTCACTTAAACATTTCAGTGCAAATAATGCCCAAATAAGGCTAGAAAGCAGAAACTGGGCTATTTTTCTAAGCGAACGGTGAACAGTCCATCGTTAATGAGGTAAACAGCCTACAGCATTAGCAGCACGCTAAGTGATCAGGTGTGTAGAGGAGGCTAGACTGACCTGTTGCTCTTTTGCTGAATAAGTTAGTCTGAAGACACTCTTTCTGTTTCTCTCAGTTCCACCTTTCTCTTCTCCTCTTATCCATTTTTCAAAGTTGCAAACACATACTTCGATACTGTGGTCCAGTTAACTAACTAGCTAGCCAGCCAACCCAGTCTACTGCACATCTCTGATTTAATACTGTTGATTACCTGTATACTATATACATGCTTTAAAAAGAACAAACGTGTGAAAAAACAGGGGCCAGAGGGGGAAGGATTTTTCAAATATTAATGGAAGTGGCCACGCTCTGCTGTAGTTCAGATCATCTTTTGCACAACTGACAGGTCAGACTACCAGCTGGAAAATCTTCCAGTACTCCTGATGGGCAGTCTGAGCCTGGAGGGGCAAAAAAGAAAAATAACTGGGGCCAGTCGTCACACGTCCCAGTGCGACTGCCCACCCTGCTCCACCTCTAGTTACTTTACTGAACAGAACAGTTTAGTTCATGCAGGGGATTGGCAATCAAGCTAATGTGTAGCTTATTATAAATCTTAACAGGAGTTACAAAGGGAGGTGATGATTGTCTATGTGGTCTCTACAGCAGACAGGATTTCACTGTAAGGACGGCACACCCAACTAGCTCAAAGGTGGTTTAGCAAGTGTGTCACTAGGCGAGCTACTCTTTCTTGTATTGCATAGGCCTGCTACGATCATGAAATTTTAGATGATTAATTGCCATTTAAATAATTGTGATTTGCAATTTAATTGTCCTTATTTGTTCATTGTATGGAACGGAACAGTCTGGTTGTTGAAACAAACTTGGAAAATAACTGGGGTCAGCTTAAATAATTGCAGCCAGCTGTTATGTAATACCTGCTTGAAGCGGCACAAATCCGATTTTTGCCTTAATGTGACACATATCTGACTTTTTTTTAGAGCTGTGTGGACAAGCAAATCTGATCTTTTCAAATCAGGGAGCAAGTTCAGAACTGATTAAAAAAAAAATTTCAGATTTGTGCATCCAACCAGCTCTGAACAAATCAGATCTGTATCACATTAAGGCAAAAAAATCGGCGCATCAGCAATAACTATACTCAAGTAGTGCCAGTATGATGGTGCAAAAGCAATGCATCTGACCCTTTTATGCCTTCGTCTTGCACTAATAATGAACAGCTGATAGGTGTTCAGAGCAAATTATCTCTGGGAGGGCTTGTTTGGCTGTTTGTTTACTGTTCATGATGCATGTGACCTAATTGAATAATGTGTGCATGAGGGTCATTTCAGGACACAGGTTTGTTCACATAATGACAGACTGTAGTCACTTATGTACACAAATGTAAACTATCAGGCAATTGAGCTGTGTGGCTTGTAACGTAAATCAGATTTTGAATTTGAAAAGATCAGATTTGTGTGTCTACACAGCTCTGAAAAAATTAGATGTATGTTACAGTGAGGCAAAAAATCTGATTTGTGCCACTTCAGTCTGGTGTGAAGGTAAATTTGTGTAATACTGCTGCTCCTACCTTCACAAACTGCAGGTCAGTGAGGGCGCGCACGTTGAAGTCGGGAATGTACTGAGGTGTGGGAGTGTTATTGAGCTGTGAACTGCTGCCACTGATGGACAGTGTGTCCACTCTCTCCGTGCAGCTCAACGAGGCAGAGCGGTTCAGGCCACTCAGGTGCGATGGTGAGCGGAACTCTGCAACATGCAGAAAACAATGTTAGTTCACGTAGTGATGAACAGTTGCATACACACACTCTCTCTTACAGTCCAAAGGTTGAGAACTGCACACACCAACACACGTCCAAAAAATGCACACCACACAGATACACTCTTGTATGAGTATAGTTATCGTGCTCACACACACACACACACAGACACACACACACACACACACATAAACACACATCCATATAAGAGAATGCAAGCAAAAATTTAACAGGAAGTCAAACAAGCTTACATAAACTGCATCCACACATTCATCTCAGACACACTAGGTCCAAATACGACATGGCCAAGTAATACTTACTCTGCAGATGAAATTAAACAAGAAAACACCAGAAGCAACAACACCAACAACAAGGATCAACCAGTCAAACTTATGAATGGGAAGTGATGCAAATGATTGGGTATTGGCATGAGAAAGGCAAATCAGAGGCATATGTTTATGACCAGATTTAGCTTAGCTATCTACATCATCCACACTGGTTAAGACCTCTATGGTCATGTGACTAATACAGGTACAAAACATGTACATTAGAACATGTACACAAAACATTAGTGACATAATGGTATGTTGATGTCTGCTACATATGATCTGTACAGCCTATGTATTAGTCCACTGGCTCCACCTACAGGTCATGTTAATAACCGCCTTTACCTGAATTTCCAATTTTTTTTTTTTTGCATTTCTGGCTTACTATTACAGTGACGCACAAAAAAAGTTGACTGAAGCGATGGGAACAGCTACAGAACAGACAAAAACTGAGATTAGGCACATATACGTTACATAGCCACTAAATGAAAAACGGTAAGGATTTATTTAATATGTTTTTTCAGCAGTGCTTTAACAGTGTGCCATTATGTTGACGTTACGTCATAAAGGTCCATGGTTTTGGAAAAAGCTCTAAGGTCTGGCACTGGGCCAACTGACAGCTAAAGAGAATTACTGGAATTCAAGAAAGGCCTTACTGATTTGACACAAAGCATCAAGATTGATGTGAGAAAATGAGGTGCTACGATCGGATTCAACTACACACGATCAGATCCAGTGCAACGGCAAGGGTGAGAGAGGCTGAGTGAGGTCGTGGCAGAGGAAGTGATTTAGGAGAAGAGAGGAGCAGAACTCCAGATTGCAATTCAGTCCACTCAGAGAATCAATGCCAGTGTCCACAAGTCCAGCAAGTCGTCATTTTTTCGCTCTCAAACCTACACACCATAATCAAAATGATGTCCAGCCACTGGCTGCATTACACCAACAGTCAATTGACCTATCCACACTTTTTCTTATGCATTTTTCCACAGAAACTGTAACACAAACACATTCTTTTAAAGCAAATGTTACAAGGTTGGACAAGATTTGCAGGATGCAGGAAAGAATCTCATTCACAAAAACTTTTACAGCATGACTCAATGTTTTGCCAAAATACAGTGTTACTAATTTCAAATGATATATATTTTGTATGCATGTGAAAAATCACATTGTTAGATCAGTTAAATCACACTGGATAGTTCAGATGTAGTTTTTGTAGTGTAATCAAGATTTTTAGGAACAAACATCCGATTGACAGCCAAAACAGAAAATTCACCAACAAGCTAGCTGCATGTTTCTAGCTAGCTAATGTTGTAAATCATATTACCATTACCACAGCATCCTAGACCTAGCTAACATTACAGCATACACAACTAGCTACTGTGGAATTATATGGATATGGCTTTTAGCCTTTTAACATTGTAGTCTAGCCCATTAGTTACTTTAGGATCTGATCTATTCTTACAGCGTAATCTTTTACATGCATGCAAAATAAAAATCATTTGAAATTAAAATGCCCTCTAAATTTCGATACTTTGACGAAAATATGTAAAAGCTGTGTGCTCTAATTTCTTATTATGTTGAACAGGATTTTTGGCAAGGTCTGTAAAGCTTGTCCAAATTCTGTTGCTAGTGGGGCATGGATAGGTAAATTACAGACAAGTAAGGAGATGCTGGACATGGGCTAATTATTACACATATTGTCTACGTCATTAACATAAACAAAACAAATAATCTTAAAGGTTTTAGCTACAGCCTCTGTTAGCCTTCCAAGATGAGACTTGTTGGACAAGGGCTTGTGATCAGATGAACTGGGAAAAGTTGATCTTTATTTTTCGTATGTTTATGTCAATTTAAACCCTTCCCACCCACTCCACCCCGATTCCCATGTTAGTGCTACCCGGCTTGCCCCTCCTCCCCCTGGGTTAGCTCCCAACATGCAGGGATTTACCTGGGAAGCGAGAGAACAGAGAAAACCTCTTAAGAGAAAGGCGCCGCGGCCGGGGCGACACCACAGAGGGGGAGAGAGGGGGGGTGACAGCTGAGAGAGGGGGGAGCAATAGCCAGAGCAGAGGAGAAGGGGGGGAGAGACAGAGAGGATCTTTAAACAGTTCATAGTTGGTCCATTACAAATCAAAATCTCAGTGCTCAGCAGCTTTTCCTCTGTATTCTGTCAGTCTAGTGTTGGATCACGACTTGCGCCCATATTAGCATGAAGTGGATCAGGTATGACCAGACCGCTGTATCCTTTTATAAACAGATGAGTCATGAGCTGCTTATTGTGAGCTTATCCCAGGCACTTGTGCCCTGTTCCGTGTTAATAAAAGGAAATTTCATAGATTTTTGCAAAAGCCCTGCAAAATTCAATTGTTAAGATGTAAGCAAAGTCATTCAGAATGGTTTGATGTGAAATACTCCATTCTAAAGAAATTTACAGTGTCATAATTATTTACAGCAGTGGTGATAGTCTGAAGTGTTTAATGCCTCTAAAAGGTACTTCATAAAAAGCTATTACATTAAATGCTCACAAATACACTGCCTGATGCCTGTGACATTGTTTTAAGATAGTATTGTGATAAGGTTTTGGCCTAAAACATATTTTCAGTTTATATTCACGGTAGAGACATACATTCAGGACGTTGTAAGGCAAAAGAGTACCCAAATAAATGTTTTTTGGTTTTTTTTTGGACTCACCACTATTTACTATTCATCAATATCAACATTACATATAAAAACTCAGAAGGCTTGTGTAGGTTTCCTGGTCATAATTATTAAAATAGTATGATTCGCATTGTACACATTGTGACACTTGGTTCCCTTCACTACCATTGTAAAGAATATCAGTGTCTGTAAGTTTTTCTGCAATGCACCATTTCACATCAGACTCACTCACTTTGTTAGCATTTCAATGACTGACAGTGGATTTTCCCTGTAAAGTCGGAGTTGTCACAATTCCATTAATAGAATAATTGCTAATTAACTGATTATTCTTGCCATTCATTGTAATCCAGGAACAATAAAATTGATTAAATGAACATTAATAAACAATGCATAGCTTTTCAAAGATTATAAAATATTTGCTGGAAAAAGATTGAGTAAAAAGACTTAATTAAATAAAAAGAGAGTTTAAATATGCATTATAATCATGCAAACTGCTATCAGGAGACTCAACTTTAGTGGGTAGATATCATTTAGTGAGTCAGTCACTTAACCTCATTGGAAGTATGTTACTGCTGTGACCAGTAAGATTAAAATAAAACAATTTTTAAATTAAAATAAATTACGGGCTCTGTAATAACCAGTGAAAGTCACATTATTTGGGAGAGGCGTATTAAATGTGGAGCTAAATTATGGTCTACCATAAAATAAAATAAAATATTAAAAATAAAACATTAGTGGCATTTAACATTGCCGCTTGGCTTGTACACTGTGCACATCAAACCACATGCAGGCACACACTTGGACAGATGCTCAGCACATAAAATGCCAGAGGTGATGTCTGACAGACCGAAGCACAGCTGAAAATGCAGCATAGACACAGACATCAGTATACACGCAGTACTGTAATTAGGCACTAGGTGTCACCACAGTAAAGTTCTTACTTCCTGTAGGTTGTTTACTGGTGTCACATCTATTATGTAATGCGGTAGTCACTCATGCAAACTTGAATACATGTTTCAAGGCAAATAACAGGGGAAAAATTAACCTTAACTGTAAAAATACATGTTCACAAAGCTATTTTGATTTCTCCTTTTGTTTGTAGTGCTCGGAGCCATACAGACACTTTGTCCACTAGCACTGAACACAATTATTTAATATCAGAAACAGTTATGAGACTCTTTTGTACTCAAGCTATTTTGGTGGGTTACACTGTTCCAACCAGTCAGGTTTAGTACTGCCACAATCATCTGATTCAACTTCATCAAGTATCATGAATTATCATTAAATGTGTCATTACTGTATGTCACTTTAAACTAGAGAGACTGTGATTTCTCACTTTAAAGCAAAAGACATGTAAAGACTTACCCAAGCACGGAGTAGTTAATGCCATGACTCCATAGTAAGAAAACGGGCCAGTCTCAAACTTCATGTTCTCATTGCCTGCCTCCACTTCCACTCGGCCCTGAATGAAATAAAGTGCAACCTGCATTTAGAAAAGGAATTACTGACAAGGTTTTGTCTTCTTCTTTGATAATAGCTCTTAACTGATGTCAAATTGAAATTTAAACAAATTAAAATTGATGGCTCCTGAGTGACTGGGAGCCAAAAGTACCATGAGGTTGTTTCCAGTAAAGAAAAGCCTACTTGCTAAAAGAATTATTACAAATGGACAATGTCCACTGACTGTTATTTAAGCCCCTGCCCAAAAGCCACTCAGAGCTCACAGTTTAGGGCTGGGATGGCAGTCCTGGAGGGCAGAATAGGAGGTCTAGCAAAATTTGACAATATTCCTGTTCTACAGACACCAACTATTTAATTCTCTTCAATTCAAATTTATTTGTATAACACTTGAGTACTAACAGGTGTTGTCACAAAGCAGCTTTACAGAAATCTGGCTCAAAGCCCCAAAAAGCAAGGCAAGGGCGACGGTGACAAGGAAAAACACCTAAACAGCATGAAGAAGACACCCTGAGAGGAACCAAGACTCAAAAGGGGACCATATCCTATCCTAACACCAGATAGCAAAAGAAATGAGCCTGTTATTGGACAGAACTAAACCTGCCAATGAATTGCTCAGTTGAATCAGGTGTCTTTAAGCAGGAAAATTACCAAACTGTGCTGGATTCTGGGTGTCTGGGACTAGTGTTTGCCACCCCTAGCAATTTGATGATATCATCACGATTGTTGACAACTTAAATCACACATGCATGTTTGAAAGAGGCTGTTCATGGGTTCACTCTAGTACAAACAACCATTACTGGAGTATACAAATGTGAGAACGTGATATGAAAAGAATGCACACACACAATAATGAGAAACACTGCAAAGGAAATTCAAAGAGTAACAATCATTCAATGATACTTAAAGGAATGGTAGGGCAAAAAAAATCTAATGCATGGTTCTCCACCTACTCCAGATGTAGCTGATCAGCCAAGACATGTTTGGTGTCCAAATTTTGCTTTTTAATTTTAGCTCTGGAGTTACTTTCAGAAACTAGAAGTCAGCAGGCACCCAAATCTTTTCAGGTAAATAAATCCCTAACACTCTACTTAAACCATATCCCAAATTACTGAGTTCAGCTACATGTTCATTTTTTTTTTAATATTTGATTTTGGCTCATTGACTACACATGGGATAAGTGTAAAATTGTCTAAATGGCTTTTTTTTGGCCAAACAATTCCTTTAAGCTCAACATATTTATCCTTCAGTGGGTGCTAAAGAAATGTCACTGTATGGTTAAATTATAAAAATTAGATTTTCAAAAGAAACCAAATTAGGCCTGTAGACCAGTGCATCTCGACCCAGTCCTCATAGCCCACCCATTGATGCACACTTTACCTCTATGCCAGCTTACAACACAACTGAACCAAGCTATTTACAACTTATATTACATAGTACATAAGTACTAGAAGCTAGGTTAGAGCAAAAGTGTGACCCAGCTGGTGGGCTCAGAGGACTGGGCTGATATACTGCAGATTTCTTTTTTTCAAATATTAATGATATTATCTCTCAGCATGTTTTAAATGAACTGTTGGCTATTTGGAAAATGAATATTGCTCAACCCCGCAAGATCATGTAGAAAAACAACATGTACAGGAGCATATTAGCATTGGTTTGTTGGATTTTTGTTCAAACACAAAGACAAATCTATCCATAACTACAGCCATCAACTACAATAGCTGTCTAAAAATGTTGATTTGGTGAAGCTGGACTGTTCTGTTTGCATTTTTGGTCTCCCTAAGCTATTGCTAAACATGTAAGCTTTCCTTTAAGCTATTGAAACCCAAAGCCTCTCGCTGCAACCATGCTAAGGTGTTGCTGCTGAATAATGCAATACAAAAAAAAAAACAAAGTTCTCTGCACCAAACCCGATGTCTACACACATTTATCACACACTTCCACCAAATTGGATCCACCTGTTTTAGAACAGGCCAGATGACCCAAACATAACAGAATGCATGAGAGCAGTAATCCTAGGATTAAGAAACCGGACCACAGCATGAATAGTGCATAGGCAGACAGCAAACCACACACACACACACACACACACACACACACACACACACACACAAGGTTCCAGTGTCTTAGTCCTCATATTTTCTCCATCTCCTTGCCCCAGAAACGTGTCACCCTCTCCCCTCAGAGAAAAACAGAAATTAGATCTGTAGAGCTCCATTTGCACTACGCTCAGATACTGACACTCTAACGGAAGCTCTTCATCTCTGATATCCCTGTTCGGGTGGTCATTTCTAACAGAATGGTTTAAATTAAGTGATTGCAAGATTGCTTTTTCTTTTCTGATACCTTAAGTATCAACCGATACTAATCAGATATCTCATATATATACTAAGAAACCCATATGGCATTTTTTTTTTTAAGAGTTCATACAACATCTTAGCTGTCTGTTTCTTTATACTGGTACTTTTTATGCTGGTACTTATTTTATTCTCTGCCAAGTGCAGCTGAGATGAAGGAAATTGATGACAGCATGGTTTTCTGTAAAATAAAATCCTATATTATTTTTCTTTTACTCATACACAAAATCAACCATTTTGCTCATATATTCTTTCCTTAAATCACTGAAGGTCATGCTTCGCCCATCACATCAGAAATTAGCAGCTGTTTGTAAATGAGCCGGAGGAGCTTTCTGGGGATTAAGTCAGCCAGACATAAGGTCTGGAGCACTGGTGACGCAACATACGGCTAGACGAGGTTTCCTGCAGGAGTTGTGTCCTGCGCGGCACAGCCAGCACATCATGAGAACATGACGTGACGTTGTGCAGAGGGAGGTAATCCTGATCCCTGAGCATCATTACTGTGCATGCAGGCCCTGTGAGGGTTAATCTTAGAGAGTTAACTGGCCAGACACTGCAGAGCGCTAAGAAAATCCAGGATCTGATTGGCCGATCCTTGGCTTGGATCAGATGGCGCCTCTGCAGCCTCAGGAGGCTGGATGACTTCCTCTTGTTCTTCCTTCACCAGCTTCGATCGAAGCATGCTGTTACACTGATTTATGCTCTCTCAGTGAACATGAGATTTTTCACAGTGTAAGATTCTAACACAGGATTTTGACGCACCACTGTCTTATTTGTGACATCATGTGTAAAGGATTTAGTTATCAGCGAGTTTGTTTATCAGGGTTTGTCTATCCATTTTTGATCTTACCTAACTGTATGAAGCATTGATTTATTGTTTTTTTTGTGTGCGGTGAGGGGGCAGGAGAGGGGGTGGGATTAGTGCTCTGATGCACAGGCTCAAATGCAGTAGGGCAGTCTCTCTCGCTTTCTCTTATGTAAGAGGGATCAATTAGTGAAGGGCAGGCCTGGCAAATGCAGCTGGGCCTCCACTGGCTCATCCTACAATAAGGTCATACAGACGCTGCACCACCCCTCACTGTGCAACGCTACACCAACTTGAGCCACTGGGCAAAAACAGCATCGAAGGGCACCCATGAGCTGTCACTAACACAAACAAGTCATGCGGGTGACTTGTCCACAAAAAGCGCACACAAGAAAGATTGTTCTTGTCACTTAAACACAGACAGTTTTTATGACTCCAACTAGGCCATTCAGTCCAGGGTTAGCCTAGTGCCTGAACAATGACATAAATGACAATTAAAACATGTATTCTATTTTCGGGGGCCCTGGCATAATCTCGATCTATGTTCTTCACACATGCGACATACATCTACATACTCAACTGGAGTTTTTTGGGGGGATTTTAAGCCATGCTAACTTATGTTACATCCATGGGTTAATGACAGGCTTGTTGTCCGTTTGACAGTGTTGACAACAATGAATTTATTACAGATAAGGATCAGCTTCTTACTCATGGTAAAATCACTGTAACACACAGCCTTAAGTAGCTTTTTGCTTATATATATATAAAATGACAACATAAAATATGACAAAACGTTTGATAAATGATTTAATTTATTCTTCATAATTATTGGAAAAAATAATTCTTCCTCTAAGAAGCATAGTTCAGTTAGAGTAGGCTATCTTTGGCAAGCAACCACGGTTGTTGAAAGGGGAGGACAAAAACTTTGTCACCCATCATTGTATACTGTAGTAATTTGTTAATAATGTTTGTTTTTGGTTATATAGTCATGAACGTATAAATGTTGCTGTGTTTAATATAGAAACCTAATAAAAAAAAAGGAGTCATTATGTGAACAGGGTGAATTGTATGGAATTTGGTTTGGTGAAGCTCAAGTAATAATTCATACAATCAATCAATAATTTCTGCTTGTTTTTCAGGCCACAGACTAAAGTTTACCTGCAAGATGAGGATGAAATAGTCGACAGGCTTCCCACGCTGGTACAAGTAGTGCTGCTGAGAGCGCTTGTCATTCTCATTGAACTTGATCTCCTGGATGACATCTGGATGCTTGAGGATTCGCAGTAAGACCTTGTCTGAGATTTGAAGTGGATTGAAGAGACTCACCTCTAATGAGAAACAAAATAATCAGCCCAAAAATCTCACTGAGACAGACAATGACACTTTAATATTTCATAAACAATAAAAACACCAAAGAAATTTAAGATTCAACATGGTTGAAGCCATGAACTCACCAGTGGCCAGGAACCGATGAGCTGCTAAGAGGAGCTGGGGAGAGATCTTCACCTTGGATTCACTTTCTTGCTTGAAGGCTGAGAAGTCCCTCTTGTTCTTATTGGGGTCTACCTTCTTCCTATTTCGGTTGTCAGCTAGTAGAGAAAAAAAAAATCAAGTATAAAGCAGGGCTGCGCAAAACTGACAAAATATTTTACTCATAATGTCCCGTATTCTATATATTGTGAACACATTTGTGATATGACATTGTTAAAGATGGGCCTGTATTGTTTTCATTACTCCTGTTTGTTGGACTTATTGCAATATCAAAGGAATGGTTTGGCAGAAAACCTAATTTACACAGTTTCCACATACTCCAAAGGTAGTCGATCAGCCATGATATGTTGGGTGTCCAAACGTTGCTCCTTCAGTTTAGCACTGGACTTAATGTTGTTTAGTACACAGTATGATTTGTGATGAACTATAAGAACAAACAGAAGTTCACTATGTAGCCGAATGCAGCAGGCAGCCATTTTACACAAAAAGGTGTTGTGCTAAAATCAGATCCATACTCACACGTGTGCACGTCATGCAGGCATATACAGTAATTTGCAAAAACGTTGGCGCGTCTGCTCAAATGATGTTTTGTTGATTTTCTGAGTGAAAATAAGTTAACACATCCTTATGGAGCACATACTTCTGCACATATTCATGTACAATTACTGTTAATCTGCTGAATTTAACATATTGGGAAAAATACATAAAATATGGCATCTCCAAAAGTTATGGCACTTTTTATATTTTCTTTAAAATTTACAATTTACATTTTAGATAATTTATTATTTTAAAGTCCAGTAAATAAATAGAAATTGTGCGGAACAAATTAACAGGAAAATGACTCCCTCTAGAGTATGTGTTAACTTATTTTCACTTTGTTAAAAAAATTAACAAAGCGTAAATTGACCAGGGGTGTTCAAACTTTGCATATGACTGTAGACATGTTTGAGACCTCTGAACTGAAGATATATGTTTCTAAACAGACACAACAGAAATGGCAAATGTAACCTAGTGTCTTCACTCAACATGCACATTTTTAGCAAAACCTTCTTGTTTCTACACTCACTGTCCATTTTATCAGATCCACTTAACATATAGGTGCGCTTTGTATTTCTACAATAACAGACTGTAGTCCCTCTGTTTCTCTGCAAACTTTGCTAACCCCCTTTTACCCTGTTCTTCAATAGTCAGGGACCCCCACAAGACCACCACCGAGGGGGATTATTTGGGTAATGGATCACTCTTAGCACTGCAGTGACACTGAAATGATGGTGGTCTGTTAGTGTGTGTCGTGCTGGTATTAGTGGATCAGACACAACAGTGCTGCTGGAGTTTTTAAACACCTCAGTCACTGCTGGACTGAGAATAGTCCACCAACCAAAAATATCCAGCCAACAGCGTCCTGTGACAACTGATCAAGGACTAGAGGATGACTAGCACAAACTGTGCAGTAACTTTACACCTACAAAATGGATCAACAAGGTAGGAGTGTGTAATAGACTGGACAGTGAGTTGACACAGTATTTATTTTTTTTATTCCAGCAGCACTGCTGGCTCCGATCCACTTGTGCCAGAGCAACACACACTAACATGCCATAAACTAACAACACTTACTAACATAAAGTGCTTGGTGAGTGTATATGTCTGCATAGTGTGCATGCACATAAAGATTAGTTGGGTTCTGCAGGGGAGATGGAATTCAGCATAACACTTGTTGTCAAAAATGGATGCGCCCAGCGTTCAGCAACACAGCAAAACTTTGTTCACCCTAATAACTCACAGTAAGTGATATTGTATCCTGAATTACATCAACAAGTCAGCGCAACCTTGGGCATGGTTTCAGATAATCTATCTTTGTGAATGTATTTTATGAAAAAGATTTGGGTGTATATGGACTTCTAGCAGGGGCGTCCAATCCTATCTGCAAAAGTCCAGTGTAGCTGCAGGTTTTAATTACAACCAAGCAGGAGTGAACCTCACACCACCTATCAACTGTTTGAAGACTGAGACAAACAAGTGTGCCTCTGCTTGATTGGAATCAAATCCTGCAGTCACGCTAGCACTTTGCAGACAAGACTGGTGACCCCTGACTTGTAGTGTATGTTAGCAACGTCAGCTTTGTAGCTGAAGCGCAAAACTAAAAATTTTTACACCAAACATATCTTGGATGATGAAATACATCTGGGCTAAGCAGAAAATTGTGTAAATTGTGTAAATTCTGTTTTTTGCCAAACCATTCCTTTAACAACCACTATATTGTGTAGCTGTTGGATCACCAGAAAGGAGTTAATCAGAAAGAGCCATCTAGCAATAATAAAGCAAAACATTTGTCTTCATGGCAACTCACTGTAGAGATCAGACTCATCCAGGATTTCAGACTTGATGATCTCCTCGATAACGTCCTCTAGCGTAACAAGTCCAAGCACCTCGTAGAAGGGGTCTCCTTCTCCCTCATTATTCACCCGCTGCACTATGGCCAGGTGAGATTTACCTGTGATGGAGAGAGAGGGAAAATATTTCAGAGCCAAGGCACCAACAGTTTGAAGTAATTTTATGTTACATTTACTTAGTTACAGTATTCTAACATTATACATCTACAGGAGACTCTATACTAGACTCTAAAATTGGTAAATGTGGTAAAGATTCAGTCATTTTCATATTTACTGTTTTGTCTAACTACAACAGTAAGTCAATCAAGAGGCTTCTAGTCTGGCTACCATGTTTCAAACTAAATTACAATTTAGATGCCACATGTTAATGACCCTGATTACAACTGCTGAGTGTTGAAGCCCCATTGTACAACCATCAGTTGGCTCTTATTGCTACCACAAATTGACAACAATTCAATGCATGACTCTGAATTAAGCTTTGAATAGAACAGCTTAATATATGATTAAACTTCGGAGATTGGAGCTGAGCACAGAAAGAGACTCTGTGCCAAATATACACAAGAAACTGATGGGGATGCCAAAGGTGAGATAAGGATAGATGAGAAGAGGGGGTGAAGAAGCCTAAAGCAGAGAAATTTTCTGTGCTGACCTTTTCAAACCGTTAAGACAAGACTGCTACATTTAAGCTTGGACATCTTCATGTATGGCATTAAAAGTTAAAGCTTTAATACTCAGTGGGACTGCAGAGTTTGGCATGCAACACTGAAAAGAATCTGTCCTCAATATCAGCCCTAGTAAATGTTCTATCAGCAAAAAATTCAACTAAGCCTATATGGAGCAAGAATCCTCAACAAATACATTTTGTCATTTAAAAAAAAAAAAGTGAATTCTGGGTAAAGAGCACACAGTTAGGTAACCGTTAAGGTGCAACTTGACTGCAATTTAACATCCCTACAGGCATTCAAGGTCAGAAGCATGCTGCATACTAATATATTTTAGTGTGTGCTGGCACTGAACATTGCAAATGAGAGCACACTGGTAGTCTGGTGATTCAAACGCTCCCTAGAACGGTCATATACACCTCCAAGGCTTCAGATTACACTACAATGAACTCACAACAAACTACCATAATAAGCATCTTTGACAATCAAGTTTCATGCAATTTACTTTAGACTAACATTATACTGAGTCAGACAAGATTGGACCAAGCATGTTAATGACATGTCAATAGATTTCAACAGAAAACAGGGAATGCATACAATAAGAAGTATCCATGTCCTTTAAGTGCTGCTCCTGTGAAATATCCCTGCAGTGCTGCAGTGATTAATCAGCAGAAAACCCATAGGAGCTCCTTACATCTGCCACTCAATCTTTCAAACCATAGCCCACAGACCCATAATCAAGCCAGTGTATCAACACAAAGCTCTGGGATTAGTGGTAGCTGATAATGCAGTATTGTAATAATTTCAGATAGGATTTAGTGTGAAGTAGGCTCACATAAATACTATTTAACTAATCTTTTTTTCACAGACATTGGTTACGCTCAACATGAGTCTAGATGTTTTAAAGAATAACTGGCACTGTGCCAAAGAGATATGACTAAAGTGCTGCCCACAGTGGGTAAAACTGCTTTAAATGATACTGCATTTAAAAACAAAACAAAACACTCAAAATGTCTGATATTCATGTCCGATATGCTGTTTATATAGTGCACGTACATAGCTGTTTCAATATCCTTCTGCCCTGCTGCAGCCAAGGGCTTTCACTCCACTGTGTTCATATTGCACATGTACTGCATAGTTTGCCTAGTTTTATCTTACCACATAATTGTCAAACAGGCAAAAGTGACTATGGGACCAAAAGGAGATTTTGTGTTTGCAAGTGAGGGCAGGTTCTGAAGTGAAGCATTTCACTGTTGACACAAAAGAATGTTGATCAACATGACAACGCTCTTCACAAGAGCCATATTTACTCGTAGGCCAACAGCTGCTTTTGACAGCATCATCCACTTCTATGGTTTCAATAATTAATGTGATTGCATGAAGCACTGCAGAGTAAGCTGATACAGAACCCGTATGGTTATTGATTCAGCTTCCAGTGGGGCACACGGTTGTAGGCTCAAAATCAATATGAGCATAAAAGAAATCTATGCAGGCTGACAAAGTCATCATTGATTATAATTTGTACAGCGCTATTTTGATATTTCTGTGACTTTTATTAAATTATCATGTTGGTAACTGGCAATCCTTCTTTAAATGCACTCCACTAGCACTGGAAGGCATGACTAACCTTTCTTGAACTCTTCTAGCATGGCATCCAACTTGGTGTCATGGAAGACAAAGTGGACAGGGTGGTTATAAAACTTGGTGACAGTTTTAAGTGTTGTGCAGTCATCTGGATCAACAAATGCTAAATCCTTGACATAGAGGATGTCGACAATGTTAGATCTCTCGTCTTCATAAACAGGTATGCGTGTGTAGCCACTCTCCATGATCTCGGACATGGTGTTGAAGTCCAGCACAGCGTCGGAACGGATCATAAAGCAGTTGTTCAGCGGTGTCATCACGTCCTCCACTGTCTTGGTCCGCAGTTCTAAGGCACCCTGGATCATGTTGAGCTCCTCCTTCACCAAGTCGTTGTACGGCTCAGTCACCTTGAGCATCTCCACCAGCTTCTCCCTATTGTACACTGTGCCAATTTCCTGCCCCAGCACATAGTCCAGGAGCTTGCTGATGGGAAAAGACAACGGCAATGTGAGGAGCATGAAGAATTTGGTCAGCAGGATGGTGTTTGCACCCACTGCCAAACCATGGCGAGAGCAAAGGGCCTGTGGCACAATTTCACCAAAGATGACAATGCCAACAGTGGATGCCACCACGGCACCCAAGCCAGAGCCGATCAAGTCGTCCAGGAAGATGGTGAGTGTGGTGTTGACCAGCACGTTGCCAAGCAACAAAGAGCAAAGCAGGTAGTTGCCCTTCCTGCGAATGGGCTCGATCTTGCGGGCATACCTCTTTTCTTTCTCTGTGCCACAGCTCTGCACTATCCGAAGCTCCATTGGGTCCAGGGCCATGAGCCCCAGGTTGAGTCCACTGAACATGCCCGACAGGACCAGCAGGCAGACCACCAGAATGATCTGAAGCCAAAGAGGCAGGAGAGAGGTCTTCTCCTCCACCACCCTTAACCTGCCATCGTTCTCGGACAACAGGTACCACCCTTCTTCCGGACCCTTGACGCACAGGCTGTACTCCCTCTCCTTCTCAGTCTTACGGAGCGGCTTAATGCTCACACTCACCACACCTGAGGTGCCTCGACCGCTCACGTTCATGTAGGCGCCCACGCCAATGTCTTTGGTAAAGTCTACACAAGTCCTGTTAGGCGCGCGTGTGTCCACAGCTCCGTCCCCGCCGTCTCCTCCGTGCTCCGTGAACCTGATGTGCGCGGACGACTCGGAGCTGAGCTGCAGCCCGTAAAACCTGAGCTGGACGCTGCTCTCCTCCGTCACCTGAATGACGCCGTCTTCCGTCGTGGTGGCCGGCTTGTCGCTCCTCTCTAGCCTCATGCCCAATATCTGGCTGCCGCTGACGCTCACTGCCTCCGTCCGCCCGCCGACAGAGCTCCAAAGGAAAACGACTAAAGTTAGCATACATCCCTGTCCACTCCACTCTGTCGCCATGTTTGTTTCGCTCTCGGCAGGCGGAGGGGTTGACGTCACGCGCTTATCCCAAACCCCGCCTCTACCATTAGGATAACCCCACACGCTCTCTGGTAACGCCCACCAGAAGTGTCAGGTATTTTATATATAGCATTGTATATCATTTTAATGTTGTCATTTTTTCTTCATGAACCAGTCTAAACTAACCATGATTAATCAGAAGCCTAATAACAACGATTCTTAAGGATGGATGTAAACTATGGCCATGCTGTGTTATCCCCATAAAAAGATCAATGACACGACCTTATATCTCAGTACGGTAATTCTTTTATATTGTTTTTAAACACCTAAGGACAGAGGAAATGACTGAGGTATTTTTATGTTAGGTTCGATGCTTAGACGACCACAAAGGATCAAAATAATCCTGTGTCGTCACTTCTATTAACTAACTACTCAAGTCTCAGTAAAAGACTACCAAAAACTACCTGAGTTGGAGTAAATAAACATCACGTCCAATAACCCCTACAAGAACTGAGTTCCCTTTAGAAGTGCTGTGAAAATATTTCTCTTTTTGGGATCCTCTTGGTTTAAAATAAAATGCTAAGCAACAACAATGTGGCCCAAGTGCTGTCACCAGCAGAATGAAAAAAAAGGTAAATGTGCATGTCTCCAACGTAGCTGAGTAACAAGTATATTCTTTCTCTCACACATATAGGCCTACTCGCATAGAAGTATTATCATATGAAAAACTCAAGTATAAAACCATCCACCTATTACTAAGTACAAACCCAATTCCATAAATAAAAAATAGAGTATGTTAAATGCCAGTAAAACCAGAAAGCAGTAATTATCAAATCCGACCTTATGTTTTTTTTTGTTTGTTTGTTTCTGTAAATATGCACTCATTTCAAATTTGATGCGTAAAACATTTTCCAAAAAAGTTGGGATGGGATCATGTTTACCACTGTGCTACACCACCTTTTCTTTTAACAAAACTTAATAACCATTTGGGGCTGAAGACACAACATGATTCAGTTTCGAAAGTATATTTTATTCTTGTGTTATACAAGTCTTTCTCTGTGCAACTGTACAGGGTATGGGCATTGCTAGGCTATGTTATGCTATGCTATGTTATTTAGCCCTCCTCCCCAAATAAACATACATTATGTACAGTTCAGATCATCTACAGTTTATTCTCAATATAAATTCTCACTATATTCACTATAAATTGTAATAACAGGGCATGACCTGGGGGGAGGTGCTGCTGCTGCTCTAATGCAGCATTGCCTCTGCTGTGCTACCAGAAACTTACTAACGATACATAAAATGTAGAACCGCTGGCTCGGCCAATCATATCAGACAAAGTAAGTTGTAAGCCAATCACTATAAGACCTCGTAAGTTGTAAGCCAATCATATCAGACCTGAGGGAGGGTGTCTGGTTTTACGATCTCTGCAAAGTCCTTTATACAGTTTGTAGGAACATCAGTCAACAAAAAGTTCACTAAAGTAAACATTAAACCTTATTTAAAATCTAATACACCGAGTAAAACAGTAAATAGTTACAAGAGCAAAAATACCCATATACAATATGGATTTGTGGCAAATTATGGTCAGTATAGCTGGCTATTGTGTTTTTTACTTGGTTGCTTGTTAGCTAGCTAACTTTGGGTTTACATGAGGCAAAAAAATGGGGTTAAGCTGACACTAACATTAACTAGCTAGCTGACAAGCCAACTAGTTTAACTTCACCTTATGGTGAGAGTTTCAGAGTGTGAATGTGCAACAGAGATAGAAACGTTATTGACACCTCTTTATATTCTTTGTTTTTAAATTTCTCTTAATATTTATTATTCCTCAACTTGTAGATGGAAATTTAGAGGCCAGTCAGATGAGATGTTTACCAGTTAAAACCAAAAAAAGAGAAAAGAATTGATTCATCTCTCATTATATCGCTGAGTTCTTATAAATCTGAGTTTAATAAAAATGAATGTATTACTAAACACAGGGAGAGAGAGAGAGAAAGAAGCTGAAGGAGCAGATTTGATGGAGATCAGAGATTAAGAAGAAACCGAGAGAGAGTTGTTTAAGCTTTAAGCACATAATTTGATTGAACTTACTGAATTCAATCGACAGAAAAAATGTATTTATCACTATGACCATAAAATTCTGTCACCTATTACATATGCCTACAGAACAAAATCACTCTGTCTGATTGCACCAAGACTGAACTGATCTATAATCTGTGCATTTGAATAATATAGTTAGAACCTTGGAGATAGCATTTTGTGACTTCAGTACCTTTGCTTTACGTCATGCCTGTTGTTAGTGGATGAATGTAGTGTTTGTCATACTAGCTCTGTGCTTAATACAAACTACAAAGTTATAGATCTACTGTGTGCCAATTTGACCAAATAGCTATGCTATGTTATTTAGCCCTCCTCCCCAAATAAACATACATTATGTACAGTTCAGATCATCTATAGTTTATTCTCAATATAAATTCTCACTATATTCACTATAAATTGTAATAACAGGGCATGACCTGGGGGAGGTGCTGCTGCTGCTCTAATGCAGCATTGCCTCTGCTGTGCTACCAGAAACTTACTAACGATACATAAAATGTAGATTGCACCAAGACTGAACTGATCTATAATCTGTGCATTTGAATAATATAGTTAGAACCTTGGAGATAGCATTTTGTGACTTCAGTACCTTTGCTTTACGTCATGCCTGTTGTTAGTGGATGAATGTAGTGTTTGTCATACTAGCTCTGTGCTTAATACAAACTACAAAGTTATAGATCTACTGTGTGCCAATTTGACCAAATAGCTATGCTATGTTATTTAGCCCTCCTCCCCAAATAAACATACATTATGTACAGTTCAGATCATCTATAGTTTATTCTCAATATAAATTCTCACTGTATTCACTATAAATTGTAATAACAGGGCATGACCTGGGGGAGGTGCTGCTGCTGCTCTAATGCAGCATTGCCTCTGCTGTGCTACCAGAAACTTACTAACGATACATAAAATGTAGATTGCACCAAGACTGAACTGATCTATAATCTGTGCATTTGAATAATATAGTTAGAACCTTGGAGATAGCATTTTGTGACTTCAGTACCTTTGCTTTACATCATGCCTGTTGTTAGTGGATGAATGTAGTGTTTGTCATACTAGCTCTGTGCTTAATACAAACTACAAAGTTATAGATCTACTGTGTGCCAATTTGACCAAATAGCTATTTTTGATAAATTTTCTGTGTTCCTACTCTAAAAGTTAATAATAAACAGACATTTTGGGGCCATTGAAAAAAATTTCATGGAGTACCATACCTTCAGACCCATCTAGTACAGGCTTAGCTCCCCTTTCCATGAATCTCTAGTGACACCCATCACAGTGCCTTTGTTGTCATATCCTAAGCTTAATAAGACACATTTTTAATGGGAGACAGTTTCGGAGTGCAGGCAGGCCAGTCTAGCACCTGCACTCTATGCAGCCATGCTATTGTAACACGTGCAGATCGTGGCATCTTGTTGTGTTGAAATAAACAAGAGGTGTCTGAAAGGCAGCATATGTTGCTCTAAGATCTGTATATATCTTTCAGTGTTAATTATGCTTTCACAAATGTGCATGTTACTCATGACAGACCTTGACTTTTGAACATTATGCAAGTATCAATCTGGAGGGTCCCTTCCTTTTTTGGCCCAGAGAACGCAGTGCCCATTATTTCCATAAACAATCTGAAAGGTGGACTCAGACAACAGCAGACGTTTCCACAGTCTTTTTATTTACGATGGGCTTGAGTCCAGAGAAGTCCAGAGAAACCATTGGATAATTTGCTGACACACTTTTGGCAAAGCTTGACCCATCCTTGCTGATAGAGAACTAGGCCTTTCCTAGAGACCCCTTTTATACCCAAGCATGACTGCATTACCTGTCAATGTTTTTTGAACATTTCACAATGTTGCTAGACTTATATTGTGTTACAGGCATTAATTTCAGAATGAACGTAGAATGAAATCGCATGTCTTGTCTTTGTACTTTTTTGTTCAAATACAGGTCATAGTGGATTTAAAAATCACTGTTTTCTGTTCTAATTTGCATTTTACCTACTGTTCCAACTTTTTTGAAATCATGTATGTCATGAATAAACTTGTTAAATCAATGCAGTTATTTAGTGCGTACCTGTGAATATTTTCCTAGTACATCACACACAAGTAGCTAAATTGGTTAAATTTCCACACTGATTGATGCAAAGATTTTAATACTGATTGGCAAATAATTATAACAAACAAATTATCAACAATGTTCAAAAACTAAACATTAAAGTCATTATTAATTCATAATATTGCAAAATAAATATCTGTGGACATTTGCTGCTTCTTAATATTATTGATCCCAAAAAGATAATACCAGAAATTCTTCATTGACCTGAAAGAGGTTGTAAACTTGAAAAGGAGCCAGTTTACATTTTAGACTCTACCTGGTAGACAATCTCAGCTAGTTGAATCATATACTTGATACACAGAACTTTCTGCAATTGTGCTTAAGTTATAATTATAATTCATTAATATATTTATTAATACTTCTAGTTTTTCAATGCCCAACAATGTTCTTACAAATACATCCAGCCTTATTTTGTGGTATAAGTCTAAGTTTGTTTTGACATCACTACTAAAGCAGATAGTAATCTTGTCTGGTGCTGGGTATGTGAAGTCTTCTTTCTCTGGTCTGCCCTCATGCCTGGCCTTCTGAGTTTGTGTGTGTTTCAGGTAGAACAACATCCACTGAGAAGCTTATCTTCTTTGACTGAAGCATACTGTAGGTGTTATCAAATCGTATCACATCTGTCCAAAAAATTTAAAGTAATGCAGTAACTGAATAAATGATACAGCATAGGCACAGATGATATGCAAGATGCAGGCATGGTAGCAATGTTAGAGAAAGTTGACAAATGCAAATTATACATACAATTAAGTTCTTAAGAGTTAGGCCAGCATCTCTGAGCACAATTCACATAAAAAAAGGTTTGTCCAGTGGCTTAGGTCATCAAGCATGTGACGCTCATCCAAAGCAGCTGCTTTAAGAGTAACACTAATATTTACTAAACACTTACAAATGCCTGGCTCTTCACAGGTGTAGGACCCATCCTCTGGCACCAGATGAGCATTGTAACGTGTTGTTGGAAACACCTCCTGCATGTCTCCAACTTTCTGTTTCACACCTGCTTTAGTCTTCATGTAGATGCCAAAACCGATATCGGCCCCATCACTAGCAAACTGCCATCTATAGTTCAGGAGAACAGAGGTGACTGAGTAACACTCAGAATATAAGTGATATATGATCTATACTGGTATACAGTATTGATGTCACACAACAATGGTGAGTTTTGATTTTTACCTGTATTGATAATGAAAAAAGTTCGGTCAAATTACATGTATTGTTGATTTTGTAAGTGACTAGCATTAGGTAGGGAAATCTACAATTGAGATGCTCTGCAAGAGAAAGCTCTATCACCCATAGATTTCAATTTGCAAGGAGGCTACTGTAGAGTGCGAGAACTTGCAGAAGGTGAAGAATGTTGAATCCTATAAATACTGCTTGCAAAGAAGACAACCACAGAGAGAATGTGTCTAATAGATGTCACTCACCGTAATAAGCAGTTTGGGACGAGAACTTCATACTCCAGCTGGAGGTCGGAACCACGGCTGATGGTCACAAAGTTGTCATACTGCACTTTAACGGAGTCTCGAATGTAGTAGGACTTTGGCACCACACCACCATACTTAATCTGTGAGAATGCAGTTACAAGTAATTGTGTCATGTTTGTGTCATGTGTCATGTTTGTGTGCTAGTAGGACTTATATTAAGTACACTAAGTAAACGCACCTTAGATTTACAATAAGGGTCCCCATCTGGGTCCTCCAGCAAACCTCCATAGGCCACAGGCAGTTGATCTGGCGCCACATACTTCTGCAATACATCTTTCCAGTTGGCTGTAGGTGGAGGCAATACACATTTCGACAAAATGTTTACCAAAATGATTTTTCTTAGTTTGCAGAGATTCTATTGGCTATTTGTTCTTGTAATATATTATGAAAAAAGAAAGCATTCCACGCAGCCTGCTTACACCCAACCACAATAATCTTTCTCCGTGTTTCTTCACATAGAAAATGCTTGATCAAGTTGTAGGCAATAGGGAAGATTTTAGGAGCTGCAGGAATAAGAAAGTTTTGTTTTTTACTGAGAGACATCATAACCACCAACAATATATGCCTTGGATAAATGTATAATAATAAATGCACATTGACATTCCATTCATTTACCTTTAATAACAAGAACCCTTTTTAGGCCTTCAGGATAGTTGTCTTCAAACATGGTCAGAATCTGCCAAGTGAAAGTCAAACAAGTAGTGACAAATAAATTAAGTGTCATATAAAAAGATTTGTTAGGATAGAGATTTGCATCCATTAGCACACTAAGTGATTTAAACCTTACTTCTCCATAGGCTTCAACAGCAGGCTTATACATATGTTTCATGCCAAGGCCTTCACAGTCATAGATAAGAGTGATGGACTCCACAGGTTTTTCAAGCTGATGAATAAAATTACCACACAACATAAAAATAACACACTGCTGCTGCTGCAAAAAAAAATCAATTTAGGAACAACAGCCATCAAGTGCCATCAAGTCAATTCCAACCCCTGGTGACCATATGGATAGTGTTTCTGCATGTTTTTCTGTTTGGCTCTTTAGACTTCTTAATGTCTTCTTCATGATTCCTCTCATTTTCTCCATCCATCTTGTTGCTGGCCATCCTCATCCTCTTTTACTTTCAACTGTTCCAAGCATAATTGTCTTTCCAATTAACTGGCTCCTTACATAACATGCCCCAAAATAAGACAGTTTGGTTATGTGGGCTTCAAGTGAGAGGTTAGGCTTGATTTAGTCAAGGATCCCTTTGTTTCTTATGCCATCCAATGTAACTTCAACAATCAAGTTGGTGGCAGTTACTACATAGACATATGCTAACACTCATATATATTACATATATTTTGCAAGTCTTAGCTTTGTTTTCATCAACATGACATGACAGAAAAGTTAAACTATAGTTGAAAGAACACACTGCAAATCTGTAAGTTAACCTCAGAGATTCATACCTTCTCAGACTGCCTTAAGCACTCTCTTCGTAGGAACTCTGAGTCCCTGATCTTGGTCCTGAGAAAATCTTGTTTGGAGGCAGACATGAGAAGGCCCTTTGGGTCTAGAGGCCCAATCACGTCATACCAGACAGGACTTCCCTCTCGATCATAACCACACATCCCACCAGACACATATTGCTCAATGACCTGCTCAGATTAGATCCCATGTAAGGCTGTGTACAGTTGTAAAATACTTTCTATAAGTAATGCTTAGTTTCTGTTATTTTGAAGTTTACCTCAGGTGGCTTCCAGTCCTCTAAGATTGAATCCACCTTCATGTGTTTGCGAAACTCCATATGCTGGAAATCAATTACATTGATCAGGTGTGAGAACTTGCTTGCACCCAACTTTATATCACAATATTTTCTGAACATATCGTTGTATCAAATGATATTTAAGTTTGCACTGATAAAGCTTGTACTAAAGTAATCAATTCTTTCTGGCACTCTATGCTAAAAGAATGTTTTGCTAACTTTGCTTTTAGAGAAAGAAATTTTCAGGATACACAGTGTCATAATATTTAATTTATCAGACACCTGATCATGGAAATCATTCTAAAATTTACATCTACATTCTAAAAAATACTATCAAAAACTGTGAATACAGTGATTTTCATTAAGTATTTGGCACACTGTCTTTCACTAAATCCAGTTAAATTGGACTAATTTTGCTCTCTTTATAATGAATCACGCAAATGGTCAGTGTTCCACTGTATTACCGATATAAACAATACGTTCAGAAAAGCATATTGTACTGTACTGTGACATAATTTATCATGATAATGATATATACTGTAATACTGCCCAGCACTATATGCTTGTTTTAATTTTAATTTTCTCCTCCCAAAATGACACTAAAGGCAACCATACTGTGTTGTTAACATGAACTAGACATAAAACTAAAAAGAAATCTATTAGAATGGATTTGAAAATATTCCTACAAGACAGCACCCGCTGAATCACATACATTGCAGTTAGCTGGATATCATGAGTAATGTGCACAAGATAGAATAAAAAGCTAAAAAAAAAAAATCCCAAAAGTAACACCTCTATGTTATGGATGTTATGTTATGAATGTAATGCTTTCTATCTATTAAATATACCACAATGTTGCTAGAACCAAAAACATAGTTTGTAAAAATCAAAATATTATAGTATGTCAAAATCATGACACAGCAGTGGCAATGAGACATCAGCAAGCACTTCTACTCTTCACAGAAAGTAGTCCCGAGTGGCGCAACCGTCTAAGCGTTGGCCCTATCCTCAGGAGATCGCGAGTTCGATCCGTAGCCGGGAGTCCGAGAGAGCACAATTGGCCTCGCTCTCTCTGGGTGGGTAGGATGGCCCCTCCTTCTCACCCCATCACTCAGCGCGATGCTAGTCAGCGCAGGCGTCTGTTAGCTGACATAACAGATCTGGCGGTTGGCGCTTTCCTCCGAGCGCGTTCGGCTGTCCAGTGACGTTGCGTGAGCGGCAGTTCGAAAAGAAGCGGTGGTTGGTTTCACAGGTCTCGGAGGAAGCCTGTGTTAGCCTTCACCCTCCTAGCGTTGATAGCATCGTGTGATTGGGGGAGTCCTAACTACCGGGTGGAACTGGAGACGACTAAATTGGGGAGAAAATCGGGTAAAAAAAAATTAAGAAATTTAAGGGATGTAGACCCTTCTTTCTTGATCAGGACCAGGAGGCCAGTCTTGCATCTGTAGCATTGATCTTTATTTCTTCATTGTGCACACAATCCACAGACGTCAAGCTGACCGGCTCAACATAGAAAATGGCCATGTTATATACGTTGACTCATTGACCCAGGCATATAGCTGCTCCTGGACCATTGCCAAATTAGGTACAGAAGCGACAACTGTTCTTAAACTATACCTAGACAACTAAGAATGACTGTTCAGAATGTCAGCCCATTGTCCACTCAGGTACAGCTCACATAAAACATCAGATCACACACAGATCAGACACAAATTATAACATAAAATACTGAACATAATAATACACATAAAACATTCAATATGTGTTGCCAAAATGTGTGCACTAAACCAGCCCTTCAATGTTTTTTGTGAAATAGCGTCATAATTGTTTTCGCTTCAAAAGAAGAGAGATGTTATCATCAAAAAAACAAAAATTATTGGAACGATAATACCTTTCTAAGCATTGCTTCGGCCTTGTTGACACTAAAGCTTCTGGCTACAAGGAGACACAAAAAGAGAGGAAAAGTCCAGATGAATGGCAGAAAACTTGTATATCTATACATCTATCTATCTATCTATCTATCTATATATATGTGTATATATATATATATATATATGTATATATATATATATATATATATATATATATATATATATATATATTCACTTCTATTCAGAGAAGATAGTGGGTTCTTAGTGCACAGTACAATGAAAAAGGTTAAAGCAGAACTACTTAAGCATTGATCAGCATAATATCACTATTATGTCACTGCAATTTGTTAAAATCCAATTAAGAATTATAAGGAAATGGATCAAGATCATTCTGAACAGTTAGTGATGAGAATTAAACTAGCGACACAATGAGTACAGCAATTAACTAAAGCAATTTACTACTAAGCCACTGACAAAGCTCAGACTATATCTTCCAGGATTAAAAATATAAATATATGATACCAACAACCCAGTATCATATTCACATTTAGGGATTTTTTCTGTCTTCCAGAAAAACAAATCCATCTATTCACAGGATAGTAGGATAGATCCTAAAGTAGGATAGATCTTAATCATTAATGGCAATGTGGTGCAAAGGGAAAGAGCAAATAATTTTGCAATGGCCAAAGCCACAGGTGAATGGAACTGCAAATATTTGCACTTGAGAACCCCTAAGAACTTCACCATGAACTTTTCTCTTGGTGAACTAAGAAATATTTTTGGGTTTTGTTTGTAGTAATTTGGAGAGACAGGAAAATCTGAGGTACCTTTATGTAACTGCTGACATCAATGTTACCCAACAAATTGAGATTACTGAACAAGTGTCTAAATGTTACTAGTTGAGGAGAGGAAAGGCCATGATATGGCTCTGCCAATCCATGCTTAATGGGCCTTTTTATACACAGCATAGACTATCCTACATGTGCATTGTTCAATTGCAATGACGTCCAGAAAAACAGTGTTTCTGTAAACATACTCCACTGAGCCACAAATAAAAAAATCTACAGTATTCAATTTCCAATTCAACAACTGTAAAGATAATTACACAAGCTACAGCAAACAAAATAGCATTAATTGCATGTATATATATTTGTCTAAAGCATACATCTACTCAATATTAACAGCTAGTCTCCAACAGTATGTCTAATCCGAGCTTTAGGTTAAACCTCAGAGGGCCACAGTAACAGATGATCAAAAATCTTGCACTGCTACAGTGAAAGGTCATGGTTGTGCAAACAAGTTTTCAGACTAGTTTTCAGAGTTGTAATCGACCACCATGACGAAGCTAGAAATGGCTTGAACTGATTTTTTCTGTACTGTCAATAACCCTATCTATGTATCATCAACAACACATTTAAAGTCTTTGCCCATTTCCTCTTCAACATTCCAGAGTTGCTGGGAGTGAATATCCATGTTGGCCATAGTAAAAATGAACTGGCATGTGGAAGATATTTTTGCGTGCTACCACATTTTCTATCACTATATGAAAGAAGCCCCATGCTGCCTATATTGTTTGATGCAATGGGATATTGTCTAAACAAGTATATACACACATCCAGAAGGGCTGACCTTTTTTTAATCAGCACAACAATAAACGGCATGATAAATGTAAAATATCAGCCATAACATTAAAACCACCTCGTTTCCACACTCATTGTCCATTTTATCAGTTCCACTTACCATTTAGGTGTACTTTGTAGTTCTATAATTACAGACTGTAGTCCATCTGTTTCTCAGCATTCTTTCTTTTCTCATTATTTTTCTTGTACCCTGTCCTCCAATGGGCAGGGCACCCAAACAACAGGGTGGTGAATCATTCTCAGTACTGCAGTGACAGTGAGCTGGCTGTGGTATGCTAGTGTGTGTCGCACTGGTACGTGTGGATCAAACACTGTGTTCAATCACTGTCCACTCTATTAGATACACCTACCTTGTTGCTCCACCTTACAGATGTAAAGTCAGTAGCTCATCTGTTGCTACACATCTGTTGTTGGTCATCCTCCAGTCCTTCATCAGAGGTCACAGAAAGCTGCCCACAGGACACTGTGGTGTTTAAAACTCTAGCAGCACTGCTGTGTCTGATCCACTCGTACCAGCACAACACACAATAACATGCCACCACCACATCAGTGTCACTGCAGTGCTGAGAGTGATCTACCACCCAAATAATTCCTGCTCTGTGGTGGTCCTGTTTGGGACCTGACCACTGAATAACAGGGTAAAAGAGGGCCAACAAAGTATGCAGAGAAACAGAGAGACTACAGTGTGTAATTGTAGAACTACAAAGTGCACCTATATGGTAAGTGGCACTGATCAAATGGACAGTGTGTGTATAAACAAGGAGGTGGTTTGATGTTATGGATGATCGGTGTATATTCCTATGCATTTACTTGCACGCTCAAAATGTTAGTTTTCTTTTTGCTTCATCATTTAAGGGTTACATGAACAAAACTCATGCAGTTAATAGGTTTTATTGCATGCCAAAAGTACACAACAGATGGATGCTGTGGTCATAGTGATCAGTAACACATCAAGCATCACTCATTTGGAAAAAAATATATCACGCCGTTTGTGAGGTGTTAGCCAAATTAATTGTATTAGAAAGCCACATACTCTTTGGTTCATTATACACTGCAATTCAAATTTAATTATGAAGTTTTGCTATGAATAGTGTTAGAAATTAAATGATGTGCAGACTGCTAGAATGCTTAGACTGTAGTCTTTCAATTCAGTTGACATCTGGACAGTGAAATGCATTTTGTAGACACATTTGGTTCAATTCTCATTTCCTTTTGCTCAATTGTGTTATTTATTTTTGCATAATTTTTACTGCAGAATTTTATCCTTGCTGTATTATTTGTATGTATAGTTTCTATTTAGATTTTTATATGTTTAGTAATATTTACGTTTTATTCTGATAACTAATTCAATTACAGTAATCTTTTATCATTACTGGGGTCTTTTTTTATATTGTCACTCTTGAAACATAACCTTGTATGTTCAAAAAAGTTGTTTTTCAAGAGAAGGGAAAACCTTCTTTACTTGCAACTTTTATAGTTAAATTAACAAGATTTTATTATAAGTAATTTTGGACCATTTCTATCATTTACCATTTCTGTCATCACATACCGTGTAACACTCAGCTGGCACTTTCGGATTATGTAAAAATAAAAAAAACGAGAATAATGGAGATACAAGGTTTTTGTGACGACAATGAGATGTAAAGCACTTACAGAGCTGCATTACATCTATATAAGGTACAATATCAATAAAATGTTAATGTTACAGACAGGCCTACACAACTGCATTGATTACAAAGCCTGTAAAAGATAAACTGCCTAGTCTAAATTAGAAACCGCTCACCTCTGAGCCAGCGGAGCAAGTAATGGTCACTTTGACTAGGTAGTTTTGCATATACATCTCCGATTCTCTCCCGAAACTAGACAAAACACAACAACAACAACAATGAAACATTACTTTGGAAATCGGCTGGTGCACTGACCAACCAGCATGAGAAAATCAGATGTTAAAGCTTACTTTGGGCTATGCTATTGAAATAAGCAATAATAGTACAGGCTTTTGTAAATTTTATTTTTTAGCAACCGTTTTATGAGCAGTTTAAAGTGGAATACTGTCTTGCAAAGCCCTCACCTCATCCAGAGCTTCAGTCTGCTTAGGACTAAGGTCTCCCACACGCCCGCTCATTTGTTCAGCCTATGGAATCAACCTGTGTTCAGTGTGAATTCCTTGTTTCTTTTGCTGTCTTCATATTGTGCCTGTAGCATTTATAGGCAATAAGCTAGCGGTGATCTTTGCCCTCCTGAAAAAAACATCAATGAGGCACAGGGTGTATGGAAAGCAAAGTTTCAGACATAACCTTTGATCATTCATAGCAACTGTTTGATAATACACTGGCTCAGAGCTCTACAGATGACTAGCTGATTCATCCACAAGGGGATCGGACACATTGGCAGAACGGGTCAACGAGGCGAGGTGTAATCTAATGCAAAAGTCATACAAGACAGTCTGATCACTCCTGAGTAGTATCTTTAACTGCAGGCATAATGTGAAAAAAGTATATATCTATACCATGTACAGTTCTTACTGAAATGATATATAAAGGATTGTACTGTAAGAAGTTTTCTATGGATGTTTCAGTTGAGTTCTAAGTTACTACTATGCCCGTGCAACACAAGCATTTTATATTGGATGTGTTCCGTGTCTGTGCATGGTCTAATGCATATGCTTGGTTTTAGCTCATAAATGTCTTGTTAAATGAGAAGTGTCAGTACTAGGTCATGTTTACCTTCAGAAAGTGTACAGTGCTGTGCACTTGCCTCTTTCTAATTTCTTCTGTTAAAGCATGTTTGAAACTATGGACACCCAGTCTTGGAAGACATCACCTAATGTTAATGACTGATTTCCTCAAACTACTGACTTTTTACTATGTTAAAATAATGGCTTATTTTATTAAATTATTTACTATGAAAATAATGATTTAGTATCTCATAATAATGACTAAATTTAATAGTTTATAGTTTTGACATAGTATCTCAAGAAAAAAGTCATTAGACAAACACAATATGTATGCTGAGAAAATTAGTCACTATTTAGAGATAAAAAGTAATTCAATTATATTTTTAGATAGTAATTCAATATTTTGAAAAAACAAGAAATTATTTTCAGATACTAAGTTAATATTTCAAGAAAATATTGTAAACATAAAGTGTCAATGCCAATGTTTGACATACTGCTGCAAGAAACAGAGACAAGGAAAAAAAAAGAGATTTGTATCTTCCCTACCTGGCAGGAATGGGCTTCCACAGTTTCAAGTATACAGTAACAGAGGAAATTTAGGGAGGGAAAAAACACACAGCACTGTATACTTTCTAAAGGGAAACATGACCTAGTACTGACACTTCTCATTTAACAAGTCCTAAAGTGCTTGCGGTAGACCACCACAGATACACACACAAAGAAACACAGTAGTAACCTGAATGCAACAGAGACATCCATAGAAAACATATTATAGTACATGGTATGGTTGTGGTATAAATAGAATTTCTTCATTGTGTCTTCATTTAATGGATATGATTTTGACATAAGTCATTAAGAGACACTAGGTCATTATTTTGACCTAGTAAGTCCATATTTGAAGAAAATAAGTCATTATTTCAAGATACAAGATATTTCAAGATCAATATTTTTAAGAAAATACTTCAACATTATGAGACACTATGACAATAATTTTTAAATATATGTATGTATATATATATATATATATGTATATATGTGTGTGTATAGACATTAGTTTGCATGTTCTCCCCGTGTCTGCGTGGGTTTCCTGCCACAGTCCAAAGACAGCAGACAGGGTGCTGTCCAGGGTGTATCCTGCCTTCCATCCAATGACTGCTGGGATAGGCTCCAGCTCCCCCTGCGACCCACAAGAATAAGTGGCTTAGAAGATGTGTGCGTGTATATTAGTAAATATGTATGTATTGTTCATGTAGTTATATATGTTATATTTATGCCTGTTATTGCACATTTTGTCTGTTTTGCACTATTGCTACTATTTGCACTTCTGGTAGATGCAAACTGCATTTCGTTGCCCTGTACTTGTACTGAGCAATGACAATAAAGTAGAATCTATCTATCTATCTATCTATTTAGGCTTCTATTTGCTGTGGCTGTTGCATTCCATTACCAACAGCTAACTAGCTAGCAAGCTAATGTGAAATTTGAAAATGCTGTGCCGCGTCCAATGACACATACCACTGTACTGTAATCCTTAATTAACGCACGCGCTCTCTCTCTCTCTCTCTCTCTCTCTCTCTCAGCGAATTCTACAGAACGGTTCTCTTGACCTACTATTTAGTTCGTCTTCTATTCACACGCCCAACGTACAGTCGTTAGTTCAAGTTGACATTTAAAATCTTAACGGGAACCAATTGCAACATTTAAACAAATGACTGACATCTAACTACGATTTCTTTCCACATAACTGACCAATAAATTTAACTGTAGGCGTGGCTACTATAACCGTTGATCTTTATAACCTTAGTGCGATTCCGCGTTGTAGTTTGGCAGTAACGTTAATCAGCTGAGATTTACAAAGCCACGTTTTCATCATTAGGTATACTTATACACTCATAGCAACAAATATAATTACAATTAACCAAGTGAGTTTATCCGAAGTTACCTAAACAGATTGTTCTGTTTCAGACCTATCCTATAAATAAATAAAAATGGTAAGTCACTACTTTCGTTCTGCTAATGACGACGTAGCGTAACCTATCTAGTTAACCTGGCTAGCTGGTAACGTTAACTAACGTTAACAGTTTAGTTTGATCTCAACTGTCTCAGTAAACTTGGTTACGTTAGCTAGTTGGCAAGCTAACTTACAAAGACAAATTTAACCAGTCATTTAACGTTGATGTTTGTTTTGCGGTACTGTGGCTATGCGATTACCCTTTTAGCGAGCTAACTAGCTAGCTAAATTACCTAGTCAGTCATAGAAAAGCTCGTCTTACGTAGCTAGCTTGCTAGGTTAACGATTAATAGCTAACGTTATCCTACCTAATATATATATATATATATATATATATATATATATATATATATATATATATATATATATTCAGGGGTTTTATTATAACCACTTATCTTCTGTGCAGCGCGAATGCATCTCAATCCACGTTGGACAAGCTGGCGTCCAGATTGGAAATGCATGTTGGGAATTGTATTGTCTTGAACATGGTATTCAACCTGATGGCCAAATGCCCAGCGATAAAACTATCGGAGGAGGAGACGATTCCTTCAACACATTTTTCAGCGAGACAGGCGCAGGAAAACATGTGCCAAGAGCAGTGTTCGTGGATCTTGAACCAACTGTTGTTGGTAAGCATATTCTTCCAGCTTTTTAAAGGATTCAAGAATATATAAAGTACTGTGCAAAAGCGGCCAGCTATAAAAAATAAGAAAAATCTTTAAAACGTTTTATTCCGGTAGTAATTTTGTATTTGGTAGAAAGAATAACAAAAATTTGTTGTTCTGGGTGTCAGAAAAGCTATTGATATATTGGCTAGTAGAATAGAATTAACAGTTACAGAAGAACACAAGTCTGGTTCCTGAATTCCGCATGCACTCTAGCCGTTGTATATAACACACAGACAGGCATAAAACATAAAGGATACAATTTGTATTTACTCCGGTATTAGTCTTTTTCTTAACAAATAAACTCACTGCACAGTTAAATACTTTATTGCGTTCATCACTATCACTGGCATGCTACTGGAGGCCTGGGAGTTTCAGCATTTTTGCCGTTCCCAAGATTGTGATCTTCAGGACTGAAGTTGATTATCTTCCTTCTGAAATTTGTTGGATCCACTCTTCCAACTTAGGGTTCACAGACTTTAGTGCTCCTGTCACCAGTTTAAATCCCTGGTATTTCTGCAGTTTCCTGTATGCCTTCCTTCTAACGCAGAAGTTTTGAATGTTGTTTTTCCCCCCTTATAAGATGAGGTTCGCACTGGAACATACAGACAGCTCTTTCACCCTGAGCAACTCATTACTGGAAAAGAGGATGCTGCCAACAACTATGCAAGAGGCCATTACACCATTGGTAAAGAAATTGTTGATCTGGTGCTTGATCGTGTTCGTAAACTGGTAAGAGTTTATTTTGTTATCATGTCATTGTCAAGGAAATCGAATTTTGTGCTGTTTACTCCATGCCAGTATTTATCTCTTTTTTGTCTTTTACAGGCAGATCAGTGCACTGGACTCCAAGGATTCCTCATCTTTCACAGCTTTGGCGGTGGTACGGGGTCAGGCTTTGCCTCTCTTCTGATGGAAAGATTGTCAGTAGACTACGGCAAGAAATCTAAACTTGAGTTTGCCATTTACCCTGCACCTCAGGTACCATACAGTCATTATTTTGCCTAATATTTGTTTGTGCAAAGAACTGTGATTTATATCTCCTTTGATTGAAGGATTTCTTTGCACTAACTGTAGCAGTTGGCCGAGTAAGAATATGCTTTCGCAAATACATAAATATTTTCAACAGCTTCTTATTGTTTGTAAGTGCTTTATTCATCCTTTAGGTTTCAACAGCAGTAGTTGAGCCGTACAATTCCATCCTGACCACCCACACCACCCTTGAGCACTCTGACTGTGCTTTCATGGTGGACAATGAGGCCATCTACGATATCTGCCGCCGCAACTTGGACATTGAGCGTCCCACATATACTAATCTCAACAGACTCATTGGTCAGATTGTTTCTTCGATCACAGCCTCTCTCCGCTTTGATGGTGCCCTCAATGTTGACCTCACGGAGTTCCAGACCAACCTGGTGCCTTATCCACGCATCCACTTTCCACTCGTCACATATGCCCCAGTCATCTCAGCTGAGAAGGCGTACCATGAGCAACTGTCTGTTGCAGAGATCACCAATGCCTGCTTTGAGCCAGCCAATCAGATGGTTAAGTGTGACCCTCGTCATGGGAAGTACATGGCTTGCTGCATGCTGTACCGTGGTGATGTGGTCCCTAAAGATGTTAATGCTGCCATTGCGACCATCAAGACCAAGAGGACCATTCAGTTTGTTGACTGGTGCCCTACAGGCTTTAAGGTAAAATTAGTTTATTAGTTTCTGATTTTAGTAGAGCTGTGATACTTGCTAATTGTCTTTTCATTATGTTAACATAATTGATATTTAACATTTAACATTTTTCTTCATGAGATTGATAAAACAATTCTTGGTATTATAACATAGTGCTATTCTGTTGTTTCAGTGATACATATACCTTGTTTCAAAGTTTCTTTCAAAATATTTCTCTGATTTTACTAGGTTGGCATCAATTACCAGCCACCAACTGTGGTTCCAGGGGGTGACCTTGCCAAAGTCCAGAGGGCTGTCTGCATGTTGAGCAATACCACTGCCATTGCTGAGGCCTGGGCCCGCCTGGATCACAAGTTTGATCTTATGTATGCAAAGAGAGCCTTTGTGCACTGGTATGTTGGAGAAGGAATGGAGGAGGGAGAGTTTTCTGAGGCCCGTGAAGATTTGGCAGCTCTAGAGAAAGATTATGAGGAGGTGGGGGTTGACTCTGTTGAAGGAGAAGGTGAAGAAGGAGAGTAGATTTATGGTGGAGACAATAATTGTTTTAACTGTTCGTGTGTTAGTAAAAGTGAGTTGTTCATAAATATTCACATTTTGTTTTCAAATGTGTAATTAAATAATAAAAGCAAGGTTAGTCTCTTATTCACAGGCATCGTTTCCAAAATGTTTAAGATTTTATCTTGCAAATAATATTAAAATTTGTGGTTTGAAAGAAGGTTGCTGGTTATGTAAACCTCAGTTTATTGGTACAAATTCAATTTTGGGCCAATATTTAATTATAGGTACAGGAACAATGACAATGTGAAAAAAAACCCCAGATCAGTCCTGTTTGAAAATGGAATTAGTTTTGTTCTTTTCCAGTAGAGGGCAACAGTGGTGCAATTTTCTGGGAGATTGGTACTCAAAGGCAACTGAAAGATTAAACACAAGTTTTATTACAAGTTTGTTTGTTTTCTTTTAATTAGGATTTTTATAAAATCAAGTAACATTAATTGTTCACCACTAAGAAAACAATTACAACATACTTTACATAAGGAGTGTTCCATGTAGTGTACAACAGTACGAAAAAGGCTTTATAACATGCATTACACTAGGATGACAGCTCTTGCCATGAGAAAATTTGACAGTGATAGCTCAATAATTTAAGGTGGAAAAAATGAAAAGGGGGACAAACAAAAACAAATGGCCTAAATATCAATGGGTGAAAAAAACAACTTGCTGCAAGGCACACTTCAGTTATGGCTGTTCTTTCAAATCCAGGAGGATGACTCATTTTCAGTAATTAATTCCTAGATAAAGCTGTACAGAAGATGAAAAATCCTAAAATGACAGTTACTTTTGAAGCCTGCAGAGATTTGAAAAAAATTTGATTAAGACATGTCCAGATTTCATCTACTATATACTATATTTAATGCCTCATTAATGCTACACAATTTTTTGCCATAACCTCATTGTTTAAACATATTTAAAGGATATTTGTATGTGGTTTGGGTGGAGGATCAAGGGCTGCATAGTACAAATGCCATCTTAAAACACTGCACATCATGTAATTCTAAGGTTTAGCAATGACAGGAATTCACAGGTACCGTAATGTCTAAGGGGCATTACAAGCTAGGGAAAAAAGACTTTGAATCAGATGATTTCTTACTTCATGCTCCAGTGCAGTTTGATGTGCTACCTAATCATTTTACAAAGGCAAATAACCAGCTAGTCTGATTTTTGATTAAAATGTGGAAAAAAACATTTCAAGTTCATCCATAAGAGAGATTAGAAAGATAATGACACCAAGTAATTGCATCAGTACTGAAAGAAGTCTAGTTTCAGTGTGTTTAAATGGATATACTACATTCAAAATCAGTTGAGAAACAAAATATGTTAGTATCAGGAAAAAATGAAAAAGACATCTTTGGTTGCTGGTTAGTTCAACCCAGAAATCCAGTATGTTAATAGTCTAATGCTAACGGACAAAATGCACACAAAAATGAACACAGCATATCCACAACTCTTCAATTTGCATATAAACCAGTCTCACTTCTTACAATGCTTTAGCATACTTTAGACGTTCACATAACACTCCCTTTCCCTAATTCTTTACATGTAATTTACATGATTATTTCATAAGCCTCTGCAGTTCCCATATATCTGTATTTAAATAACAGCTCAGTGCTTCTCAAAATTTGACATAACAGGCCATTTTATCTCAAAGTTACATGTAAAACTAAAGTACATGTATAATTGTAGACATGATGTTTTTGACCTGAAAAGAGTTTAGAATAGACTGTTTGCACCAGTTTAGACTTCTTAGTTATACCTGACAGACCCATTTATGAATATACTGAGAAAATATTTAGTCCTACAATTTATCTCTGACAAATGAAAAGCTAACTGCAGCTGTGAGTAAAATTTGCAAGAATGGTGAAATTCTCTCTTGATAATTTTAGCAAAAGAGAGAAATTATCAAGAATGTTGACAATGAGGGTAATAAGGGTAAACCTGTACAAGATCAAAGTGCTTGAGAAACAGAGCAGAATGCCTGTTTATACATTTCCACTGAAGAAGAAAAAAAAAACGTTTAAGGGCATTTTAAGTATTACTTCATTGCATGATGAAGCCAGTCCTTGGGGGTAGACCAGGACTGGGCCTCTGAGGAAGTGCTGGTGCATACTGCTGTATAAATGGACTAGAGTATGATGGCACCATATTAGGTAGAGGGACAGAAGGGTAGGGAGCTGCTGGGTATGATAAAGCCAACTGCTGCCCTGTTGGTTGAGATGGTGGGGTGGGTGGTGGTCTCAGAGGAACTGGGGAGCCATTAGCTTGGCCATGGAAGGGCACAGGAGAATTGGGGATGTGAGGCTGCACAGGCTGATTAACTGAGGCCTGTGGCATCTGGAAGCATTTGAGCACTATCTCCTGCAGCTTATCAATCTTTACACGCCGCAAATGAGCCAGCTTCCTCTTGCTCTGGTAGGCTTCGATGAAAGTATCCAAAGACAAATCTCCATCGAGGAAAGAATCAGCCATGTTCTAGAATGTGCATAAGAGAATTGAAGAGGAGTAAAGTTATTCTGATGGCAAAGTATGAACCATGCCCTTTATTTAATGCTTGCATCATCTTCTAGAAATGAGAAACCAAGCTTACCTCTGTTTCCTCTTCAATCTTGGCTCCCTCAGCTTGCAGCAAGGCTAATAGAGTATCCAGTGAGCTTTTCCCTGAACTGTGATCTTTGTAAGAATAAGAAAAAGAAGGCATAAACAACTCTTTGCATGTGATCATTAGAAATGAATGAGGTGCACACTTGAACCATGTTGTACTTTAAGTATTAGGAATTACTAGTGTATATTGGCACATATTTATGTACCACAAAAAATCATCAAGTTACAGGTCACTTATATGCAGTTAATTTTGTTAAAGAATGAGACAAAATAAGATGCTTACTAAGTGGGCAGTAGCCAATTTGATTACCAAACTAATGCACACATGCTTATGATCACTTAAGTATGAGGAAAACAAAGTGAGATGCAGCAGACTTCTATGACACCATTGTTGCTTTAAGAGAAAAAAAATATTCCAAAACCATTTAAAATATTAATAAGAATGAGAAATGCTCTACATTTTGAAAGTCTTAAAGCTACACAAAAAACAAGCTGTTCAACAGATCCAGTCAAGTGGAGCATATCTGACAGCGTGTGTGGTATAACTGCTTAATATGCTGATCAATACAATGTTTAGTACTTTAAATAAATGAACATTTATTAAATGCCATTGTAAAGACAGTCAAACAATAAATAGCTATGGCCTAAACAGGAGAAACACAATAGATAAATACTACACAAAAAATAGATAAATACTACACACTTGCAGGCCACCCTGGTGGCTTGAAGGCCCTAAGTGACTACCTATACTGCTTACGACAAAAAGCAGCCCTGCATATAACCTTCAGAAATTACAGCTAAAATGCATAAAGCACAACTGTGGTACAATTACTGGAGCTACTATACAAAAATACTGGCCTTTGTTGGGAACTAATGTTCTGAGGGCATTAATGAGTAACTCAATGAGTAATGAGTAAATCAATCCCAAAACAAATTCCGATATATAGCAATACAACTAGCCAGTAAAACTATTCTATTAGGATTTGATGACGTGAGGTCTGGTTTTGTAGATATGGTTTAGGCTAATTATTTTACATAAGGAAGGAAAGCGTTCCTGACAAGTCAAAATATGTGCCCATCTGCATTTGAAGGAATAATTAAAATTAGTAGCTTTATAATTATATAAAACTTAAATTTTTTAAGTAAATTTTGAGTGAAATTTGCAAACCTAGAGTGGACTTGCGGAGCTGGTAGGCCTCAAAGAGCTCCTGTAAACAGCAGTATCGCTTGGTTAACTGCATCTTCTGTTGGTCCAGGCAAGGTTGTAGGCTAAGGTTCTGTTCTGCAAGACTGCGATTACTGGCAAGGGTCATCTCCTTAGACTGCTGAACCTCTTGCATCTAGAGGTAAAAAGAGATCAGTGATCAGGAAAGCTTATCATAGTTGGCCACGGATCACAGGCCATCGCTCATGTTAGGGTAGAAGTCATTGCCAAGTCAAATAGAAATAAGCATCTATACTTACGATATCTTATTATTGAGGTATTTTATTTTGACTAGGGTAGGGTCGGGTTGGTTTCCCAGACAGAGATTAAGCCTTATCCTTCAGTACATTTAGGGATTAAGCCTAGTCATGAACCACAGAGCATTTTGAATGGAGACTCTGTGTGAAAATAAAATATAGTCCACGCTTAATCCCTGTGTGGGAAACCAACCACAGCACATGAACTGGTCTGTTACAAAATGAAATCATGAAATTTTAGCTGACAATTAATTGCCATGTACATAATTGCAAGTAACAATTTCTCTTTTTTGTTTATTATATAGAATTGAAAAAGTACAAGCCTACATGGCTAAATCCACTGATTAACTGTCTTGCTTAGCTGCTGCTACTTAGTGGCTCTCAACTGATGAGAGATACAGCTGGAGCTCAAATAATCATATACTGCACGCCGCTGCCCTCTAATGATGTAATTAACAAACATCATATAAAAAAATTACTCACTGTTTATTGTCTAATACTGTTTAAAAAAATACTCACTGTTTAATAAATATACTGATTTATTGATTTTCACCGATGTGCATGTTATTTGTGTGTTTTTAAATCTACATTAATTTGCCTCCATCCAACTGATGAAAAAGCATTCATTTCACATTCTATTTGTTGTAAACATAGTATTGTGAAAGCTCACAACTGTGGAAAATAACTGGTCAGATCAGGCAATTATGTAATGATTGTGACATAATAATCTGCCTTGTAGTGTTATGGTTCTCGTACTTTAGAGTTCATTTCCACAGTCTTTGCAACATCTTGTTCCATTCACCATTCAAATCTCACTTCAAAACCTTTATTTTGTCCATAGCACTCTGTCCTTCTCGGTGTTTCATGTCATGCATACACGTCTCATACACGTCATGTTCATGTGTATTAAGGCCCTTTTTTCACTTGTATTGTTTCTCTGTCAACAATTGCATGTTTGCCTTGAGTCTAAAAAGGTGCTGTGTAAATAAAAACAGACTCGTGACAGCTTGGCATCTTTCATAGGCTTGTCAGGCGCCTATCACAAACATCTAAGATGCCATGTGGTTTGTAAACCATCTCACCATCTGAGTATCTCCTGATTTTAACGATGCAGTTTGCTGAGATATGAAATGGAGTGAGTCACACTGTAATGGGCCGTTTTCTCAGCCACGAAGCACAGTGTGTAATCTCAAAGGGAATGTCTACAGCCAACACAGATTTGCATGTTTGTTACGTGAGGCTCATAAACCCACACCAACTAAAGGGCACCATTTTGTCCGAAGCTGTACATCATATTTTCAAACACACTACATTTTTTGATGACAAAATAAAGCTATCCACTTACTTAAGACTAATGGCCAGAACATTTCAATAAACAGTTTGCGCAAAGCATAACCTCTCCACCAAATTATTGGTACACATGAAGTCTATGCCGATAATCAAACTACGGTAAAATTACAGCCGTATTAAACATGATGACAATTAAGAAATAACGTTGTATGACCCTATGTAGCTCGACAAAACCGCTTGCAAGCAAGCTAAGCTAGCTATTGAGTATAAAACACTCCAAGAACTAACGTTAATGGGAATGTAAGAGAAACAATATAATTGAGGTTCAATTGAGGAAATCGTGCGGAAGAACTTTAATAATCGTCGATAAGATAACTTAAGCGTATTCTATGCTCGCTAGGTTAAGTATTTGACAAAAGAGAGGCCGTTTTCAATGCTATAGCTACGTGCAGGCAAGGATGATCTTATTTCGCTTCGTTGACTACAAACACTTACCTCGTCCATTTCTTTGACGATTTTATTAAGCTTTTCGTCATCTTCGAGCAACTCGTTCAGCTGGGTCACGGAATATAAACTAAATTTGCTCGCAAACTCAAATATTTCTCCCATCGCTGTTTATTATTCCTCTCGCCAGCCCTGCTGTTCCATTAGCCGGAACTCACTTGCATCTTGTCCAATCAGAGAGAGAAGAGAGCTGACGTCATCTGCCTGACTTTTTTTGTAGCAGCTTAGCTAAACTGCATTAGCCTTTGTTTTATGGAGGACATTCAGGGATTAAAGTCTTTAAGCTTTTAAAGTGTCTTTATTTCTATCACGCACTACATGTCTTTACAAATTAATTTCATATTCACACATACAGGCATTCGTGTATAAGCACACTGTACACAGCTTATCCAACAATATCTACACCTCTCGATAAAAGTCATAATGCTAGTAGTGTAGTACAGCAGGTAACATAATGTGTATTAAACATTAAATGCAGATTTAAATCAATATTCAGTCTAAGTATTTGGTGGTTTATTCTTAATTAAATCAAAAGACAGTTGAGAGAGCTATCATATTGGGATTATACAATGTTCTGTGTTTATTATGTGAAAAATAAATGCAGGGGATTCGGGTCGTGCTGTTATAAAAGGCTGAACGTTATCTGTTACACATGGGCTATCCTACTGACAGAGAAGGCTATGAAACCAGTTCACTTGTGGATGTCTTTCTGTCAAATGGTGCTCCACATGTTGGCTCGGGTTAGAATGTATGTAGATTAATGGCCACTGTCTGCTGACTTCAGCAGCGCAGTTTAACATGCAAGTTTTACTACAGTGTAGTCTCACTGCCAATGGCATGGCAGTGTTGGTGTCCCTCTCTTCGTATTTGGGCTCCGTCTGAATGCTGACATGAGGGACAAGAAGGGCGGCTTGATGGGTTGAAGGTTGAGCTGGGGAAGGAGTACAGGAGATCTTGGTGCAGACTGATGCTGAAGAACAGCAGAAACAGAAAGTAGAAATCACAACTGCTGAGATAGCTTTGCCTAACCTTGCTTTGAGAAGTGAAACTGGCTGGAAAAATTGCAGAACAAAGGGAAGCACACAGCTAAATGGTAATAGGTCAATGGTGAGCATTTGAGGAATAAGCCAAAGTACACTGTAAGAAATAAATGGAACCTATGTGACCCTTCACAATGAGAAACAGACTTATTGAAATTAGGAACAAATGAGATCTTTGATGTATAGAGGAAACCCACATTTTTTTTAGGGTTCATCATGTATCAGTGATGCATCTTATCTGTGTTTCTTATTCAGTATCAACCACACTTCCTAAGAAGCAATGCAGGAAGGACTTCGGTTATCATCATTTGGCAAGGAGGAAAGGGAGCAGCAGATAACATGATAATGATTCTCTGAGCACCATTTCAAGAATACCAGATGATGGACCAGACACATCAGAGAGTTTACACTCTCTGAGTGAAAGGCAAGGAGACAAAAATACATGTGTATTGTTTTTCATTCTTATTGAAGTTGTTTTTACTAGGCTACTTGTAGTTTAGTCATTAAATCAGTGAAATAATAATACTTTCACTTGCATATGGTCACAGACTTCCCACTTCTGAATATACCCAACATAAACCCATCCCAAAATTAGAAAAATATGGCCATATGAATATTTGATTGTTTCCATTTTAACATAAGTACCAGTGGTATAAAGAGGCTCTGGTACATATGTTAAAATGGAAACAATCAAATATTCTTATGGCCATCTTTTTCTAATTTTGGAATGGGTTTATGTTGGGTATATTCAGAGGTGGGAAGTCTGAGACCATATGTAAGTAAAAGTATTATTATTTTACTGATTTAATGACTAAACTACAAGTAGCCTAGCAAAAACAACTTCAATGAGAATAAAAATAGTATCAGAACAATAAAACTACTTGAGTTTGCAACTGAAAGAGGAACTTTTTAGTGTATTCACTGTCGATATTTGAACTGCTTTGTTAGCTGCTATTCTTCTCTTTTTGACATTATTTCGGTCTAGAATAAAATGCTAATGCTTCAAGGTAAGAGAGTTATTAGTAACAGCAAAGCAGTACAGAATGAAATTAAACAGAGATTAAAAGAGATTTAGTAACTCAGCGTGAAAGGCTTAAAAAGTAGAGGGAAAAGTACACTTAACAAGTAAGCAAAAGTATACCAAAACCATAGATGATATGCATTTCAATAGATGAGACAAAAGAGTCCAATTTGCTTGTTTGCTCAGAAACAATATAAATATTCATCATATATAAATACAAATTGAATACAAATATTCAAATATTCAAAAAAGACCACAAACAATATTTTAATAGAGAGAACCTTCCTATAATATGTTTCCTTTCATTCTTTCCTCAGTTGACATATATGAACAGACATGTTCATGTTGTGTGAAACAAAAGACCTGCATTGCTTTCAGATGCATGAAAACTAAAAGTGAAAATGCTCCATTTAGCCAGGTCAGAATGCTTTTACACAACATGTGTGTGTGTCTGTTTGACATAATGGCATCAAATTAAGAGGCTAGTTTATATGTTTATATATCTGTCCCCCTTTTTTCTGCTCTTCTACCTTGTATACTACCAATCAAAATGTTGTACCCACCTACTCATAGAAAATGCTTTAATTGTCTTTAAAAACTATTCTTCACATTTCAGAATAAGACATAACAGATATGAAATAGTTCACATGGAATTACTTCAGTCAGAAATATTCTACCAAATAGGGCTTTTTAGACTCAGTCTTTCTTCATCACAACTGACTGATTGACATTCCACTAATTAAATTCTAATGAAAAAAACATAATAATTAGGATGATGTAATGATTGTGGTTCCAACTCTACATTTTCCAACTCTAAATTTCACTTTTACTCTTAAATGAATGAATAAATATTGCTTAAAAATATTTTTTTAGTTTTCAGCATAAATTCATACTGAAGCATACATTTTAGTATTTATATTTATCTTAGAAAAACTTTGAAGCTTTTAAGCATAAGCCTTCACATCAAAATGTCTAAGATTATGAATTTAATACAAATCTCAATTCCAAAACAGTTGCGACAGTAAGTGAAATGCAAATAAAACAGAAAGCAGTGATGTGTAAAATTTGTAAGCTTTGTAAAATGAAAACAGTACAAAACAGTACAAAGAGAAGAACTTCATTATTTTTTGTAAATATACACTCATTTTGAAATGTATGCCTGCAGAGCATTCCAAAAAGGTTTGGACAAAGGCAATTTAAGATGAGGAAGTTTGTGAAATGTTAAAAAAAGTGCAATCATGCAATTGAGTGTAAAAGGAGCATCCAGAAAAGGCCTTGTGCTTCGTGAGAAAGGATGAGGCAAAGCATGCCACTTTGCCAAAATGCGTCAGAGAATGGTCCAACAGTTTAACCATTTCTCAGTAAGCAGCTGCAAGGATTTTAGATATGTCACCCTCTGTGGTGCATACTATCATAAAAAAAATAAAAGATTCAGGGAATCTGTAGAAAACTCCAGGTGTAAAAGTCAAGGCTGAAAACCACACCTAAATGTCCATGACCTTCAATCACCCAGACAGCACTATATTAAAAAACGACATGCGTCTATCTATGTTTATATCTATATCTATATCATTCTGTGATGGATATCACCACATTGACTCAGGAATACTTTGACAAACTTTTGTCAATAATCAATGTTCATTACTGCATCAATAATTACAAGTTAAGACTGTACTATGCACAGTGGAAGACATGTCAACAATGTCTGGAAATGCTGCAGACTTCTCTGGGCTTGAGCTTATCTGAAATAGACTTGAGGCACAGTGGAAACATATACTGTGGCATAAAAAGTCAACCTTTCAGATTGTTTATGGAAATAATGTATGCTATGTAATGTTATTTTCTCTGTCGAAGAGGAAAAGGACCATCCAAATTGATACCAGCATAAAGTTCAAAAGCCAGGGTCTGTCGTGATGGGCTGTATTAGAACCCACTGCATAGGTAACTTCTGTGCAGGCATCAAAAATGCTAAAAGATATATAAACATTTAAATATATAAATATTTAAATTTAAATACACTGTCTTTTTCAGGGACGTCCATGCTTATTTCAACGTGACACATAGCCACATTCTGCATGTGTTAGAAGAGCAAGGCTGCGTAAAGAGTGTGGGTACTAGACTAGCCTGCCTGTAGTGCAGACCTGTAGTCTCACTGAAAACATGTGGTGCGTTACAAAGTGCAAAATGCAAATAAATTTCAGAAGGTAAAACCCAACTGTTGCAACTGTTCTGAAATTGAGTTTTGTACAATCAAACTTTAGACTGGTACTGTATGTGATCCTAGTAGCTAAATATAATGTTATTCGCACATATTCAAATACCCAGTTTAAATAATCTGATATTGTCCATTCAAAGTTCAGTCTGACTTATATGAACACTGAAATGAACCCTGGTTTTGTATTACTACCTGTGTCTGAATCTAAAATTGTGATTGTGAATCCTTTTGGACCCCACTAGCATGCTAACTCCACGTGTGAAGTGAGTTAATAATAGGAATGTAACGTAGCCCAGCGATAGGATGATTTCAAAGTCCTGTAGTATTGTCTATATTGCTGACACTTGCAATTTAAGCAAAACAATTTGACAGCTGATTAATAGTTTGCTGTAAGTAACTGAGTAACTTTAGTCTGTGTGTGTGTGTGTGTGTGTGTGTGTGTGTGTGCGTGCAGGAGTTTAGTTTCAGTTGTCACACTGGTTGTGAGCTTCCCAGTGTGTGGGCATGAGGTGGGTGTGTCAGCTTACTGTATGTGAACTCTGAACTCAGTACCTGTGGTCCAAGTCTGACACAGTGGGGGTGCAGTTGGAATAAAGGTGATTATTCTGTACACAGATAAAAAAAATATTAATATGTGTAGGACAAGAAAGGAAACAAATGTAGAGACATGAAACAAGACGTGTCACTGGCTATAGAATGAGGCTAGAGTGGCTTTATAGTGTAGAGTTAAATCAAAATGCAACAGGATGTATACAAAATGAATTGCTATGAAGCTGCCATTCATGATGTGGCACGATCCATGTCATGGGAAAATGTCATATCAGTGTGGTGACCATAGGAACCATTGGAAAAGCATCTATGACACCAGGCAGACCAACTTGGTAGCATGGACAACCATGGTCACCACACGGGTATTCACTTTTAGCCCAGGAAACTTCCCAACCCAGTTGTACTGTTTTGTAAATCTGAGGTACCAGTTTGGATTATTACACACTTTTTGATGGATGCTGTAACAGGGCATCTGGGCTGCATATGATGACAACAGAGGAAGGACCTGTCTTGTTTACTCACAATTAGAGGTTGTAGGGTCTTTGTTAGGGGGGTCATGGGAGGATGAGGGATGCACTGATGGGTCCATTGGCTCCATGGGAATTTTCACTGAGGAGGGAGATTCACTGGGACAGTTTGTCTGGGAGAGACACAATAACGACAGACTATCCCCATGCAAAAACATTCACATGCTAAAAACACAAACACAAAAAGGACGCATAAAGGAATTATAGGAGTTATACATCAAACTTCTGCAAACAATGGCAACGGGAATGGGTACCTCCAGCCAAGAGAAAGAACTGAGCTGGATTGGTCCCTTTTAGAGTAAACAGATGAACATGCAAGTGTTGGGACAACGGAATGTTCTGGATTGGAAGCAGGGCTGCACAATACATACCTTGTTCTTCATTATTGCAATACTGACCTTTATATACTGATATTGCAGAAGGCTGCTATATGCAATTAAGCCCTCTTACCAATCACGATTTTTACTGTGTGCTGTGAACATCTTGATCAGTCATGGTTTAAGATGCGTGTTTCAGTGGCTGTTTGAATGAACCATGTCATTTCTAGAATCCAATAAAAGTCCATTATTTTTTGTCAAAATGACGCAGGTAGATTTTTAACTATGTCAGAGTTTTTCATTCACCAATGCTTTTTTAATATATTGCACGGCATATCGCAATTGAAATATTCTGTAATATAACTGCAATGCGAGTATTATATACATATTGTGCAGCCCTTATTAGACAGAATGACATACAGATTGAAGTAAATGTTTTACAGTGCCTTTTCAGCAACACTGTGAGGCAGAAGGAGAAATATATTTATGATTAACCACAAAACATACACAACAGAGAATAAGATTGTTTCAAAGAGTTGTAGGGTGTTATGTTTGTGTTTAAAAGGAATTTGTGCGTCTGCTAACCTCTTCATCACTGTCGTGATCTATGCTCTTGGCCTTCTTTTTTTCTTTCTTCTTCTTCTCATCCTCCTTTTTCTTTTTGTCTTTGTCGGGGAGGATGTCATCCAGCCAGGCCAGGTCATGCTGGGAGAAGACCAGGTCAAGCATCTTCCTCACCACCATCAGTCCCAGAATCTGCAAGTGTGACATGGCAATCTTTCAGTTTACCTCTACTTAATTATTAGATTTTTGTGTCCTTTGCCTTTACTGCAGCTGCTATTCTTTTTCCAAAAACTTGCTTTCAGTTTTTCAAAGACATCTGTAGGGACTTTTTTTTTGGCAAAATATTAGATTTAAATTGCTATCCTTTCAGTAGTTTCTTTGCAGACCTCTGCAGGTTTGCTTTAGTATACTTCTGTGTTCAATTAGTTAAATATTGACAGTGACTTTTTTCAACCTGGTCCTCAGGCATCATCATCAAAAAATAAGACAATCTTAGGCATTTTATGAAGTTTAGAATTTTAAGACTTTTAAAGAATTGTATAAGAATTAAAAAAAATGTTATGACTATTTTAAGACTTTATAAGAAAACCTTGAAGAAAGGACTACCAACTGTATTATAGACATGCAGAATGCTAAATATGAGAACATGATAGCTAAGGAAGTCAGTATTATTGGTCCAAAAAATGTGAGAATTTCATGCAGAGATTGACAATCATGATAATGTGTAGCTAACTAAAAATTAATGAAAAGAGTTTAGGAGGATTGTGATTATTTATTAAGCAGTCTCTGGAGCAGCCACTAAAAAGGTTAGTCTTCATCTCCATCTGAAGTTTAAACATCTAACATATATCCAGGTGAAAATGCAAAATTACATCTGCCAGAATCATCAGCTCAATTTGTCCACCAACTCTGAAGAAGCACAGCACCAATTAAGGATTGGTGAGACAACTGAGTACTTAGATTACTGGTTTAATAACACAGTTACACCTGGGCAGATCTATTAATGTGTTGTGCCATCACAAACCCACTTTTGCTGCGATCTATCATATAGGCACAATGGCCCTTTAGCTGCCATAAGATCAAAGGTGCTGTCACTGCTATTTTATACTTTTATCTGAGATTCCCTCTCAAAGCGCAAATTACTGGAAGGAGATTATTATAATGAACCACACACCCCAATTTACCAAGACTGATAATAAATACTGACTTGATGATTGTGTGTGCAGTTTAACACCCATGAAACTCTTTTTTTTGGTGCTAACACAGCTTATATTGCTTTTACATTGTTATTACAAAATGTAGGTCCATTTCTGCCTGGTGGTATAAAGTTAGGGGAAAAATTTTTTTACTAGCAAACAACAATTTTTTCTTCCTTTTGGCCGAAACAGGCTTCCAAATAATAAGGACATAAGCAAAATGGGTTTATATTGCACTGGTCATGTGTCAATTATGAAGTTGCACCTGCATTTATTTGCATGAAAGTTCTAACATATAACCTGATAAACTGGGTGTTCCCACCAGCAGAAAATGTCTGTCGACCATCTAAATTAGTAAATCTGCCGACTGGTATTAATATGTTCATATGAGAATCAGTTCTTTGAAGGGATTGTCAGAGTCTGAAATATTAATACTTGAGATCTGTCCATTCCTAGTAGCAATAGTATTTTCTCATTCTACTCATTCTATCACTGAATTTGATCCATGAACCTAGAAGACAGAGGAAACATTCTCACCATGACAGGGAATATAATGGCTGCCACAGTAGACTTGAGGATCCAGAGCACAGCCAGGCAGGTAATCTGCACCAAGGTGAAGAGATGTACACGGCGCAAAGGTACGTGTCGGAGGAAAACGAAGTCTGGCTGGTGCTTGGCAGGCATCAGGTAAAGCTTGATCCTTTCCCAAAACTAAACAATATGATAGTATTTCCTCACTTTTAATGGAAATCAAATTTCGATCAAAAGACAGGACAGAGATTTGAATACACGTAAGTCAGAGTGTATGTGTGTGTATGTGTGTACCTGAATGCCATTGAGAGAGGCTACTCCCATATACAGGAACACACCATAGAGCACAGGCATGGGAATGTACTGAAAATTATCGGTTGACATATCATTAGACTATGATGAAGTAAAGGACATGCTTTCAAAACCTATAACTTTGGTGTGTTTTAAATATCAAACTTAAAGTAAATGTATATGTAAAAGAAAATACTGTAATGACCTTATAATCAATTATAATTATGTAGGAGACAGAGAGCGCAGCAATAAAATGCAATCAGACTTATTCAATACTGTTGTACTGAAAGGTTGCATTTTTGATCACAGCAGTTTTGTTAAGTTCTGTGTGTTTTGGCTGCTTTTTCAATTTGTAAAGCTACTTTGTAACATATTTAGGGACTCAAAAAAAGACTCTATTTAGATAAAAGGAAGGTAAAAATTTCAAAGTCAGTAGAAAGGTAGGAAAAGGTTGGATTGACAAACTTGACATAAGTCTCAAACTGTAGAAAAAGAGAAGGTTTAAAAACATCAAGACCTAAATAAACTGATAATTTGATAGTTATTTTAAAATCCAACACAGGTTGAAATGAAAATATGGCTAATTCAGGCTAAAGAATACTACCACATATTAAGACCAAAAAACATCAATGTAAAAAAAAAAAACTCCTGGAACACTGATGGCTAGTTTTATGTCTAGTAGGCCCGCCAACAATCACTGTTGTTATTTATAGTTATGGTTGTGATTATTAGGACAATAGGTGTCTATAGGTGTAAGGATAAACTTGAGGTAAGCACCAGCAATCAAAAATGAGACAGAATATGTTGATAAGTAAAAAGCTACTTTCTGAATGCTACTATCAAGGTACTACTGGACATGAAACATAAAAGTCATGGTTACAAGACTAACCTGCAGTATAGGAGCCAGGAAAATGGAGAGTCCAGTTATTACAAAAACCAAGATACCTGTCAATCTCTGCTCCCTAAGAACGATAAGGAAAGAAAAATGATCTATAAGGCAAACAAACTTACGTTAATGGCGGAGACAAAAAGTACACAGCAAATAATTTCTACTTGACTATTCACTCACCGTACTCCAAGGAACTGTGGCTGCTCCCCTGGAGCACTGGTCTCACTCTCCATCTTAAGGGAATCAATGTGAGCAATGGATATTACGGTGGCTGCTACGTACCAGGGCAGGCCCAGGAAAGAGCAGACAGCCATAAGGATGCCCACCCAGAAGAGGTCCAAATGATAACCACACCCTTTCTGTCCATCATGCGAAAAAAATGTAGTAAAATGTCATAAAAAAAGCAGAGCAAAGTTTACACCATTTTACAGTGGTCAGCTGTTCCCTACATGTACAGGTCTTTTTTTACAGTAAAATCACTCTCACAAAATAGACAGTTCTGTTTGTGATATTTGATTGGTGGAAATTGATGTGTGCAGTAATGTGTGTATACACCAGTATACACCAATGAGCCAAAACATTCTGACCACTTACAAGCAAATAACACTGATGATCTTGTAACAGTGGCGCATATCAAGGCCTGGCATATATTACACGCTGAGCTAAAAAGTCAGCTCTAATGACTGACAAGAGCCAATCATTATGACCAGACAACTGGCTTGGAGCGTCTCTGAAATGGCAAGACTTGAGGGGTGTTGCAGGGTGTTGGGCACTCAAGGCTCATCAATTTCCTGTCTGGTACTGTGGCATGTCACAGAATTTTTTAATGATGGTTACGAGAGGAATTTGTCACAGCAGTGCACCCTGCTGTAGACAGGGCTGTGTAGCCTACAATGGGCACATAAGCAGCTGAAGCAATGGAAGCTCACCTGGTCCAATGAGTCTTACATGGAAGGCCATGAAGGCATGCATTGTTTCCCTGGGGAAGTGATTGCAGCAGGATGCACTGTGGGAAGAAGACAAGCTGGTGGAGGACGTGTGATGATCTGGGAAATGTCCTGGGGAACCTTGGGTTTGGACATTCATGCGTACATCTATTTGACAAGTGGAGTCTACCTAAACATTGCTGCAATGCACCATTCGACAGTACACACATTGTTCAGGAATGGTTTGAGGAACAAGACGAATAGTTCAAGGTGTTGACCTCTAAAATTCCCCAGATCTCAATCCAGTCAAGCATCTGTGGAATGTACTGGAACAAGAAGGCAGCTCCATCTCTTGTAGAATCAATGGCCTGGCAGGTCGGAGCTGTTTTGCCCTGAGGGCTAACAGCATAACAGATAGGTGGTCATGATGTTTTGACTCATCAGTGTATATTCACCATTAACCATAACATCTGTAGATGTACAAACCAGCTGACCACTAGCATTAATGCATTTGGGTGCATTAGTTTAAAGGTGTTTAGAATTGATTCCAATCGACTAAAATAATCAATTACTATATAATACAATTTATGAAAAAAAAAAATCAAATGTCTGTTTCAAACATATATTGTATTCTATTCCACTACAGTAAACAGTTTCTCCAGTCACATTTGCATATTCAGTGCATTTTAATAATTTATTAATTCAGAATCTTAGCAAATAATCAACTAAAATCATATTGTGGTGAAATATTAAAATATGACAATTATGATACATTAAATAACTTCTTAAGGCAGAGATGTCCAGTCTCATTCACAAAGGGCTGGCTGCAACTTGTGGCTGCAGTTTTAAATTCCAATCAAGCAAAAGCACATCTGATTCTTTTTCTTTATTCAATTTGTCTAAGTTTTCAAACAGTTGATCATGTGTGCTCTTGCTTTGTTTGAATGAAAACCTGCAACTTCATCAGCTGTTTGTGAATATGACTGGACACCTCTGACCTAAGAAAACATAGTCAATTTGTATGGTTGTTAAGTCAGAGAATTACACCCTCACTTATCTTAACTTTTATCCATAAAGCACAATCTGATGTAAATCCATAAATCACAATATGATGTGTTTGAGGAAACAACAAAAGTTTACACTAATCTGTACCTTGAGTTTGTTCTCCTTGCGGTTGACAATGACAGCACTGATCTGTTGATCCATGAATATAAGGATGGTAACTAGAAGAGCAGGCACAAAGCTGGCCAAGTACATCCACCAGGGGTTCTTCCCAATGGGCATGACTATCCAACCACGATCTATCCGAGTTGGCTGTAGTTACAGTGAAAGAAGGAATGAGTGAGTGAGAAGTAGACAAGGCCCAGAGAGTTGCTTGTCAGAGCAAACAGTGCTTCAAAGAAGTTTAGAAAAATTTGTCTCATTTTCCATAAAGTTAGTTTATCTGTATTATCTGTATTAGCATAGCAGTCAAGAACAACTTAGTAATTAACCAGACACTTATCTGAATATGTTCACAACAAATAAAATTGGTAAAAATCAAGAAGAAAATTTGTGGACACAATCCATTAATAAGCATAGCTAATCATGCTCATACCTTAAACTCTGTAGGCACAATAAGCTTAGGTGTTTCAAGTCCCATTAACAGATCAAGACCAACAAATGTCATGATTGATGTGAAGATGGCAAAATCACTGATGAGTTTTCGAAGCTGCACATTTACAGAGAAGAATAAGAAAGACATATATATATATATACAGACAGGCGGGTATAGACATGGGCAGGCAGACACAGACAAAAGAAAAGAGCCAGGTAGTTAAAAGCAAGAGAGAAAGCCTGTAGAATACACAACACAGCTGTGGATAACAGCTGTTGTCTATAGGGATGCACAGTGACATCTGAATCATATCAATATCAGCAGATATTTGCTTTAAAAAGTAACTGCTATTGGACACATGTTTAGATTTGACTGATATTTCAAACCAAAATTTGATGATGTGTTTATTGTACTCTGGAACACTAGAACCTTTAGGCAACACTGGGCTACTATGCTAATGTCTGCATTTTAACCCTACAGAATATGTTATATTTCTCTATAGTGCTAATCCAGGAGAATGTAGTCCTAATTTCAACATTAATAATGTTTATGTATTGGTATTGGCAGATATGTAAATGAAAGATATTGGCTTACAATTCCCATATCCGTGCATTCCTAGTTGTCACAATGGATCATATTAGTAATCTACCAGTGTGACAGTTAATCAAGATATCATATTAAGATTTTGAGACACTTTTGCCAAATGTGGCAATTAATGCTTAGAAATGGGTGTGTCCATTAGGCTCTTTTTTACCACAAGAAAGACCAGTAGGAGAAGTTAAAAGGAAGAGTTTCATTCCAAACTGCTGTATATCCATTGGGATATAATGAGTTTTTGAAAAGAATAACAGCTGTTGTATAATGAAAAACAAAGCTGCTATCTGTGCTATCATAATATAGCACTGATATTTCTTGTATGTGTAAAACCTGCCTGTAATGCCTGTATATCATAAAAAAAGAAAATTGTTGAAAGTGGTCTAAAATCCTTTTTTTAAATATGCATTATCATCATGTAAATTGCTGATACATTGAGAAGGTGAATATTAATTGCATTTTTTTTTAGTTTATTCAAGTTTATTTAAGCAACTGTGACAGCGCTATTATAGTTGAATATGCAACTTGACTAAGATTTGAAAGTCATTCCAAAACAGGTGTATTATGAAAAATCTTTTCTCTGAGTACAAGACTTCTACAAAAAAGGAAACCTTGATCTCAGTGGGGACATGCAGTTTGGGAGTATCCAAGGACATCAGGTAATCCAGGGCACAGAAGACCAGAATGGATATGATAATGGCAAAATCCGCAAGCAGGGTACGGCACTGAGGGACAAGTAGGAGTGTGGAAGTCAAGAGCAAGAGGTTGAAAGAGGAGAAAACAAAAATGGTATATAAATGTAAAGTAGGAGAATGAATGGTTTCCACAATAAATATCATTACACAATTCAACAACAACAACAATACAATAACTACTTAGCAAACTTTAAGAAACAACATAAATTATTTTATCCTAACACAAAACATTAATGAAACAATTCCTTCTGATGCGGTCAAACCTTAGTGGGAAAGTAGCGGCTGGCCTTGAATTTCTTGAGAGAGATGGTCATGGAATAGGTGCCAAAGAACAGGATGAAGGACATGAGGGCCAGGTCAGGGACGTACTTGCAGGATTTGCCCACTAGAGAACCGCCATACTTTAAACACTCCTTCTTACTCAGCTGGCTCCAGTCCAGACCTGTGAAGTTGTACTGAGTGGAGGGGTGAGGTCATATGTGCACACAGGAAGAGTGTTAAATACAGGGGAAGAGAGAGAAAGAAAGGAGAGGGTAAAAACTGCCAAAAGAAAAAGCACACAATCTGATAACACATGAAAAAAAAACAAACATTTTTTTTATTTCATGAACATGGTTATTTTTCACAGAACACTGTTCAAGCAACACAGCATTGGAGTAACATAAAGAGCTCATTCAATTGTCCTGGTGTTCCAGCTTGCTCTTACCAAAGAGTAGTCAGTGACGTTGTCTTGGCCAAGTGCAGCTGAAGAATTAACAACCATTGAAGCCACTATTAAAGAAAAGAAAAACTAGACGTTAAAAGTGAGTGCTTTCTTGGACAATGCAAATTTATTTGTATATACTGTATACGATATACATACTGAGCAAAAGCTAAAGACTATTTCCAGTCAAAACAGTCATTAAGCATTCAGTTTTAAGAACATTAGATAGAAGATAATCCACCTCCATAAGAAAGGGAATCAAAGAAAATCAGTGAAAAAACAGGAGTTTCCAAAACTGGAATTTAAAAATATTAAATGATATAGAAAAAAATAGGACTTTTAATGACCAACAAAACTGTCACTGTTTATATCAGTGCTTCCACTGTGAGAAGAAAACTCAATGCCATAGGTCTACGAGGATGAGTAGCTGTGAAGAAACCATTACAAAAAAAAAGGAAATAAAGAAGAAGAAACTATTTGCAGATCAAATAAAGAGTCTAAATCCAGGCTTCCGCAGAGTCCAGACCACTGAATGTGTCTGGGATATATGTGCGTGTTTGTGTGTGTGTGTGCATATTTTCCCCCTTTCTTAGTGGGCACTTTAACTGGAAATTAACAAATAAATGACATTTGATCTCTGACTTTTGCAAGGTCCTGTACATACAAAACGATTCCCATTTCCTTCAAGCAGTTGATACTTACTCCGATGAGACAGCAGCCAAATTGAGTGTGCATCAAAAACAAACATAAATAAGTTACAGCAGTCAGGTGATGAACCTCTAAAAGGCTAGTTACGAATGTAGCTGTGGTTATCTGAGTAGTGGATGATCGTCAGGGCAGTACTTACTGAGTGCATATGCAGCTTCAGACCGAGAGGGTGCATACCAAATGTGTCACACTGTGACCCCTGCACATAATGTCACTGAAGCTGTATCATCTTATGACTTACTGCAAACTTCCTCAGAGACCTGGATTTTGTCTTTCACTCCAAGTGACCTGGAACCCTGGCAGTCATCCACTACTCACACAACCACAGCTGCATTTGTAACTAGTGTTATGCTTTGTATCTCCTGAGCGCCAGGGAAGGTATATACTGAGTGGATGACTTGTGCCCAGGCTGTCATGAGGAGCGCCTCAGACGCAGCCCATGATGTGAAACAGGACACTGCCACGATGATATCACAGAATTGAGATAAAGGCTCAACGATAGGAACCTCTTTCAAGGCAAGTCAGGATGTGAATACTTCCCTGATGGAGTGGCCAGTAGCAGGCACAGTCAATGGACAATTGGCAGCTGTGTAAGCCAGCTCATTTAGCTTCTGAAAAGCCTATAAACAGCTGGTCTGTCTTCCGCACTTTCACAGTAGCAGAAAAGTATCACTGTGACACCCTGACTGGGCATACAAGCTGCCTCCTGGGGTCTGAATGGTCAGTGTATGCCACCAGGCTGGTGGACTAGTTAATAAACCCAGGACTAATAATTTTTGGTAGCCAGGTTTGGCCTCAATGTCAAATCAGAATATTCTGGACCCCACAAAAATGCCGCCTAAGAATGAATGCTCTCAATAGTGCTCAAGGGGTGTTCCCCGGGCAGCAGCCAGGTCGAGCTGTTGAGAATTTGTTGTCTCCATGCCCCTTTTCAATAAGCCACAATCAGCTTGTGGGAGCACAGAGATAAGACATTGCTTGAACCCAGATGACTGAAAGTCTACATCGCTGCTCACTCTAAAGTAGAGGGCCCATCTCCAGTAGCTCCATCAGGAACGAAAGCACAGAGTCTCCACAGAGCATGAAAGTGGGTCTGTTTGGTTATTTGGGCACCAGCCCATGAAGACCTGCCACTTGCCCTAGTGTTAGGCCCGGGCTGAAGGAGCTGTAGCATTCAGTATTGTATTTCTGACTCCAGGAGAGCACGAGGACAGATCTGAGGTGGTACTAAGGGCCACAGTCACAGCTGGAGAAACTCTTATTGTGAATGCCATATCTGGCCCCCCAGCTGGGAGAGAAGGTCCATCTGTACAAGGAGTTTACAAGGAATGCCCCATAATAAAAACAGAAGCAGAGGAAACGTTGGCCATCTCAGTTACCGTGGCACTGCCAAGACGACCTAATGTTCTTTTCTCTGAATTCTGTCTAGATTAGCTGGAATGAGAGGCAGTGGGGGAAACAAATACAGCAGCTCAAATACAGCAGCCCAATGGACTCTCTTGGTCCCACTCCAAGAACCACAGATGACAGTGAGTCATGTCTGACAAGATGAACAGGTCCATGTGTGGCTGGCTGTCCATAACTTCCTCAAATCATATTGACCATGTATTGGTGAAGTCTTCGGCTCCGGCAGAGAAGTGATCCAGGCTCAGCATTTACCATGCAAATGTGTCCAATGTCAAGTTGGTCACACCCGCTAAGTGAGCAGCTCTCAAAGACAGGAATTTGGGGTATGTCTATATTCACATTTCCTGTGGCAGGCCTGAGATCTAGTGGCACCGCAGTGGTTCACATGGTAGACAGTAGCTCAAATATTTAAAAGCACAGGAATGTGTCTGCCCTGGAGACTTGGAAGTCAAGCCGAGTTTCACTGCTGGCAGCTTGAGATGGTTGATATATTCCCAGCAATGTTGTTCTTTTTGCAGCACTTCATTTGGCAACATTACCTTAGAAGCAATGCAAGCAGCCACCACTGGCATTAAAGTGAGGCCATGTTCGCCAGCGCCAGTTTCACCAAGTTTTTTCGTTTGAGAGCTTGAGTGAAACCTCACTCAAATTTGGTGACAATATCTTTTCCAGTGGGAGCAGCGAGGCTATCTGTAGGGAACACACACATGAAGAACTTACTCTTTATCTGGGCTGCAGGCACTGCTGCATTGACTAGGAGCTTAGCCAGTGCATCCTTCAGTGTGTTTTGAACCTGGGCAGCAGGCACCATTGGAGTGGACAGGACACTTGCTACAAACTCTCAGCATCATGTTCTGGAGTCTGTAATACTTACCTGAAAGCTCCCCTAGCCCGGTGGCTAAGTTCTTTTCAAATCACAGAGTTCGCTCAAGGTGAAGGGAGAGCTTCATTCCTCTGCAGTCCAAGCCTACATGGAGATGCTCAAGGTGAGGTCAAACCATAGGCCTGTCTAGCCTCTTTTTAGGGGTGCTCAAGCACACCTACATTGAGTCCCAGCACCCCTTTTTTTAAAAAAAACTGAAGTTTGTCTCTGATAAGCAAATGTTATGATCCACTTTCTCTCTCCTATTCTTCCCCCACCCTGTTCTCCCCAAAGCCGTGCAGTAGCTGCGCCGAGTGTGCGTGTGCACACACACATGCGCACTAGAGCCAGTTACAGTGTGACTGTGTGGTGTGGTGGCTCCAGTAAATAGCGCAGACGAGGATTTTTTATCACTCAGCAACAACACATTACAATCATTAGCAGTAGTCCTCACTTTTGCCCTTTTGCTCTTATCCACTCAGTAAGTACCGCCCCTGGCGACCAGGAGATACGAAACATAACTTACCATTCCACCTTTGCCTAGGTCAAAAAGACCATGAACTAAACCCAAAGTCATTTATATTTAAAGGGATGAGGCTCACCCTGGTCAGGTGCCAAGCATTCACACTTGTAGGCTGTGATGTAGTCAGGCTTGAAGTTCATGTTAATGGGGTAGTACTGGAAGGCTCCCACCATCTTCTTGATTGCATCAGAGATGAAAATGAAAGAGATAAGGCTGGAGAAGCCCTCCTCGGTGAAGCGTGTCATGTATTTGATGATGTAGCTGGCATCTGAGGCCACCAGCAACAGACACTGGAGGCACGAGTGCAGACCAATCCACAGTCGCAGCTCCAAGTAGTCGATGCTATTTGTCCTGAAAGCAGAGATCAGTGAGGTCAACAATGTGATGAGATAACCAAGCACAGCAGGAAAACCAAGACTCTTCACCAGTAAGGGACACCTGGCTGCTTGCAGTACAGCTGACTAATGACTGATGTCCATTAAGAGAAAAAGGGATGAACTAGAGAAATGCATGTGAGAATCCATATTAATCTGGACAATAGTACTGTGCAAATGTCAGAGACCACCCTTCATTTATTTAATCTCCTGTCAAAACTGACATTAAGTACAATTATTCAATTATTAGGGATATTTATGAGATTTATTTATGAAATAATCCACTTGCATAAAGAGGAAGAAAGTCAAACGAAAAACAGTTTACACTAGTGGACCTTAAAAAATTATTAAAAGAAACATGTGCATGGGACATGTAACAGCTGTGTAAGACCTTATAGACCACCAAAACTGTCAACAAGCTTTCATATTTGAGAAACAAGAGAAAATCAAGCTCCATTCTTCCTTCCACTGAAAGAAGACAACACAATACCACTATAAAGCTAAAATAATGTGTAGCTGTCAACAAGCTGCAACTAGTAATTTACGGGAAGGTATGGGGTAAGGATTATTGGACTGAGATTGGATTGAGAGAATTAGAAAACGCAACCAACTTTTAAGACTGAACTTTGGACGTGTGGAAAAATATCCCTGCAAAATATATTTGAAAGCAAGCCTCCAAAAAAGAATGAAAGCTATAATAATGGCAAAAGGTAGACACAATAAAGGCCTCAGCATACTTTTTGTGGAGATGATGTCCGCCTGACTTGGGCAAACAATATGACATAATTACAGAGAAAACAAACAATCGCAGACATTATGCCGAGGCTTTGCTCGCTGTGTCGTGCACGGCGATTCTGCAAACTCCGCAGACGAAGACGCTACGCAATAAAGCCGGTGACTGGTTGGTAAAAAAGAGGCGCGCCATGAAACAAAAATGGACGACTTTAAAGAGCTTCATTTGGCAAGAAGTATGCTGAGTGCTTTGGCAGAGACACCAACATTTCACTGTTAAATGCACATTTGTTAAAAAAACAATGAATACTTCCTAAATGTAAGTCTGTTATACGGTAGTACCAACTAGTAGTAAGCACCAAGGCATATAGATTATCCTATATTTGGGTTCACAAGAGGACGAGGTTGAAGTTGGCTTCCTATTTGCCAGCTTCATGTTTGAATTTTCCTGTTCCACCTTAAATGGTGACAGCATTCTGGACTTGTTTTTAGATATTTAGAACTGTGATAGAATCGTTTTCCAGTAGTCATGGAGTTTATGTCACATCATCACCTGCATTAGTGAAGCATCTGCGACAGGCCAAACAAAACTGCAAAAAAGTATGCGAGCTTGTAAGCTCATGAAGGCGCTTTCGGCTTTGCGCAAGCCTCAAACATATAATGTTCAACTCTAGTGGCTGAGGTTTGTATTTTGTATTTTGCATTTGTTTCTGATGCTGAAAAATGACTTGTCATTGAATACTTCACGTTTTGACTGGAAATTAAATAAATGAGGGGTGGCCTATGACTGTTTTCATACTACTGTATGGAGGAAACAAATATCCTTCTTTAAATTCAAAATTGGTGTTAACATCTTCACATAAAGAATATCTTCACAAACATTAGGCCAATTTGCACTTACTTGCAAAACTCATAGAGCAGCTTTTCAAAGACTAATATAGGTCCTGTGGAGCTTAGGATGATGAGGGGTTGACCACCAAACAGGCAGAAGACTGTCCCTGCCAAAGCTGTGCCAAGAAAGCTCTCCATCACACCCTGAAGGACACAAAAATAATTTTACACCTTCCAGACACAAGCTTTATAGGGCATTAAAAGAAGATATATAGACTTGAATAAATTAGATTACTAAAACGTACTTTTTATCAATATTTGCTCTCCTAATGTCATATGTAGCCACTGCAAGCTTCTTCTGGGAGAATGATGGCTAGCATGTGCTTTCTACATAGCACATTTGGCTAGTAGCCACATCTTTAACTGCTGCTCTTGCATAGTTGTAGTACAGGTGAAGATGCTTGGAGGAATGTGCTAATTACTCAGAGCCTGGTTTCCCAAAAGCATGTTAGTGTTAATATTGTCTTAACTGGTAGAGAGTGTTTAATGTTACGCTTGCACTACTATTTAGTAATCATCATTGTGCTAAGATGCTTTGGGCAAACCCAGCCAACATCAGAGTATATAATTCAGCCATGTACATTGCCCAGAACAACAGAACCAAATTCTGCTCTTGAAAACAGTATTTTAGTGATTGAGCTACTTGGTATCTTGGTCAAGGTACGTTAAACAGCTTCATTATCCTTAATTTCAGGTGTACTGGAGTTGAAATGATGAATAAAAGGAGGAGCTTGGACAAGTTACTTGGTAGTTGTCAGTGGCATCTCCTAGAAGTCCTCCAAAGGTGATGGCATTAGTGATGCAACCCAGATAGATAAAAAGCACAGCCGAGATCGACTGAATGTGAAAGCCATCATAGAAGTCACTTGGCAGCCAAGGTATTTTTCGTTTGATGTCAAGGTAAAGGCCTCCACAAAATCTACAGAAAATACAACATTAGTTGTTATGCACATCATCAAGACAGTGCAGTTAATATAAGCATTACAGCTTGCTAACTCATCTCCTGCTGCAGTCTCAAACTTATAAAAAGACAAAGTGATCAGGCTTTGTGGACCAGCAAGCCTACCTCCCAGTAAAGGTCAATTCCTCTCCCAACTCATGAGGGGCAGGTATCTCTTCATCATCAGCAGCTGCTCCTCCTCCTGCTGCAGTTCCATTCGCCTGGCCCAGCTCATTTAGTGAAAAAACAGACTTCCTGCAAAGAAAGAGTGAACAGGATTTAATGTCTTTTTTCCACATTAGTACATATTCACATTCAAGTTTCTTTTTAATACAGAGATTCAAAGCCAGTATACAAAAATGCACTCTATTCAAGTCAATGTGATACTTTAAATGTGTTTTGCAGTTTTATATAGCATCCTGCAGTAAACTCTGCGAAAACATTTACAGTATATTATATACACCGATCAGGCATAACATAACATCCTTGTTTCTACACTCATTGTCCATTTTATCAGCCCCACTTATTATATAGGTTCACTTTGTAGTTCTACAATTACAGACTGTAGTCCACCTGTTTCTCTGCATACTTTGTTAACCCCCTTTTACCCTGTTCTTCAGTGGTCAGGACCCCCATGGACCCTCACAGAGCAGGTACTATTTGGGTGGTGGATCACTCTCAGCGCTGCAGTAACACTGACATGGTGGTGGTGTGTTAGTGTGTGTTGTGCTGGTCTGAGTGGATCAGACACAGCAGTGCTGCTAGAGTTTTTAAACACCTCAGTGTCACTGCTGGACTGAGAATACCAAAAATATCCAGCCAACAGCGTCCTGTGGGCAGCGTCCTGTGACCACTGATGAAGGACTAGCCCTTACTGTTTAAGCAATATTTTGAACCAGTCCTTTTGTATAGACATTGTTGATTACAGAAACATTACTGCTATCAATATGTAGTCTTTAAACATATTACTGCTGTAAACAAATATTACAGTATGAGTGATGTAAATATTAATTACAGTTACTACCTGGCAACTTTTACATTTTTTTTACATTTGACATTAAATTGAGGATTTAGCATTATTTTACGTTAAATTGAATTTTTCTGTGCATTTTTTCAGTGTGTAATCAATAATTCTTCAATCCCAGAGGTGATTATGACATTACATGTGGTCTACACAACCTCATACCTCATCTCTGCTGAAGGAAGTTTCTTTGGTGGTTCAATACGGATCTTTGGGTCCCACTCTCCTGGTGGGAGCACTATCACCTCATCCAGAAACTCATCAATTCCTGCAATCAAGTCTTCACGATCCCTGGCCTTATAGGCCACATCGCTGAAGAGCTGGAGAGACATGAGCTTTGATTAAACGATTAAAGAACAAAAAATTGTTTGAATTGTTCAGTGAAATAGTACAGGCCATATCTGCATCCAAGAGCTAATGGTAAGATTTCTGTTTAAAATTCTATCAGTGCATTTGTAAAAGGCTTTTTATCTTTCGTGTAGCTCCTTTATTAACAACTTGGTGTATCAAATAATTCAGATCTGTAAATAATAATTAAGCCATTCATGCTTACATCATCCACCATGAGAGTGGCCATGGCCCGGCCGATCTCATTGTAGGACTTGGCCTTGCCATGAGGACCCAGCAACACAAAGAGAAACCTAGCAATAGAACAACAGTGCTGAGAGAATATAAAGTGTGGTTCATGAAAACATTGTACTCAAAGGAGACACAGAACGATATAGATATAAATGCTGAGCAATGTTTGTCACCTGGTTGGCACAGGGACCTCAGTCAGACCGCCTAATGTGGTAGCTTGAGCAAGACGAACAAAGGCCACGAACGGCTTGTCCACAAAGTCCACCTCTCCAATCAGGACATTGGATGCCTCCGCATCTCTGGGGATTTTCTTCATGAACTTGTTCTTGAGCTGGTGATCAGCATTACAGTATAGTGAACCATTATGGATTTAAAAAAGCGATCAAATAGTAGTCTACATCAGATGCAGATGCAGATATCCGGTATTAACTGTCTAAACATTTTGAGGATTAATAATACTGGCTGATATACTTTTACATGGTCAAAAATTAAACTGACACCAGTAGTTATAGTTTTAGTTATCAAATTGAGCATCTTGAGGCAATCCATTCTGAAAATCTGGTGAAGGCTTCTTTGAGCTTTTTTTAAAATAAAAATGTGGGTTACTACCAAAACACATATTTTTTGCAAATAAACATTTTGTGTTTTATTAATGACTTTATGATTTTATGTGTGTACAACTGTTCAAAGCTATGTTTGCTAGTCATGCACTGGCTAGTGTTTTTGAGTTATGCTCAAAATCATCCAAAATTGTCACTAACGAAACATTTGGTAAAGTTTTGCTAGCAATTTTAATGTGTAATTTGTTTGTGACAAAATTAAATGTTCCTAATTTCATGAACACTAAGCACAGAGTTCTAGACATTGTGTACAGGAAACTCATTAACAGTATCAGTAATCATTCCATTGTCACTGTCTGATGTCTCTGCATGTAATAAAAATGGCAGCCCAGCCTTTCCAGTGCGTGACCAATTGCAGATCAACAGTGTTGTGCAACCACTGAAGATTCATTTAAATATGAACACATACACACACACTAACACCCCAATCAGCACAGCCTGTGTTTTTGCCATTGCCCCCACTGAGCACGTGGCTATGGAATGGTCGGTGCTTAGGTCAAAATCACCTCTTAATCTTCTAATGCTGCTTTCAGAGTCAGTTTACTTTCTGCCTGAAATAAACAAGCTCTTTTCTGTTGTGCTGACCCTGTTTTAACTTTTGAGGCCATTTGCTGTTGTTTCAGTGTAGATCGCTGGCATTTACTGTCAAGTAGGGGTGGGCAATATGTCGATATGTTATCTTGATAAATGATGTCACATTTCTGAACATACAGTGGATATCGCCAGTACATAATAAACACTGACCAACTGCATGTGCCATTAAAAAGAAAGCTTCATTGGACTGGTTTAACTGGATTTAGTGCAGTGAAATGTGTGAAATGTTGAACAAAATGGCTGTATAACCATCATCTTCACAGTTTTTGACAGTAATTTCATACTTAATATGTGGCACTCCTGTGGCTTTTTTGTCTGTTGTAACATTTAAGCATTGTGTACTGTGATATTGTATATTTGCCATATCACCCCTGCTGTCAGTGGTCTATGGCAAGCCTCAATAAACACTGTCAAAACTGATAACTGCTCAAAAACTATGGATTGTAGATGAAAAGATTAACATATTGTAATAAAACTTTATATCCTTTCCAAACACTTTATTGCTCACAGTTCAGCAAACTGTTTTTGTTACTTTAATTATTATATGTAAATGGTCTTTGTTTGTTGTTATAACTTCACAGTGAATGAGCAGAGCTTTACTACTGTAGGCTGAATGAGTGGATATATGCAAATGTTTTGGTTTTTTTATGACATCACAAAAAACAAATGTATAAAATTAAGCACATATCCATGTCGTCTCCACAATCACTGGCAGTACAAGGGTTGCAATGAAGAGCTCATTAACTTTAAAAGTGACATTGTCGTAGGATGACACCTTTGCCACAAGCCAGTTCATGAAATTTCCACCCTGAAAGACCAGTCAACTGTAAGTGCTATTATTGTGAAATGGCAGTGTCTAGGTGAAACAACAGCTCATCCACAAAGCAGTAGACCTCGCAAACTTACAGAGTAGGGCAGCTGAGTGCTGAAGCATGTAGCACACAAAAATCGTCTATCCTCTGTTGCATCACTCTCTACAGAGTTCCAAACTGCCTGTACTATTAGCACAAAAACTATGAATCAGGAGCTTCATGAAATGGGTTTCCATGGCTGAGAAGCTGCACACAAGCCTAAGATCACTGTGCTCGGTTTCAAGCGTCAGTTGGAGTGGTGTAAAGCCACTGGACTCTGAAGCAGTGAAAACTTGTTCTCTGGAGTAATGAATCATGCTTCACTGTCTGGCAGTTAGATGGTTGAAACTGGATTTGGTGGATGCTACGAGAACACTACCTACTTGATTACAACACTATGTAACAGTGCCAACAGTAAAGTTTTGTGGATGAGTATACTGTGACTGATGCTGTTGTCTGTTGCTGTAATGACCCTGCACTGCGCGCAGTGAAATCTCTTTTTAGAGAGTTTATGAAAACCTATGGGATTAAAATCCACAGCAGGTAAAATCTATCCAGTATGCTTATTAAACTGTTACAATTGTCAATGGATTAGTAAACAAATACGTTTAGCTGTTTGTGAAGAAATACTGCCACTTTGTACGGTAAATGTGAATTGAATAAAATCAACCATGGGTTTGACAATGACAAACTGTTATGGGTGGGACCTTTGACCCTCAAAGTGCTGATGAAGCTGAAAAAAGCTCTGGGAGGGGGTTGGTGTGATCATGCCAAACAGTGCATATAGAGCACGAGTAGAAACATGAAAGTGAGTGGAGCCTGTCACTCTTAGGGGCAGAACCTAATTAAAATGTACTTAGGCGCATACTGGGAGGGGATCACCGCTGCTTTGAAGTCCCCTGAACAGAGTGGAGTCGTTTACATCTCAATTCAGTGTAGTTAATACACTTTGGCTGAAAAAAGCAAACAACTTGAAGCATTTTTCACATTTTTAATTTTTTTTTATTTTAATGAAACAAAGGGCGGATAAAAAGATTAATTAGCGCTCTGGTTTTGACATGGCATCTGCAAGATTTGTTAGGGGATTAGAAAAAAAAATAGAATGGAACATTCTGCCTCATGCATGTCACCTGCCGCAGTGAGCTGAAGTCATGGCAGTGCTCATGGCCCTGTGGAATGACAGGCTGCCATTGTTAACAAAATCTCTGTTACTTCCAAATCTCTATTATTCCAGTTGAGGCCTGGTTAATCACAGATTGGAGCACCTCTTGCAAATTCTCCCCTAATTAACACATTTGCATAGCTTAATCAATACATGCACATGGCAAACACAAGAATGTTCATCCATTTCTCCCGCTTCCCAGGCTTAAAAAAATTGTCAAACATAAAAAAAGTATAAAACCCATACCTGGTCAGAGCTTGGAGTGACTGAGATGTCATTCATACTACGACACTGGGAAGGATCTGCAATTCAGAAAATATACACGTGATGAAAACAATTCATTTCAGTTGTATTTTTAACATGCCCTCACCAACTTCAATCACCACTTGGAAGTGCATTTCACCTACGTTACAGACGTCGCTGCTCACAGTACAATGGGAGGAGGGGACAGTGAAGGACTTTTTTTTATCATGCGTCCACCCTCAGCTAGGTTACCCTCTGCTAGCCCAGTAAACTTTGCAATGCAAAATGTTTTTTGAGAAGTCTGAACATAATGTAGATGAATTTGGTGAATAATGGCTTTGTATAATAATTGCTGATGTCGACACCCATGTTCACTTTATCCCTGCCTCTCTGAGGGCTCATCTATCACACTTCACTTGTTCTAAGAAAGTAATGGAACGCCCCTTAAAATGATGTTGGGAATTCCCTCAAGGGGAAATGGGCAAGCTAAGGTGATGAGGGCTTGTTAAAATAGTACTGAAATGGACAGCACTGGACAACTATCACGCAAGGTTTAACATTCACTGCATGCTAAATAGAGCAAATATGGCAAACTTATTAAGTATGACAAAAATTAGAAGTGTAAAATGTATGAGTGCATTATGATGCATCAGTCTAATATTAGCTATTCAAGTGTATGACTTTTGTATGTAATGTTAGAATCGATAATAATCTAAAATAAAAGCCTATTTTAAAAGGGGAATTTTTCAAATGTAAAAATAAAGTACATTGTCTGTATTATATATGTATTGTTTTTCAATGTGTAAATTGTTCCTCCATTTTTGCAAGTATTTTTTACAAATTTCTCAATCATACCAAATTAATGTAATCGAACTGTAAAATTATTATTATGAGATCTGAGATTTACAACCCCCATAAAACACATTTTGAGACAGCCATTTCCTTTAATTGATTTAAAAAAATGAATGTCCCTAAAAGCAGGTTTGGAAACACACTGACCACTGGTGCCGGTGCAGCATGTTTAGCGACAGGGTTCCTGAAGTTTCTGCTTCACAAAACACACAATTAACTTTCCCCTTAACCTGGGTTTAGAGACTCAAGGTACAATTAATCCTCGTGCATATGCACATGAAACCAAACAGCCAATCGTGTGAAAAATTAGGTCGAGCAGCTTATTTTTCAAAAAAGAAAAATCTACATAAATATGCAGAAAACAAAGAATTTCTAATGGTAAAAAAGCAATGCTCTCACCACTGCCAGCACATCAGTGCTTAGTTTTGACCATATCAGCCCAGCTTTATCAAACCAGACTGCCAGTTAAATTTCACATCGATTACAAAATTCTTTTACTGACATATAAAGCTTTAAACGGACTCGCCCCTCAGTACCTGAGTGAACTTATCTCTTATTAAGAACCAACACACCTACTTAGATCACAAGGTGCTGGCTTACTAGTAGTACCTAGAATAAATGAAGTTACATCAGGGCACAGAGTCCTCCAACTTTGAAATAATCTTCCAGTCAGTGTTCAGGACTCAGACACAGCCTCCGTTTTTAAGTCTAGGCTAAAAAGCTACTTGTTTAGTCGAGCACTTGGTAATTAGTTTTTCCTGTTGGATAAAAGTTGCAGATCTGGAGGTTCATAGACATAGAGTATTATGGTAAACTTGGAGTGTCAGTGCTGTCTTCCTGCTGCTTTTACACGCTCACTCAAGTTTGCTGATGGTGGAGCGGAGCTTCACCTGCTGTTGACTCTTCTGCCTTATTTGGGTCCAGTTTGACCATCATGGAACTTACCGCTGTACAACGCTGTGCAAACCTCACCTGCATGAACTGACCTTTCTAATGATGCTGCTTCTGCACAGACTCAAACTATTTAATTATAACCATTGTTTCATCAGTTTTTCCCCGTTCCTGTATTTTAATATTTTTATACTAACGTTAAAACTTTATCCTCTATTCTTCTTGCTCTTGTGTTACTGTTTGCCATCCAGTGTCAACCAAAGGAAGATGGGTTCCCCTTTTGAGTCTTGGTTCCACTCAATCTCTATATAAATAAACTTTTACTTGGCATAGTGAAGTAACAACTGCTATATTCTTATATTCTTAATGTCTATGCATTATGATTTGTTTCCTCTGCTGAAAGCGACATTTTTCAAGTAAAGAAAAAAGAAAATACAGGGTTAAGTAGAATTGAGCTTAAATTTAGCTGGACAATTAAAAAATATCCTGCTTTGTGAGACATATCCCTGTACAATGGAAGTAAAAAATAGAAAGTTACGTAGGAAACACTAGCATAATTCGTAATCCTTTTTATTACTAAGCAAACCACAACAGTTGCAAAAATCAACTGCCCTTGCTCATTTCATATGCTGTAAGGTCAAATAGAAGGTGAAGGTGACAAGCAGATCCATACATGACGTAATTGATATAGACTGTATATTAGGGCCTGGAGTCAGAAGCCTAGACTCACGCAGTTTTCCCAGGCTTCCACTCTGGCGAGCTCGCAGGTCCTCAGTGGAGCGATGAAAGCCAGATGCACAGCTCGGGCTGCAGCTCGGGCTGCGGCTCGGACTGCGGTCTGATACAGACCCAGGGTCAGAGACAAAAGAAAGAAGAGGCAGAAAGAGGATAGAGAGAGAAAAAGAGCAAGAGATGTGTGGAGAGATTGCAGAGTTTAGAAAAAAACAATAAGTTGGCATAGACAGGGTGGGGATAAGGAAAAACATGAGATTAAACGGGATGGGGTGGGCAATATGGCAAGAATATAATTTCATGATTCTTGAGGTCATCGGCATCATACTTGATGTGCATGACAAAAATCTGTATGCAAAGAAGTAAGTCAATAAGGACCAAACAAAATGTAACACCAAAACAACAGTGTTATATTTAAAAAGGTGACAAAAAGCTACAAGTATATTTTTTTAATTCAAAGTTTACGCACACACCCACACACACACCACACCCACACACACCCGCACACAATATCTAAGCCGTTTATCCTCTGGGGCATGGGGGGGAGGTGTGGGGAGGATAAGAGGATATTTAATAACATAAAAAGTGGTAAATAATTTAATACAATAACATAATGCCACACTGGGCTGACATCCAATCAGCTATTTGTTACTACACTCTGAAAAATAAATGATATGTGCAACAATACTTTTCAATCTAGTATCTATTTGCTGCATAGAAACTTCCTTTAATGGAAGTTTCTTTTTTTAAATGCATTTTGAGTCAATGGGTTTTCGTAATTCCTATAATTCAAAAGTACACATGATTTAAAAGCATATCATGATGTAATTCATCACGATAACAATCACATCACATTGCCCACCTCTTGATAAGATAATGGAAATTGAAAAGTAGTTAGCATGGAGTAAAGATAGAAAGAGTGTTAATGAAATAGTACTTGTATAAGTGGTTAAATGGTCAAAAGAAGGTTATGTTTAATGTAGGACAGAATACATAAACTAATGCTCCTATACACGCATCAGGACAACAGTAACAAAATTCATGCAAATGACAGAGGTCAAGACCTTTATTTGAAGGGCTGGGCTTCCCAATGTCAGCCAGTGAACGATGGATGGGTTTCTTGGTCTGGTGTCGATGCTTCCTCAGCAAGACGAAACTGATTTTCTCTTTGAGCTCTGGAGCTATTAGACCATCCTGCACCTGCTTCTCCACTATGTCATCTGGACAAGACAAAGAAAACAGATGTACAGTTAAGATTAGCGTTTTTATAGTTTATTTTTTTATATTTTTTCAAAGCCAGTTTTATGCATCATAACGTAAATAAAATAACCAATTTACAAATATTTACACATTTAACCTTAAACTGCAGAGTTATTATTCAGTTGTGAATACAAATTATTAAGTAAATTATTCAGTAACTACTATAAAACAGAATTTATATAATAATAAGAATGAGAAATTGAAGGGAGCGCTCTTGCAATTGAAGGGCAATAAACAAGGGATGCATAGCACAGTCTTAGAAATATGGTCACTGGGCCAAAAGGACCCACCCATTTAAATATAGAACACATAGAATTATACAGACAAAATTTCACAACACATTTTCCCCCCAACATTTATGAATAATCCACTTTTTGTTTTGAAATAAAACAAGGTTTTTTTTTTTTTAGCAATTTTAACAAAGTGTGTAAAAACTAACCAAGTTTAATTTTTAATTTTTTTTTTTTCAGGTTGAAGAATGGCGTTCACTAGAAATGCAAAGGCATTTTGTGTGTTAGAATATGCTCGAACACAGTCAAACAAGAGTGTGCAGCATGCATTTTTGAGAAAATTAAATAAAAACGCACCAACTGGAAAGCAGATTTGGACATGGCACAAATAATTCAAAGAGGAAGGCTGTCTGTGCAGGGCAAAGGGATCTGGACGACCACCAGTATCAGAAGATATTACATTTGTGAAGCTTCGTGAAATCGGTTATAAAATCTACATCCCTCTGAATTTCTTGTTCGAATTTTGATAAATAAATCTTGTATTGTTCAACATGAAGCCTATTTAATTTTATTTGCCTAGGACATGTAGTTACTCAGATATTCACATCTTAAATGATGTCAATTTTTTTGGGACACCCTGTACATTATAGAAGTAGATTCTGTCCATTTCATACCTTTACTATGTAAGAGATAGCAATGCCTCCTTGCAACCTAGCATAGCATAGTCTGCTGTTGTGCCAACTGAACATTGCTATAATGGCAAAAATCCTCAGAAGGATTAAATGGCCTTTTCACCATAGAATTACCACAATTATAACATATATGAGAAATGCACAAATTGTTTCTCATTTCTTCATTGCTGGGGGTAAAACTTACCGACTATCTGAGGCAGAGAGTAGCCCTCCAGGTCCAGCAGGATAGTGCCAGTCTGCAAACAGGTACGCAACTCAAATAGACTGTGCAGTGACAGAGTAGACACATGGGGCTTGCTCCACCTCTCCCCACCCTCTTCCACTTTCTCCTCAAACTTCACCCACCTGAGAGAACAGCACAAACATGATTGTGTGACTGAAGGTAGTAAAAAGAGAGAGAAATATTACTGATCTTAAAAATAGCAGTGAATGACATAATTTCAACCCAAAATAAAAACAAAAATCCCCCAGGAAAAAAAAGGAATTTAAAATCAATATAGGGCTTTTAAAAAAAACATAAAGCTTCACTCAACCCTGCTTAGATAACAATTTCCCATTTGCTTTGTAATTTTTACGAATTTATAAGAAGCGAAACGCATCTCTTAACTCAGTGAGCACATTACCTGGCAGATTCCTTCCACTCCAGTTCTCCACCTTCATGCTGCAGTGTGTCCATCTCAGTGAAGAGTGTAGGTGTGGGGTCATCATCCTCACCAAGGATGGAGCGCAGTCTCTCTGCAGCAGGAGACACTGGTATGCATACAAAATCAGTCAAAGGGTTTAATAAAGATCGTTCTTTATGTGGGGGTCCTCACATCCCATCTGTGTCTCTGCATTGTCATCCCACCCTTTACCCTGTTTATCAGTGGTCCGGACCCTCTAATGCACACTAACATACCACTACCATGAGATTTGCTCCAAGAGTGATCCACCATCCAAACAATACACCGGAAAAAATGGTGTCCTGAGAAACAGATGGACTACAGTCTGTAGAACTACACCCATATTGTAAGTGGAACTGATAAAACAGACAAATTTGAAGGTAGGTGTTATTAACAAAGTGGTCAGTGAGTGAATGCTTTGGTGATTTTTGAATTCCAGTGTGACAGCTTTGAATATCAGCTAGATTATGCTGGACCACAGTCATTCCAATGCTCCAAGCCTGAAAGCACCAATAATTCCATCATACCATTCCAACACAACACACTAAGCATGTAAGTGCTTATAGGTCAAGTCTAGAGGCAGGCATTTTTGGTCCAAATGCTATGGCCACATCCCTTACCACTGAGTTGAAACCTTGAAGTTTATTGAGCAATCTACGCATCATAGATTTACACAGAATTTAAAATTAAACCCAGGCTTTGAATTTAAAGTTTTACATATTAATCCCTCAAATGGCCAGGGCCCCCCAGCAGGGGCATTTTTAAAAATTCTATAGCTTAAGAATAGCTCAACCAGTTTACACTGAAATCCCTGTACTTACTAAATAAGCTTTAGTATGTAATATAGCTGGGATTTTAAGGGGTTAAAAATGAATTTTATCAACACTGTGGGGGCATTTTAAGTTTTAGTCAGTAAACAATATTCATTAAATCTTTGAATACCATGTTTTTCTAACGCATTCATAACACATTACCATGAATTCATTCAGCCTTATCAATGTGGCTAAAATATTTATAAAAATGCATTACGCTCCATAGGTGGGTTTTTAATGCATTAAAAATCAGTAATGGAATTGCTCATAATGCATTATAAATGGTGTTCATAACATGTTATATTGGCAGTGTCAATCCAAGTTGACATCCCAGCCCCAGCTTGCACAGCACATTATGACCTGCCTAATCATAAAAACACACTGAGCCATGCTATGATTGGCATGACTTAAATAAACTTTAGTACTAACCAACTTATAAGTTATTATAAATAGGTTTTAATATATTATACTTAGCAATAATAATCCAATAACTTGTAATGACACAAAACTTGAAGCATTAAAAGGACTATAGGCTATTATTCCATTTATTCTAAGTCATTAAAGGAAATTAAGGCATCTTGTGGTTATGACTAAGTCATAATGCACTATGTAAGTTGGAGCTGGATTTGACAATATAACATGTTATGAACAGTCATGTGCAAAAGTTTGAATATCCCTGGTCAAATTACATGTCTATATAATGTTACCCTCGCCTCCTTTTTTCCTTTTTGTTGACCTTCTATGTCTCTTAGCCATGTGCATGGTCATAACTGTGCTCATTTTTATAGATATTTATACCATTTCTAGATGTTTATGATACCTTATGCTTGGTAACATGTTATGAACGTGTTCTCACTCTTATAGACGTAGTTTCCAGTTGAAGTGTTAGCCAACATCCATGTGATTATAATCCATTTTCCTCTGCTGCTTGACCTCATGCTACCACTGGAGGAGCTGTTGTGAACTAATCAAATTAGTTAGTAGTACTAAGTTACTTGACCTATCTCACATAAACACCAATAAAAGCAGTCAAACCTATCCATAATTAACATGACTAAAGAAATGAAAAGTGGAAGTATCAGATGTACTTGCATAGTAACAGTTCGTTGACCATGGTATGCCCCAGCACTCTCAGTAAGCATAAGTTTCTTATTCCTTTCACCCTGGCTCTTTGCCTTTACAGCCCAGGGGATTATTAGCACGTGGGTGTTTTTCTCTAGTTGCTGACTGCTATGTAATCTCACTGATCCCGCTGTACAATCACAGATGTGTCTGCTTGTAGTATGCCATTTTCAGTATGTAAAACTACAGCGTTCTTGATTAGTTGTTAGGTATTTACAAATGCAACATTTTGAGCAACTGAAATTACTTTTTTACTGAAATTTCATTTATGTTTATTCAAGACATATTGTAACAAAGTTCTTGTTTGTTGAGCAAAAGAATAAAATGATAAGAAAATGCATTAGAAAATGTATGTATTTGGATGACAGTGGTTGTTCTAATTCAGCTAAACTCAATCCACGAGTTGAGGCGATTGCTTCATCTCAAAGACATTTCACATGATCTCAAAACTCTATCAACTGTCTGAAAAACCCATTTGTTAAAAGTTGACAGTACATTAGGACATGGTAAGCCTCACTAAGATGGCTTAATGGATATCAATGATGTCACAAAAAACATTTATTCTTTAGGGATGCACAATGTTAATGGAATAGAATCACTAAAAGAAGATTTCAGCGTAAAAATATTGGCATTAGATATTCAGATTTGACTGTTATTTTACATTGAGATATGATGAGTTATCTGAGTTATCTGGAAGAGCAGAACATTTAGATGGGTAACAAGGATAAAATGTCTGCACTGTATTCATCTTACTGCAGTTGAAACTTATTCCAAAACTACTTTTTTATTATAACCACAAGTTATTAAAGATAACATTATATACATTAAATGGACAGCTTTCTTTTTTTCATGATATATGTTGTTGGGAGGAGGCTTTACACATTTCAGCAATGTCAACGCTAAATTATTATTATTTATATCGCCTTTAAAATAGAAATAAAAAATGTGTTTTCCATTCCATTTCCATTTTTTAGCTGTTTTTCTTGTCCAAAACATATTATATCCAATATTACAAAATTACAAAATTACAAAAGGCTATACAGTTTGGAATGAAATTCTTCAATTATAACTCTATAAAAATAAGCGTTACATTTCTCTGTAACGCTAATCCAAGTGGATCTTGGCTCAATTGCTAGAAATGTGTAAATATCTGCATCTGTATCGGCACTAGCAGATATTTACAAAAAAATTGTTGAATAAAGTTACTGGCCCAAAATTTCCATGTCAATGTATCCCTAATATTTTTAACATTCTAAACAAACTCTGACGACAAACTATGAAAGAAAGACTGTAAATAAAGAATGAAGATACAGAGGAATCAAGATGATCACATCACAAGGAATTCATGAGTTTAACTATGTAGTTACCTGCCAGAGAAGAACAGGAACCAAGACTGGAGGCGAGGGTCAGAACTGAGTCCTGAAAATTGCATGAGGCAGATGGCAAGCCAAGGCTTTCCTGATCCATACTTCAGCTGTCTCACCAATAATCAAATGTTTACAGGAATCTTTGTCGTGCACAATATTTGATCTTGTCCCACCTAATCTAGACGCATGTATCGTCTAGAATATTTTGCTTTTTTGTTATCTCCTTAAGAACTTTCCAGTTTCCCAACTTTGTCTTCTTTCTTCCCCTTTTTATTCCTTCGTGACTTCAAGCTTTTCTGCTTGGAAAGTCAAGCCATTTCCACACGTCATCCTGATTATGTTGTGCTGCTTTGTGTTCCAGCTCTATGCTTTTGTTTTCCACACTGCTGTTCTCTACTGAGCCTTAGCAAAGCTAAAATCCAGAGCAGGGCAAAGAGCCTCATGCATGAAAGACCTGACAAGTGCTCTCCTCCTCCACCTCCACTGAACCTTCCTCTCCTATTCCCAAGTTAAGTCAAAATGATCCAGTGCTACACTAAAGAAGGTGGATGTGCAGAAAATAAGGTAGAGCATCCAGTCACTAAACCATTAATCATAAATACAGTGGAAATTACAAGCCACTAAGAGCAAAAGACTGCTAACATTAAAGCTGCTTTGTCTGTATATCTTGCACATTGCAGGTTCTTCTCAAAGAAGACTTTCTTACTTTGGGCTTACATTATGTAGTGCTATTGAGAAATCCTGTTCTGGGAAACATGCCCCTGGTCAGCCACTTATATAAGTGGAAATCCTCACTATCTACTCAGATACAACAAATTGTATCTGAGTAGATAGGTCTTCCGTCAGTACCATTCTGAAACCTAACTATGAAGGCCATTTGGGCTGTCCAGCCCAAAAAGAGAATATGTGCAGGCTAGAAACCTGAAGAGACCCTGGTTTCCAGATTTCCCCACCCATCAAAAAGTGAGCTGGCACTTGTCTTGTTTTCCGTCAATACTTTTGTACCGACCAAATATATGGATTATTAAAAGATTTCATTGTTATATTTATTCATCATGTATGATCATGTTTAAGATTCTAGATAAAACAAACAACCAACAGCCCTTTAGACAAATCAGAATACAACCTAAGCAAAAACCCACTAGCTAATTAGCTATGGCAGTTACAGCTACAACTAGCTAGGAGTTTTTTGTGCCCTTTGAAATCAGAAGAATGATGACAACAATGATTCTCTTGGGTTCTTCTGTCATACTTGGGTATGATTATAGATTATATAGATTATATGGGATATGGGTTAAATATTGGCTTAGTATTTGCTATTTACAAGACCACTATTAGGGAACTCTTCAGAGAATCTGACACAAGAAAGCGTTCATTTACAGGCTGAATCTTAAGGCTCCCTCTTTGGTTCTCCCTAAAGCTTTCTGTACTGTATATTGACTGTACTGTATCTTGAATAATAACTAATATCTATCATTTGTTAATTCAACAGTGATATTGGCAAAGCTTAAATACACTCTCAAACATAACGTTAACTTCTGATTTTGTGGACATGGATTAAGCCTAGTCTTGGACTAAACGGCATCGCCAATCGTGTTTCACCATAAAAAAATCTCATTTAGTCTAGGCTTAGACTTAATCTGTGTCTAGGAAAGTGGATCTAAATGCTTTGCTGTTTGCTGTGAGCATTTTAGACAACTCTCACATATCCCAGATGAGCTTGATGAATCAGGGTGTTTACATTATCCTACTAACAGGAATCATTTTGGTCAGCCCAGTTGAAGCTGACTTCATGCTTTTTAGCTCACAACTTACAGGTCTACACTACCATGCAAGACCAAGCCCAAAATATAATGGTTTTTAATGATGGTTTTGGCCTGGTCAAAGTCCAGATGGAAACCCTTTAGAGAATATTTTGTCTCACATTAAACACAAGCTAATGTGGCAAAATCTTTCACCTGTTTGAAGCCATCAGTGCTAAGTGGAACAATACTGACCCTTCTTTCTGTAAAAGACTGTCAGCAAGTTTGCCAACAAAACTTCATTATTTGAAGAAATCAAAGGAAAAAGCTATCCCATACTATGTAACTGTATTTGTTTGTCTAGAATAGAATAGATTTCTAGAATAGATTTCACAGCTAGTCTTGATGTCTTAAAACATACTACTCACCATCATTAAGTCCCAATAAAAAGCATGAAAATTATTATTGAGTGCTACATTTAAGCATTTACTCACTGGTGGAGTTGATGTCTGAAAGTTGCTCGTTTGAGTCATGTCCACCATCATCTGGATCATACTGTTCCTCTTGCGCATGGTGTCCATGGCGATCATAGTGTCTCTCACTACGGTTGTGATCGTGTCGGGATGTGTGCCTGCGACGTCGCCGCTTCCGTCTGTAGCCCCTTGGCACTGGAACGCCAATGTAAATAGACTGGTTCTCTGAGACAATTGAGAGAGGAATAATGGGAAGATTCATCGTCGTTCTGTACATAAATCATGAATGTACCTCTTTAAAATTTGTTTTTAACATACTTTTTTTATTAAATGAAGTTTTTTCCCCTCATAATTATGTGTGGAATAGAATTTTGAAAGAAATTCCAGCCATTTTGCAGTTTACTTCATGGGAATTCCTGTTCTCTGTGATGTCTCATACACCCCCTATCAGGATAAAAAGAACAGCTATGGTCTTGCCTGAAACTAATAAATCTGGGATTAGCTGAATTTACCACCTGCAATGCGAGTGATTCTCTGTTGTAGAAAGAAAAAAAGTATGCCAGTGTAATGTAATTGGTAAACATTCTTCTCTTGTGAAATCCTTCCTTCTTCTTCTTCTTCTTCTTCTTCTTGAACAACTCCACCCTTGAATTGTGCTAGTGTCAATTTGTGTGCAACTTAATCTGATATATAAAATGTGTCTATTCTCACTGTACAATTAAAAAGGCATCAGTTTGAATTCTTTGGGAGTAGTGCAGAGGTCAGCCACTCAATCAATCATGGCCTTCCTGTGTAAATGTTGTGTCCCAAATCAACCTTAGGCGATGCACTCATTAGGCAAATCCGCATGAGGCATTTCATTTTATTGGCATATATGCATTCTAAACTGGACAGACTTTTGTAAAGACCACCAAATCCATGATACATACGTACACATGTCTATCAAAAATCATGCACACTCTGAGCTGCCAGATCAAAAAGACTCTAGAACCAGCCAAACTTAATAGGTATTTAATTTCTATTGCTCATGTGCCAGTCCTGCTCCTAAAGCATAGAATATGCAAATGAGCCCTGTAACAAATCACAATATTTTTTACTAAGTGCTAAAAGCATTTTTACCAATCACAGTTCCAGATTAATGTGCCTGTAGATGTTTTAATGAAACAATATTCATGTAATCCAATCAAAGTAAATTATTAGAGATGCATAATAATAACTTATCAGAACGATATTGGTTTCAGCAAATAGTTGCTTTAAAAAATTATCAAACTGTGGTAAATATCTATTTACAGATAAAATATGGAGCAATATTAATCACAATACTACTATTTTGTCCATATCATGCAGCCCTTTTCTGCAGCGCTGTGGATCTTCAGAAACAGTTACTGCTAGTTCTGGAGATCAACTGCCAGTTGTACTCAAAGGTACCTCTGAACCTCACACTTACATTGTAAAATCACTGTCTTGAATGCATGACAAACCCAGATGCTTAACCTAATAACATTACACAATAACCAATGTAAAAGGACAGCATACCATCTTCATCTTCATAGTGTCTGCTGTGACCACTTCTTCTGCTGCTGTGATGGTCATGGTCCATTCTGTCACAAGAAAATCAGAGAGAAAGAAACAGACAGACAAGTAAAATTACAACCCTCTCTCTTTTTTCTGCTTAATCAAGACATTTTGATTGCTTTAGCGAGAAAGGCTGGTTTCTTGGACATGTATAACATCTAGAATTGGACAAACTTGCAATGACAATGGTGTTTCACCAAAGAATCCACAAAGAATCCTATTTAGTCTAGGCTTAGGCTTAAACTGAGTCTGGGAAACTGGCCAGTAGTTACAGACGAATGGCTAAGCAACAACTGCCATGTGAACATGTCACAGTGGGCTGCCTACAGCACGTGGGCCGATCAATGACCAAATATCTGGCTGGAGAGGAAAACCCAATGAAGATATAATTAAGAGGAAGCTTGTACTGTCATATGCCACCTTGTTCTTTGCGCACACACATCTCTATTATGTCAGAGGGTGTGCTACTGCCAACATAACCCATTGATTGGCACAGCTCATTCACGTAATTAAATCTCAGTAAAAAAAAAGCACCGCTGAAATGTATCTCATGTATGCCAAAAATGTGGCATAAACGAATTTAATCTGAGAAACAGGCCTAAAAATATGAGGATTTCCTTTGAAAAAGCAAAATACACATTATGAGTTAAGCTACATGGTTCTGATGTTGCGCCTACTACATAAAAAATTACAATCAAATTAAATAAACAAAAATTAAAGATTACTTTATGTTTAAAACCAAGTTGATGAAATTAAAGAAGTTCATAGATGTTTTCATAGTAAAGAACGCTTCACTATGAGACAATATCCCATGTGTGTAATCTGTATTGTCAGATCATTGTCCTTCATGCCGAATGGACAGCCGTGCTTGGCAAGCAAATAATCAGGATTGACAGTAGTATTGATTAGTCTGGAAAATGTTGTATGACTCAGAGGAGGGAAAACACCGGAGAATGCGCGATGAGCATGAGATGTTTTTAATTTTCTGTCCGTTTGCCTGTCTCTCTCTGTCTGACACTGTTGTAAATGCTTGAGAAAATTATAGATTGCACTGTAGTTGACAGAAACAAAGTGACATAAGGCTCGTTTTCCAACGGCACTCCAGGCATGCATTAATCTACATTAAGCAAAACAGCACTTTAATTAATCCATTCAAGCTTCATGAATGGAGTCCGCTCGGTGGCCTGAGATATGCTGTTGGGTAATTTACCAGATCATAACTTTAAATTTTTTAAAGATAAAAATTTAGAAAAGGTATGAAGTGTGCAAGTTGCAAGAAATGCAAGAAATGTATCCGAGCTGCAAAAATGTTTAACCTATCTAGTAGTACAAATATAATCTTATAATCTTTGCATTTACTGAACAATCATTCCTGATTCCATTCCTCTCCACCATGACTGCATGTTTGGCCAAAATGTTTCCGAAACTGTGATATAACAATGATATCAAGCAGGGTATTTTTTTTTGCACTAGCTGTCTGTGCAGTAGCTTTTGGAGCCTTTAAATACTTTGAACATCTGGTTTCTTTCACCACCACTGTGAATAAAAATGGCCCTTTAAGTTCTCTAAAGCAAAGCATTTCACATTAAAGCATTTTCAATGATTTTCTTTATATCTTGACTTATTAATTATAGAGATATATTGAAAATGGGAAAAACAGACTTCCCTCTTAACTATAACTCCAGTTGCAGGTCGTACCTTGGCTGTGGTGAACATGGCTTTTAGTCTCTCTGCACTACTTCAATAATGATAAGTTGTAAAAATAACAAGTTATATGTTATGATGTTAAAACTGACTGCAAATTGAGTGAAACTGGTCTTAAATGCATTTGTAGACATACAATCAATTGTAAAATGTATGTTAAAATGTTTGTTAAAACATGATTATTTGAAAAAAAAACCTTGTTAACAACATACATTCAAATCTTGCTTTAGACTCTGTTAGCTAGCTAAAATACTGCTACAACCCCAGCGTTTTCAACTACCAACCAAATATGACTTGATTTACAGTGCAATAACATAATTCCACCAGGAATTTTAGATACCGACAAAAAGGTGCAAATTGCAAAAAAGCAAGTCTTACCTTATGGGAAACTGAGAGCTGAGATGAGACAAGCAGCAAAGCAAGCATTTATCTGTATCACAGCAAACCAAGTGACTGAACTGTGCAGTACTGTAAACCTGTTAACCACCAATACTCATCACTATTCTTCTGCCTTAGCATTGGGTGAATGATAAAGTGCCTGAGGCCTGTATATGAGTAAGCAGAGGAAGGTGGTTGGAAACGTGAATGACTGACAGTACATTCGGGGCACAATAAATGACACACACCCTACACGGCCATATTGATTGTGCTGGCAGTGTGGTGCTATACTTGCAACTGCCTTTGCTTATGTGATTAAATAGATTTCCAAATGACACTGAAAATCTCAATTCACTGAAGCACTAATCTGTGAAATATGAAACTTCCAATGTTGAAATGTACCATACTGGCCTCTGCTGTTGCTTGACTGGTTTATTCTGTAAGTAAAAAATATTTAAGTTTTTTTTTCCCTAAAGAAAAACGGCTTTGTATAGCATAATTGCTCAAAGACTGTTTTGGAAACCCACTGCCTTTTCTCTGCTTGAACATACCCAATATGACTCACCAGCTAACTTACAAAGCAAATTAATGCTGTAATTGTTGAAGCAAGTTTATTAGAAATTGAGGAGCATCTATTGCTTTGCACATTTTATATTCATAATAAAATATTCCATCTGCACAAATAACTGAACCATGATTGGTTTGAACATCAGAAGCACAACTTCACAGTTGGATGGGTTGATTAGTTATTTGCAGCACTCTTAGGGACATTCAGTAAATAATAAGATTGAAACTTGACCTCTGGGTGGTTATTAATTCACTACAATTGGGTTCCTGAATGGTAACAAAACTGAATAATGAATGGCATTTAGAATCAACTGCATCAACAAAAATTGGGCAATTACGTGCCTTTGTGTTTTCAGCAGAGGAGTGGATTTCATATTTTGCACATTTCTCCACATGGTGGCACTACAAACACATCTTCAGCATAATGTTTTTGAATGATAATGACAAAGAATAAATGGGTAGAACAACTCACCAATTCCTCTGCAGTGTTTCTTTTCTTTAGCCATAATGATGTAGTTGGTCACTTTCTCTGTATAGATGAGGGATACACAAAAAAGTCCAATAGCAGTAGCATAGCCTTTAAATATGCAAGTTAGAAATGTCAATATGACTATTAGCTGCAATACTGTTTATATAGTATTTTAATGTCGATGCAGTGATAATACAGATAGTGGCTTGTTCTAAATTCAGCTTTTGAAAGTGGGACATTTTATTGGTAGGTTACCCATGTCCAGCTTAAGCATCTGAACTTAGCTGAACTATGAAAAGAATTTCCACACAATTAAATGGCTTTCTTTCTAAATAAGGCTTCCAACATAATTTAGTAAAATTGGCTAAACTTAATCTTCTATTAAATTTCCAACTCAATTCAAGTTCAGTGAACATTATTAACCTTTGATGATTATGTAGGCCCAACTTATCTTACTAGAAACGGTTAGTTAGTTTAAAACCACACACACAGTAACAGAGATTGTAGTAAAGCGCTTTTACAACCAGCAGTAATGATGCCAGCCAATTAATCAAAATACAGAAGCATACACCCAAGAGAAGATCGCCTAGGAGGAGACAACGCAGAGATGGTATGCAAACAGGGACGTGATAAGTTGCTGTGGCACCCCTTGATTTCAGGACTGCAATAGGCTGCAATAGGCTAATATTAATAACACTAATAGAACCTTTTAAACTGTATAATTTGAGCGTATTATAGAGCCATGTGTGCATGTTTAGGGTGAAGTTCGTTTTTTTTTTTTAAATAATTTATTTTATTTTTTTAGCCGTTACAATGAGCATCATGTGAGTCCAGTCAGAGTGAGATGACCAGCAGTGTTAGCTATCTGAGTTTTTTTACTTGTGTTTTTAATTACTTTAAAATTATGGCAGACTCAGGGCAATGTACTTCATATGTGCTTATTGAAGAAGGGGTGAGAGGAAGACGTTGTGTTCTGAGATACATAAGCTACGGCGGCGTTTTAGGGCCACTGTAAATAAGAATAAAAATAGTAGACTTCGAGAATAAAGTCGTATTCTTTAGAGAAAAAAAGTCTATTTAGAGAAAAAAGTCGTAATATTTTGAGAGTTTTGAAGTCTGCCTGGTTCTTTATTCTAAATAAACACAGTTTCTTGCACAGCCGTTTCATATACTAATAACAGTCGGGTGTTGATGTGCCAGGAGAGACAGGGAGACTGAGTATTTCTTTATGGGTGAAATCGATATGAAAGTATGGACCACTGTAGTCGTGCATCATTCTGTAGTCCTCGTTATGCCCATATTAGGAACTCCCGGTCTAAGCTCCATTTCTCTAACGACCTCGCAATTCAGAGGATCCAGTGAAATTGAAGAGAAGAATGTACACAGGACAAAACGTATCGGGTTCTGAACATTTTTATTTAACACAGGGTGCGATAGAGGCGATTTTTCGAAAACCCTATTCATTCTGGCCGTAGAGAAATGGGGCTTAAACCCGGAGTTCCTAATATGGGCATAAAACATGGCGCCAACTACAAAATGAGACAGACTACAGTGGTCTATGACTCCACCAACTCCTAAACGCCCCTCATTTTAACACGAGGAGGTGCTGCCTTCTCTTTGCAAAGCTTTGGCCACAATTACGACCTTTACATTTAGTGTCGTAATTCTACGACTTTTTGTTTGGAAATATAATTTTTTTTTCTCGAAATATTAAAAAAAAATCTCTAAATATTACGACTTTTTTCTCGAAATAGTACGAGTTTTTTCTTGAAATATTACTCTATTCTACTGTTTTCATTTTTATTAACAGTGGCCCTAAAACGCCGTCCTATAAGCTGGACGCCCGTCCCACTGTCGTCTTTTAAAGTTCAAAGGATAAACTTCGTCTCCTCGGCAGACCGGTTTCT